AGTAAAACTCCATAGTTATCTTGATTGTCCAAAGTTAATTAAAGAAACTGTTTAGTTTGCCGGCTTCTTAACAGCGGTGGTCTGTAACGGAATGAATCAAATCAATTTTTTTAAAGACTAGATTAGAAATAAAGCAAAACTTTTCATTTTTACATTTATTTACAGCATCTTAGTGCAAGATGTCTTCGTCCCAAACAGTTGGTCTGCCATCCTCGAAAATGTTAATCGTTTGGATGATGCTTTCTGGATAATATATTTATGTGATCAGTGAAAGGTAACCTAATTTCATCCCTCTGTTCATTAGTTGAAAAAAAATAGACTTGGTTGCAAGTTTACGAGCCGCTAAGACAGCTTAAATGGCATCTGCTTCATAAACAGATGTTTAGAATATCCAAATTTTTATGTTTTTCGTTAAATTTTTTTCTGGGGCACTGAGAAAAAGATGAGAACAATTTTTCGGCGGTAGACGTTAACCAGTCCTTTTATCTACTATTCCGATAACCAAAGTGGTTTTGCCGCGATAGTTTCTGTTTTTTTTTTTTGTTTTTTTTTCTGCCAAACTGAACCATTTAGGTTTACCACCGATAAAATTTTGATGAACCATTAGTTTTGTTTGACCACCTTTGTTTTTTTGCATTCTACAATGTAAAAGTGAGATAAGATATGGTTTAAATAGAATGAGGGCCTTAAGCTTTGTGAAGAACTTGTGTGCAAAGCTTAATTATCTTTTCGGCAATTTGCGTGTTCGTCTCGTTTTTGTACATTGTGCAGCTCGGAGAAGTTTGACGTCAATAACAAAAACACGCCGAGCTTTGTTTGTAAAAACAATAATGAACACGTAGTACATAAAAAAAACTCTACTTTAGCCAAAGTATCCTTTTTTTTGGGATCATGGGATAACTGACAAAGCCAGTTAGGCCTGAGATACAAGAACGAAGTTTAAGAAATACCATCACTTAAAGTTTAGTTCGCGATTTTAATTTTTGCCGGCGAGCCAGCATGTTCTGCAATTGGTGATTGTGTCTGCAAAAACAATGCCATCAGTATTTTTAGGTCTTCAGAGAGAATAATGAGCTGCGGCCGGATTCGTGACCGAGAAAAGTTCGTTTTAGCATCTTAGGTTCTAAAAAGTGGAAGCAGGCACTGGAGTTGAATCGCCAACCAATATCTGATATAATATAAATAACTTTTTCTTGTCTTTGATACGGTACCTGTCGTTTTTTGTTATTTTTCCTGTTTACAAATAAACGATACTCAGCGCTTACATAACCACAGAAAATAATAAAAGAAGAAATTTCAAACGACTTAAGTATGGCACTTTTATCAGCTCATTAGGACTCTTCTTGGAATAGCCATGTCTTATTCAAGCTAGAAATCGTGCCCTTGCAGTTTTTGCAATTTTCACGAAAGAATATCAACGTAAGGATACTTTGGGACAATAATAAGAAAATTATTTTTACATTGAAAGGGTACTATGGAATTATGTTTGTCTCATAACTCACAAAAACCCCCAGGCTACGATTTCGTTATTAGCATTTCGGTCCTCTTCTGATCCTTTCTAGCTTCTTCAACAGTGTTTTGCAGTCTTCCTTACCATTCATAAAACACTTTTTATGCTTGAAGTTGCCATATTCTATCCGATTCCATTCGAATGAAAGGATATACTTTTTTCAAAGGAGCATAAAAAGGATTCGTGAGCTAGAATTAATATCGATGAAAAAAATCCTTATTATAATGACAATAAAACAAAATAACGACTACAGTCTTGCAAACAGCTCTTTTGTTTGACAAGGTTGCTCAACCCAAAGATATTTCAAGCTTCAATGACATCTCTCACAGTATAGAAGGCTTCATTATTAAATAGTATCATTTTCCTGGCTCAAATTCCTAAAATTGCAAAGCTTGATTCAGACCAATTGTTTATTCTTGAGGTCTGTCGTTTCTAATGCTTACGCAATGTCGCCACTGAGCCAGGAGCAGCTCTAAGTAGCAATTAAAGAAGTTGTTGAACCATATCTTTATCCAATTATGTCCAGACCGTTTTTTTCTCCCAGCAGCCTTTCCTTCGCCGAAACTTCTCTGTTTTCTGAGTTTATGTGACAAGCTAAGCCTTTCTAATGTTCTAAGCTTCGTCATGATCGTTCCACCTAAATGGAGCACCGGAATTTCTTTCTTTATTGAACTACTAAGCGAATCGGGTTAATTAAGAAAAATTTTCATATAGCCAAACAAATCTTTATCATGCAAAATCAGAAAAGCGGTATTGTATCTTTTGTTCTCTTTCCACACAAACTAATGATATGATAGCTAAGTACGCTGAATATTTTCACAATTTGAGGATCGTTTTGAATCCAATGTTCTGTCTTCTTGTTCATCCGCCCCATTATATTTCTATGTTTTTAGCCTCCTTAACCAAATTCACTTTTACGCTCCTCAAAGTTGAGAAAGATAAATTTTCATCTCCATGCGAATGAACTGAAAAACACCTCTCATTTTTTTAAACCTTGGGTTATGTACGATCTTCGCAGTTTCTTAACATTTCAACGTTTTCAGAAAAAGGGCTCCGATATACATATTTGTTACACGTAAGAGTTTTCAAAGTGTTCCTTGAGACATTTGTTGCTTATTTTGTCTATATTTCTGCGAGTCATCCATCGACCTTAAGGCGGCTATCAGATGCTGAGTCATAATGACTAAGTCAAGCAGTTTTCAGGGCCAAGGTTACCACCGCTGATTAGTATTAAATTCCCGACCATGGATTGTATACTCAGCGGCACTGGTTTTAACATTTTCGTTTGATACTGCTAATGGATGGCTAGTCGCGTTGTTTCAAGCGGCAACTAGAACGTTGAGAATAATTGTTTTTAATGATTTAAGCTGCTGAAGCGGTCACATTAATAATCTGGAACCGGCTTTGATACAACCGTAGTGAGATAGGAGTCTACTCGCTCTGAGTCGTTGGAATATTTGCTCAATTTTTCTACTGAGAAAATCATTGATTTAAAAAGTTCAGAAATGATATATTTTGGACTCGTCTCGTCGTGCTCTAGACTATGGAATGAGCGACATCGTGTCGCTATGGAATGAGCGACATCGTGTCGCTATGGATACACCGGTTGCGATAAGAGAAGACGGTGTAAATGGCTACGCTATGTGTTCTATCCCTAACGGTTTGTTCAAATTCCATGGTAAAGACGACTGATTTTTATTCATGCATCGTTAAAGACAGCCACTCGAACGTTCCTCATGGAATCAACTCATACGCTATCAGCAGTAATAAAGAAGAAATGATTTTGATTTATGTCAAGTTTGATTGATAGCAAGTTTGATTTAGCAAACATAAGAATACACAATTATCCATCGCAGCTACCAGGATAGTTTTCTATGATGGATAAACCTTAGAATCATTCATAAACAATTCATCAGCGGGATCGACACATTTTTAATGTTATAAATACCTTTACTTTATCAAAAACTGCTGATGGAATAACTTACAATTCAGAATCTATTCGTTTACTGGCAAATTCGTGCGGCAGTTTCCCTCTGTAAGGTCATGAGCTGTCACGACCCTCAATGAAAACTGACGAAAACGAAGTTTCAAGAAAGTTAGAGATAAGCCCCAAACGCCTCGTTTTTTGATGCATTTGTATATGAAAGCAAACCCTTAAATGAGAAGGCCTTCTGACATACTAGGCCCCTTCTTTTTCCGGCCTATGCCAGAAATTGCTTCACAAAAGGCAGGAGCAACATAGTAGGTTCCGTATCTTAAAAACGTGCCAACGTCCCCAAATTTATCTGTGCTAATTCAGATCAACTTTCTCGATCCTAAATTATTCTTGTTCAACTTTGTTCTTTTTATACCACTATATATTATTCAATATTATAAAAGGAAAATAAAGCGCTTTAGACAGTAACAACAATTTTTCTTCACGGTGCTTACATCTTGAAAATTTTGCTAGTAGTTCCAAGATTATCATTAGCAATTCGTACAAGTCTAGTTATCCTAAGTTACTCTTGTTTCATTTTTGTTTGCGCCTACCACATTGCAACCTGTGACAAGGAAACAAGCAAGGAAAAAAAGGAAAACATATTCCATACAGGATGCTCATTGGACGCTCCAATGCATGTTGTAGAGTTTTTCCCAAAATTTTCAGTGTGTTATTTGCAATCCGAGAAAACAGTCTTTACTCTAATTTGGAAAATTCCTTTTTTGGAATGTTTTACCTTCGACCCCGCAAGCGTTTTGTATGTGTTCCAACCTGACCAAACTCTTTCTATTATTAGCTGAATCTTTACAATGCATCGTATACAAGGAAACTTTTGTAACTACTATACATCTTCCATTTGATCTGTAATCATGTTTTACCGAAAGAAACGAGGAGCATTCATGAAAAAAATTTATAACTAAAACACGTACAGAATCTCTAAAGCAAACATTTATCATAGTTGGAAAAAAACCTCTCAGGTTTTTTCGAAGCGAAACCTGTAAGAGATGCTCGTTCCGCTAAAGATGGGAGTCACAAAGTGTTCTAATGTGCCAAAAAACCTCTCAGGTTTTTTCAGAGCAAAACCTGTGAGAGATGCACGTTCCGCTAAAGATAGAAGTCTAAGGTGTTCTCGTAGATACGAGGCACAAAGTTGTTGTATCTGAAGCGATATATTGATTATAAAGCATTTCAGCTGAAGGGCTGTGATACCAGGAACTCCTGGTGATACATATTTTCGATTGCTTTTACTTGTTTTTCAATTTTATATCAACAAGTAACAAATGAATTTTCGTTTTGCCATATTTAGGTTCTGAGCTCGAAGCCGCTGGTAGAAGCGCTTCTCCGCTCATCTTCTATGCTAACCGAGACAGCATCAGGTACATAAGCACCAGAAACGTTTCAGTGCAAGGAGTTCTGCTATCGGGTCTGCAGGAGGTCAGATCTTTGGCCTTACATGTAAGGCATGGTTGGATTTTCTGGAGTGAATATGGCAGCACCACAACAATTAACAGAATGCATCTCTCTACCAGTGCCACCAAAGAAATCATATTAAATGGTTTAGGCGAGGTGCATGACATTGCAGTAGAGTGGGAGTCTTCACTTATCTACTGGACAGATTATTTGCACGAAACAATTGAAGTTGCTCGCATTGATGGGTCTCACAGAAAGACTCTCTTTTGGGAAAATGTGGCAAATCCACGGGCAATTGTAGTGGATTCTCGGAATGGGTAAGTTTAATTAACAAATGGTTTATTTCGCGAGTGTAGTTACAAGTACCTGTGCCCTTATATATATTGAAATTTTACATTGAGTTTCAATGCTGTATATGTTTACTGAACAGAACCGATTATTACCGTTAAAATCACAAAACTGGAAAAATCCACCCCAAAATCAACTGCAATACATAGCTGTCATAGAGCTAGCAGATGCTTTTTACGGAAAACACCATTTTAAAATCGAACATTCTCTCGTCTTTGGGTAAAGTGAGACTTGAATTAAAGCAATAGCAGAATGTGATTTAACTGCGTGAATTTGAACGCGAAGATCTCTTAGAACTCTCTCGAAATAGTTTGCAAATATTTAACAACCAGCCACCCATTTTGAGGTGGATAGCTGATTTAGTATATAATGAAACATTTGGATAATACAGTACAAAAATATGATTTTAACTAATTAATTACTGCAACGATTATAATTTTTCAAACGCAAATCTCGCGCAAGTTGCTCGGAGATGAATAGCAAAAGATATTCGGAGTTTGAGCAGCCAAATAGAGCGTGCCTTCAACGCCATCCACTGTTTTAGTATCTACTAAAACATTGTCTCTGCTATTGCTGGTTCATCAGGACGCCCTATGTGCCGCACACTGCCTTACAACGCTGCGGTTTCTTTTTTCAGTTACATGTACTGGTCTGAAACTGGATGGGACTTTCCCAGGATTGAACGAGCTACCCTTGCTGGAACGGAGAGAAGGATCATTATGGATGAACATCCAGCACTTATACCAAAACTTTTGATAAATGGTTTGGTCATAGACTTTTCTTCTGATCTTTTGTATTGGGTTGATGCTCAAACTGATATCATAGAGCGAATGAAGTTGGATGAAGAACGTAAAGCGGAAACTGTACACACGACCACAAGTCATAATTTGTACTCCTTTGGTCTGACGTGGTACGAGGATATTCTGTACGCAAGCGAGTTAAGAAGCCGAAGTATCGAGAGAGTTAATGTCACTGCAGGAGAGCACTTAAGAAACATGGGGTGGTTGACCGAAAAGATGACCTATCGTATCGCTCTAAATAGTTCTTCAAGGGAACCGTCAGGTGAGTTGAATTCTCTTATTAAGGCATATTTTTCGGTTGTTATTCGCTAAAGAAGATGCAAATATTCTGAAATAATAGACAGGTGTAATCGTTAAACAAAAATTTTAAATCCTGATCTCCTGACGAAAATATTGTCTCAGTTTGCATAACTCCTTAGGACACTTCCAGAGTATCACCATGTTCTTTCAACTTAGAGGTTCATTACAAAAAATTCAGCTATTTCAGTATGAAAGGGGAATCAGTGATCCATCATTCTAATTACAGCGCTTGGTCTATGAAAGAAATTTGGTGTACACCCTCTAAAGTACTCGAGAGAGTCAACAGACCTACTTTAGGTCCTTATTTCGCTGTAATTTTTTAGGCGACTTTGGCAAACTTTGTCAAAATATAAAGGCGTCTTCAAGCGACCTAAGGAAACTTCAGGTTACTGACCTAGGCGAGGCCACGCGAATTCAAAACCTTACTTGCAACAACTTGAGATATATATTTTGTACAACTCCAATTGCCACTATATTGAGGCCTATCATAAAGTTATCAGTCATGCCGGTGCGAGAAAAGGTCTTAAAGGTAATGAAAAATAAAATAAACCTAAAGCGAAAGAAATATACCTGAGGTGAAGGTAAAGAGGATATCGTGGACCTTAATGATGTTTGGTTTTCTCATTTTTATAGGCATGACTGACTGCAAGAACAATTCAGCATGCAGTCACCTTTGTTTGTTGACCCCAACTGGCTCCCAATGCGCATGCCCCAATGGTTTCAAACTGCTACCCGATAATGTTACTTGTAATGGTGAGTCATATAAAAAAAAATTCCTCTTTAAGGAAATTTCTCCTTTACCTGACTTTGTGCTTTTATTGTTTTTGCGTTTTACAGCTACTGGAGAGTCCCCAAAACCCCCTGTAGCAGGTTAGTTACGTATTCCTTGTTAACGTTCTCACATCAACTCCTGTTATACTCCTAATTATATATTCCTCAATGAGTGACATGCTCTATTTGGATTATGTAGGAAGAGATTGTAAGGGGCAGTGATGAGGAACTTTGGCTATAACGAAATGAATGGAAGTTTTTCTAAGATCAGAGCAAACCGGCTTAAAAATGGATGATGTATGGTAATGAGAAAAACGTCCTAGTGAAATAGTTAAAACTGATTGTGCATTAAAAAATTACTATCAAGAGACCACCAAACCAAAAAATAATGGAAATGAACAACAACAAAAACAAAAAAATAAATAAAACAAAGGAATAAAGAGAACAAAAATAAAGTAACAAAATAAACACAACAATAGCACAAATAAGAGAATCTCATCATTAATATTTTTTTAATCCCAAAAAGCGATTGAGGTTAGGCTAATGTTTGAAAGCATACCATCAATTCTCGAGGGAAGAATTGAAGTCAGGATGAAAGGGGACAGCAAAAATGAATGGGGAACAGTTTGCAATGATCATTTTGACATGCGAGATGCTCAAGTTGTGTGCCGCATGCTCAACCACAGTGGAGCTGAGTCCGTTGCATCATATGGTTCTGGATCAAATGATTCTCCAATTTGGCTAGACAATTTGAAATGTCGAGGAAACGAGGACTCATTGATGGAGTGTAAGCACCGTGGATGGGGCCAGACAAATTGTGGCCACTTCGAAGATGTTGGTGTAAAGTGTAAAAATGACAGTGCCCCAACTCCACCGGTGGTAGCCCCAAATAGTAAGTTTTTTTAGAGCTCTGAAACTGTGCTGAATCATTTTCAATTCTGAGCGAAATTTAAAAGGGTTTGAATTTCTGGCAAGTGCCTGTATTTAATATGTCAAGCACCATCTAAGTTCGTAATCGTTATCAATCAGATGGAAGACCAAAAAAGCAGACTTAGATCTAGGTATCTTTCATTTTAAAGAAGGTATACCATATATTTCACTGTTTCGAGTATTTTTATCGTTTGACTCGTAAAAATAGATCAGAGATATCTTGAACACTCGAGGAGTTGTCATTACCACAGTCGATAACTTCCGGAAAAGAAAGACTAGGTGATAAGTAATTATTCTTTCAGTCACTCTTCTAATTTGCTAAGATGACTCAAATTATCATTCAGTGTTGTACCTTCACTTTGATGGTTAATATGATAATTTTTTTATTGTTATTATTTTGATTTTGTTTTTGCAGTGACTAAAGGACTACCAGGAAGTGAGAGATGTTTTAACTTTTTTAATTTACGTAACATATTAAGCTGGTAACGTTGCATTGCACGGGAAGTTATAAATGAACAACTCGATAGCAGCCATTACCACTGGAGATTTAATCTTCAACTTAACATGTCAAAGGGATTTCAATCAACTGAAACGCGTCAAAATTGAGTTTAAATGCTTAGGTTCCCTGGCCTGGGTTTAGGGACAAGGATCTCCATTAGTTAACGATCTTCAATAATCATAGAAACCTCAGAGATACACAGTTGAGTTTCCAAGACACTCCGAAGTAAGTAGGTAGCCTATGACATGAGACATCATCTACGCCGGCACTAAAACAGCCTTTTATTCTCTTCCCTTGAAGATGTAACAATACGGTTACGAGGAGGCCCTACTGAACACGAAGGCCGCATAGAAATTACACATGATGGACAAGTGGGTACAATATGCGACAACGATTTTGATATCAAAGACGCACATGTAATCTGCAGGATGCTAGGATTTGAAGGAGCTTGGTCGACTATGTGCTGTGGACGGTACGGGACTGGAACCGGTGCGATATGGTTGGATAGCTTGCAGTGCACTGGAAATGAAACTTCCTTGTCAGAATGTCCACACTTAGGCTGGGGGAATTACTATAGCGTCTGTACTCATGCCAACGATGCTGGAGTTTACTGTATACCTAATCCTGTCATACCTCCGGGTTAGTTTCATTCGACAATAAATAACATTAAGGTGATACTTTTTATATTTCGTATAGATGTAACCCGTGACAGGGTGAAAAGTTTGTGTTCTTACAACTGTTGGGTTAAATCGCGCGAAGGATGAAGTTAGTCCTAAATAGGATGAGATAAATATTAAGAACGTATTAATTTATCACCCCACGAATTGAGTCTCCCTCCCCAGCAAAATTAACAAAACAAGTCAGAGGGAACAAGATAATTTGGTTATATTAACTGACAGAGTTGATCATGAAAATTGGCCACCGTAAAAATATTCCATCTAACGTTTCGATTGTTAGCCCATCTATTAATCTACATTATCAACTAAATTAATAAAACCAAATTGTCTTGTTATATTTCCCCACCGACGCACCACCACAGAGGAAAGTATTTTTTTTAAAGATGCTTAATTATCTTCTGTTAATCTACAGACAATAAGATTCGCTTGGTTGAGGGCACAAGTGAGAATGAGGGTAGAGTTGAAATATTTCACAAGGACCGATGGGGCACGATATGCGACGATGACTGGGATCTTAATGACGCCAATGTGATCTGTCGCATGTTAAACTACAGTGGCGCCTTGGCTGCGCCTATCTTCTCTGCTTACGATGTTGGCTCCGGGCAGATTTGGCTGGACGACGTTAATTGTGTGGGAAATGAATCCAGCATTGAAGAGTGTCTGCATGGCGGATGGGGAAATCATGATTGCTCACACAACCAAGACGCCGGTGTTATTTGCCAAACAAATGAGAGTGCTCTACCATCTTACGGTATGGTACAGAATTTCTATGTCACATGAAGTTGCCCAAATTGAAGACTCTTTTCAGTGAGGAAGAGCAGCAATTTTTAGCAGCAAGTAGTTTAGAGACTCGGAAAACGAATCAATATTGACCACTTCTCGTGCGACAGTCGTACTTTGATAAGTACGACTGATAACAATGAAATCGAGATTCTTGGAAATGATACCAGTTCCATCAATTAAAACCTTTATCCCGTATTCGCTCAAAGAGCAAAGAGGCTGAGTTTCCGATGCGTTTGACTCTATGCCAAAAAATTGAACAAAACTGGTTTAAAAAAACGTCTTTGATGCAATTCTTCGGTACTCAGTAGATTGTTGGATATTTGCTGGTTGCAATGATTTCGTAAACACCACCGCCGTGCTTTAAATAATTATCAAGTTAAAAAAATTCTTTTCATTCTGAGGTAGTCCATGTTTACTCTGATAATTTTCCTTTTAATTGAATTTCCATGTGCCGAACGTAGCAAAGAATCATTAAAAACCATATTTTCCCCTTTTTTTCTAACAGAAAGCAAGAAAAGCCTGCTGTTCTCTGAACACTGGCGTGGAATTATATTTCAAGTTAACTTAGAAGGAAACGACCACCGAGCCGCCCCTTTACCGATTGATCATCTCCGCGGCTTGTCTGCTGTCGGCTTCGACCCCGTGGAAGAGCTCGTGTACTTTGCAGAATATGCTCCAGGGATAATCCAGCGTTCACATCTAAATGGAAGCGATGCTGAGACTATTGTCAATGGCATTTACTACGCAAACCGTTTAGCAATCGATCATCTTACCCGCAACATCTACTTCTCAGACAGCTCGAAATACAGAATTGATGTAGCGACCTTAGATGGGAAGCACCGAACGGGTTTGATTTCTACAGTTTGGCCAGAGGGTATAGCCTTAGACCTTAAAAATGGGTGAGTGCTCAATCAAGTCTTTCCCTATGATAAAACGAAGAAATATGCTCCTTATCATTTTTTGTCTTTATTTTCACCCAGGTACCCTAAGAAAATAATAGAGAAAAAAGAAACTAATGTAGAATAGCATTTTGAGCTTGCTGCAGTACGAAAAAATTAATTTGACGCCTTTGGCACCGCGCAAAGAATTAAACACTTGTTGCTAAATTGAAATGAAATGTTGCAGGATATTTTTGTGGGTTTTAATAGTCCCTCGCAAAACCTATTTACTCTCAAAGTGACCCTTTCTGTAAAGGCTTGATTCATTGTAAAATCTGAATATAACCTAAGCATCGAGCCCTACAGATGACTGAAGGTGGAAAAGAGAGATAGGTCGGTTTACATTCCGCCATTTGTTATGTGGATATGATATAGAATCATCATACCTAAATGTATCCATGAAATTATATCTGCTTTTATTCAGACACATTTATTGGGCAAGCCAAGGATACCCACCAACCATTGAAAGAGCAGACTTGGATGGAAATAATCAAAAAGTTATTTTCACCTTGACAGAAGATTCCTATCCCAGTGGGCTGACGGTAGATTACAATCTGAATCGTTTGTATTGGACCGATAGAGGTGTCCAGGAAGTTTACTTCATTGATCTACAAACAGGTGGAAACCAAGCATTCATAACAAGAGAGATAATGGACCCAGTTGACTTGACTATACATGGCGATACCGTGTATGTGACGGATTTAGGAAGCGGTAGCGCATGGGATGGTGGCATTTACGGCTCTCAATTAGCAGGTCCTGGAAATTTTTCGCACGAGAACGGTAATGTCTCTAAACTCATTGGCTTGATGAAGTTTACTTGGGGTATAGACTCTTACGACAAAGACAACATTTTCCAAACAGGTAAGCAAATTTCAACCAACCCTGAGCCAAGCTGTCTTCTTAATAGCATTCATTAGTTCACCGTTTGTGGCGCTGCTGTTTTATGAGCGAGGTTTATAAATGATGATTGAGATACTCTGGAATTTCAATCTGTAATATATTTCTTAGGGCCCATGCTTGAAACACAGCCCAATCTTACCATAAAAATCGCACCACTTTCCGTTTTTAAAGTAGGAATTGTCAGTGCAACAAAGCAGTCTGGGGAGTGAATATCAATCGCCAGTTTGTCCCGTATGTTTTTTTTTATTTCATTGTTGAGCCTTAGAAGCCATGTGATAAATTTTAATGTAGGTTTGTAAGAAAAATAGTACCCTTCTGGCCTGCTAAAAGATTTGGATGATAATGCGTGCGCTGAAATCTTCAAAACTTCCCGAACAACTTTTCTCTTTCCGCATAACATTTCAGCCTCGGAATTCATGCTACGATATATCACATGCAGGAAGAGGCTTACTTCTCAAGTAACTGGATTAGCCAAGACATGATGATTTGCACTTTTATGTTTACAGACCCTCGTGGATGCCAACGGAGTGACCAGAAATGTAGTCACCTTTGCCTCAATGCGCCATCCGGGCCACATTGTGTATGCCCCAGCGACATGGAGCTGGTGAACTCAACAACATGTAAGAACACCCAGTGCCCTACAAGGGCCTAGCTAGGTTGGGGGGGGGGATCCTGGGGGTGCCCGTGATCCCCATTTTAAACCTACAATTTTAGGTGACGAAAACTTGTGAGTAACTTCTGTTTGATCCCCCTTTAAAAAGTCCTTGCTCTATAAAGTCCTCTCTGCCTCGTGATGCGTTCATTTAATTTCAACTTACAAATTTGATATCATACTGTAACTATTCACGCTTTATACAGTTATTTAACGCCCTAATTTTTTATCACAGTCTTACTCTTATTGCATGAATGAAGCGCAATGCCAAAAAAATGGTGCTCACCCGATCGGAAAACGAGCATTATCTCTTGGAAAACAGCATTATGCAAACGTTTTCTAACATTTTCCAAATGGAAAATCCAAAATTTCCTGTTGTTTTCTTGTTGGTGAATTGAAGTATCCAGAAAACGACTGTTCATTGGCTTTATACAGTTGCGTGATGAACGAAGTTGAATATCGAGTTTTCACTGCGTTAGCTGACTCGTGACAACACACAGAAAATACTATGTTAAAACACTCCAGAGAAAGTTAGAAAACAATTGAAAATTCAGTATGATAACCAGTGTAACGATCGTGCTGGAAAACTATATACATAAACCGAATATCATGTTTTCACCGCGTTCACCGCTTCAGGAAAATACAAAACGAACAACGTGACAACTTACGCTGGATAACCGATCAAAAATTTCAAAGAAAACAGACTGAACAGAGGAGTTTTCCAGACGCCGGCAAACATGCTATGAAAACCATGTTTTTCTTGCGTTTGCTCATAATGAGTACCGAATATGCGGAGCGTTCTCCGTATTAGGAAAACGGGATTTTAACAAGAAAAATTAAAGGTGAACGAGGGGCGTTTGCCCTGGGTACTCCTTGCGCCGTATGGAACTCAGTGACAGCACTTACCTGCATAGAAATTCCCCGCGGGGAAATACTTTGAGTCCACTGTGATTCGAATGAACTAACAACAAATTTGTTTTAGATCTTTCTTTTCATTAAATTTTCCGATATTTGAAAAATAAACGAAATGTATGACCCACAGCACTTATTTTTGTCTGTCTTTTCTTGGACTTCCAAGGCAAATATCTTCGGCTGATTCTGCATACCGAGTGTTACTTCAGTGAGATCTACAAGTCTCCATTGGGTGGAGATGACTTGTTTTCAGTGGCAAATACTCTGCCTCTTGAACAGGTGGCCTGTCCATCGGCTATCGCATCTCACTCGGCAGAGGAGAAGATTTATTGGTCGGACCTGACAATGAAACATATCGCTCGTTCAAACCTGGATGGTACAAATGAGGAAATAATCTTACAAAATGTGAGTTACTCTATGGCAATTGCTGTGGACAGCTACGCAGGAAACATATATTTCACTGACAGGGACAAGAAAACAGTTGAAGTCGCAAAGCTCGATGGAAAGTACAGAAAAGTGCTTATTCAGAGCCAAACGCATAATCTGGTTGGCTTGGCGATTGACAATCAACGAGGGTGAGTGCATCTAGAATTGTATGTGAGATTGTTACGTAAAAAAGTGCTGTGCATCCAACGAACAGAATGAAAAGATCCGAGTATTGACAAACTCTCCTGTGGCTGTTGCTGGTATTATTTTGCCCCTCTGATCTTACATAGACATCGAGAGGTAAATTTTTTTTAATAATCCGAGTTACCTGAAGGTAAATACGCCTCTTTTCACTCGTGAGTATACATGGATACAACCATTTTAGAATACCTTGGTGGTTACCTTCATTAGATTAGCATCTCATCCAAGAGGGAAACTCCAACGATAAGCTCCAATAACAACTGGCCACTCCCACAATGAGGGACTTTCTTCTCAAAAAGAAAACGTTATGAATGTCTCTCAGACAAGATATTATAGGTTTATAATCTCTAGCTTCCAGAGAATTTTTATTATCGTTTTTGTATGTGGGAGAGTTTTTTTTCCAATGCATTCAAATGTACGCCAACTGTAAATACATACTTGGTTTGACTAAAGGTCATTTACACTGATGATGAGAAACTCTCTGAAAAAAATGCTTGTGTGAATTTAGATATATGTACTACTCTGCTTGGGGAGATCCGACGATGATTAACAGGGCACAACTGGACGGAAGCGATATTACCACATTGGCGGAGTTCACTGAATTTCCCTATCAGCGACCCACCGCGCTCGCCATAGATGTAGACGAAAATGTTTTGTATTGGGTAGGAGATCAGGATCCTAGTTTGCAGTACATTGACCTTCGTTATCCAAATAGTGAAATCGTGTATCAAATCGACTACAGCAATTACTTACATTATCCCTTGGGGCTTGCTCTTGACGCTCACTACTTTTACTGGACGGACTGGTTGCTAGGAAACGTTATAAGAGCCAGCAGAGGTCAGGACTCGGTTGTTGTCGAGCTGATTCCCTACCAGTACACACCGAGAGGCGTCAACATATTTAACCCTGAGGATGTACAAGGTGACTTAAATGCTTAGATATGAGCTTTGAAGATATTGTAAGGCTAATATTATGTAAAAGTATCCTTCTTAAGTCAGAATTTTGTATAAACATTTTCAATCTTATCTCAAATTTCTTTGCAGAGGGACAAACCCGTATCATTTATCTTTCTCCGCTAGGAAATCTGCGCTACCTTTCTGACATAACTAAGTTTCATTATTGCTTCTTCCACAGAAATAGTAGGATTCTCGGCTGACGCGATCTCATAGGCCGGCTCGGTCTCATCAGCGATCATTCCAAACTTAAAATAGTTGTAATTAAAGAAAATAAGGGTAATAGCTGCCAACCATATTTTTCGCGACGTCTCCTAATTCAAAATGCTACATAGAATTTTGAGGTGATCACAGGAAGGGTCTCTCCCCAACTTTTTTTGTTCAACTAGTTCTGATATTTCATCACGTTGCGGCTCACATACGCTCGATGGAGTGAAGATGTTTTTCATTCTGCGTTTCAAGGTACTGATTGCTATTAATAAAATATTTTCTAGATTATCATCCATGTGTTGAAGAATGCAGTCATCTTTGTCTTTTGAAACCTGGTGGCTATAAATGCGCATGTTCCGCCGACACCGCTACTCCCTGCTTTGAGAGCATTAACATCACGAGTAAGTTGCGATCAGAAAATTAGTTAATTCAGTTGAATCAGATGATATTTAACATAAAAATTTTTTTATCTTTCAAGATGTTTTCGGCTGCACTAACGACCCAAGTCTTTATTTTATTGACGACCACCACATCAAATGTATTGATTTGGATTCCACTAACAAGACGTACGTAAGCGTTAAGACAGTGAGAGGTGACCTCATAAAAGGAGGCGCAATCGATCTAGACCATCGGGAGAGAATGGTATTTTGGAGTGATAACGCCTTATGGACTTTAAATCGAATGAGCCTTGTTACTGGTGAAAGTGAGGTAAAGGAATCTTCTACTTTTTCCTTTTTTTAACCAGCACTGTAAATAGGACTTTAGGCGATAGCGTGACCTAGAGACATAGACATTTTAGGTTATTATTCATGCCGATCGAGGGCATCTTTTGTTATACTAGATTCTGGTATATAGTAATGACTTGATATTTTGCCGCTGTAGTCCCTATGAAAGGGATTTAATAAAGCATTATGGGTCTATGTAAAGGTCGCGACTGATTTCTTAATCCAAAGTACAGCAAAATGGTCGGGAGACTCGTGAGGCTACTGGCATAGGGAATACATAAAAAATTGCAGTTTAAGAAAAGCAAGAACCAGCTTACAAAAAAGATAGACTTAAATTTTTCATAGGTTAAAATGTATCCTTCTTCTCAGAAAAATGTACACTCAGGTATATCAAGTGGGATAGAAATGAGTAATAGACGTATTCCTGAATTTAATGGATTATAAACTGTTCGATGCATTTTGGTTAATGAACCATGTGCTTTATTGATTAAAGGTCATTATTAGAGACGATCTGGGACAAGTAGATGGCATCGCTGTTGAATGGGAGAGCGGTCTGCTTTACTGGACTGATTTCATCTTTGAGAGGATTGAAGTGGCAACGCTGGACGGTAAATTCAGAAAAACTTTAATTTCAACCTCTTTATACAGCCCTCGTGGAATTGCTGTTGATCCAAAGAGTGGGTAAGTCATTAAAGTCCTTAAAGCCTTTTGACTGGCGCAGCCAGTAAGAAACAGATAACCTCCTCATTAATTTTGATCCATTCAGGGAATAATACAGTACCGCTTTCTGGCTTTTTGATGGAAAAAGCACGGGGAATCCTATTTCAGAATCATGACAATTGCTATGAATGCAATCAAAATGAAAACTGTGAAACATTTAAGAATGATATTAGACACTTAATTGTGTCGCTGGCCGAAATTATCACGATGACGATGATGACGACGACGACGATGATGACAACGACGACGATGATGACGAAGATAATGATGACCAAGAAGGATGCAAATGATTGGGATATTTTAGAATAAAATAAAGTCTTTTTAATGTCACTGCTAACGCCTGTTGGCGTGCTGCTTCTAGACTCGAGTGTACTGAAAACCCATAGAAAGGCACTCCTGATATATGTTACTTTCTTTCTCTCTCTCTCCCATTCCCTCTCTCGTTACCAATCTCTCTCAAGGTACTTGTTTTGGACAGACTATGGATTCGATCATCCAAGAATTGAACGAGCAGATCTAACCGGTGAAAATCGAACAATCGTGGTTGAATTTGGATATGACTGGTTCTTTCAGATTTTCCCTATGAGTGTTATTATTGAATATGAGACCGAGACTATCTATTGGATAGATCGTTACGACAATTACATCGATCAAGCAGACTTAGACGGGAACAACAAAGCCAATTTGGAGTTCATCGTGCAGAACATAAATCCCGCAGATTTAGCTTTGTATGGCGACTACCTCTACTGGGCGGACAGAAATAGTCGCAGCATTGAGTATTTTAATAAGACGGAGGGTAAAGGCCAGCATTATAACTTTGGACATCTTACTGATGACACGCCAGCAGGTGTTGTGGTATCAGACGAGTCAAGACAACCAGTTGGTAACTGAATTTCATTTTTTTTCTCATACAGTTCTGCTCTCGTTACCTCTAATGCCCTGACCATTCTGTGAAAATTTGCTGAGATATCCGGGGTAAAAGTAACTGCATTGGCGCACGAACGCCATAGACATATTAAAGTTTTAGAACACGTAACTCGAGCCGAGATAAATTTTTCCTTTGTCTAACAACTCACTGCTTTTTTTTCTTCAGCGTCTCCAATGAACAGGCCACCGTGTCGTATTAACAATGGAGGGTGTAGCCATCTCTGTTTATTGGCTCCTAATGGAGGAAGCAAATGCGCCTGTCCAAATGGTGTAGAATTAGAAGCCGGGGGAAAGACTTGTAGCAACGGTAACTAAATTACCTATTAGATTCCCCATATGCCACTCATAACTCTGACTTTACCCCACTTTATCCTTACCAACGTATAACGTAGCTTAGAAACACTGTTTTAAAACCCTGTTACAGTTGCTCCTTCCATCTTCTCATTCCGTTCAAATTTCACCTCTACCAAATATTCTCGCTGAGAGAAATGCATGTGAGAAGTCCGTACAATAACTTTGTTTTTCAGTCAATATTGCACAGTTAGACCAATATGTTCTGTGTAAAGGTATTGATGACGAAAAGAAATGCCCCGCCACAGATTCCAAGGCTCAGCCTCTACCTCGGCTTTAACCCTTTATTTCTCCTTACGGTCGGTCATACAATTGTTATGATGATGGTTCGGAGAACTTGGGTTGGATCAATTAATAATCCCATAATTGACATCGTTCAGTATTCTGGTCACCTGTCTATCTGGAATTGTATTGTGAAGAGAAAATCTGCTTTGGTCATTTATGGTAATTAAAGGGTTGAATAACGATAATTCTTTAGCTGATTCCATTTCTTTGTTTCCAATTTTTATAGCTACTCAGCCAAAACCACCACCGCCACCTGTACCAGGTAATTTCTAATGTGTACTTCTTTTTAGTTAATTTTGTGTTGCGCTGAGGCGCAATCATGGCATTTTGCTAACATCTGATACTTTTTTTTTATGGTTTACATTTCATTTGAATTCTTTCGAAAAATTTACTGTTATTTTACGAGTTCTAACTCTCTCTGTCTCTACTACCTGTTTTCTGCATGAATTTTTACATCGTCTCTTCTAGAGGGTGGAGGTGGAGCAAATAGTTAAAACTGTGGTCATGCTATCGATTAAGAACACAAGAGATTATGGGAGAAGCAAACAAAGCATATTGGAAGATGTTACCAAATTACTAACGAATTGCTCGATTTCCTGTTATAATTGTATGTTGAAAATAATTCGGAAAAAGGCTCTCAGGAATATGGAATGTAATTGTTTACACGTTTGATCATAGTAATTCTAGGTTTTCTGGACATCTACTGAGTATAGTCGACGTTTTTCTCACAGATCTCAAAGTACGCCTTAGTGGCACCAACTCATCTCACGAAGGTCGCGTTGAAGTGTATCATCAAGGAAGATGGGGAACAGTCTGCGACGATCATTGGGACATGAGTGAGGCTACAGTGGTCTGTAAGATGTTGAACTTCACGGGAGCCATCCGTGTGGAATCCTTCGGCCCAGGGAACTCTTCGTTTCCCATTTTAATGGATAATGTCAAGTGCCGTGGCGATGAAAAAAGTATCGCTGCCTGTCAGCACAATGGCTGGGAGATGAGTGATTGCGGCCATGGCGAAGACGTAGGAGTTGTGTGCAGGAATAATTCTATTCCTACCACTGAAGGTAGGAACTCCCCAGTCTGCCTTAAAAAGCTTGGATTTCGAGACACTAGGATGAAGACACAACGAGGGTGTTACTTAGATTTTCTTTTTGCAAAAGGCGTTCATGTGGTCGGTCGATGCTTTTTCGTTTGTTCCGATACGTTTTCAGCTTTATCCCAGACGTAGTTGCCTTGAATCCTTTCACTTCCGAGATGTCAATAGCAATTCCCCTTGCCGTCTGCTATACAATCCTCGTGATGTTAGTTTGGAGAATTTGGTATTGGATTAACAAATAATCCCCTGATTGATACTTTCATTTTTCTTATCACCTGCTGGCAAAATTGTTTTGTGAGGAGAAAGTCTGTCTGAGTCACTCATGGGAGTGAAAGGATTATGTATGCCATGGTCAATGCTCTTGTTTCTCCTCATAAGGGGTATTGTAATCATATTGTGATTATAGGGAAAATGCAGTTTAACAAACGAGACATCGTTATCGCTGCTCTATAGCCTCGCAATCTCGTTGCTATAATTTCACTTTATTTCATATTTTCTTCCTTCAAGGTCCAACCTTAGACCCAGGCCCTCACCCTGGTGAGTTTATTTGTTATATAAAAATTTTTTAATTTACTTTCCTTAAAACAGTATTCTATGTCGAAACCCCATTAAGTTTGTCATATCGACGAGTGATTGCATACAAGTTAGAGATTAGGCATGAGAGTATGGAGCCCACGACCTATTACATTATACTTAACAGAACTACGGGTTCGATTGCGCTCTGGATATACGTCAAATCAAGGAAGAGTAGAAATTTATCTAAACGACACATGGGGAACCGTATGTGACAACAACTGGGGAATCGAAGAAGCAAACGTCATTTGCCGCATGGTGGGGTTCAGCGAAGGTGCTTGGAGTACACACTGCTGCGGCTGGTACGATGGATACAGAACACCAAACCAGATTTGGTTGGACAATGTGGACTGCGTCGGTGATGAAACAAGCATTGCAGAGTGCCGCCATAGCGGATGGGGAAGTCACAACTGCTTCCATTCTGACGACGTTGGTGTAGTCTGCAAATACACTCCACCCCCAAGGCCAGGTAGATATTCTGGTTGGCATTTTTATTGAAATGCTGGTTACTATTATTTTCATTCCCTAATAGAAAAGAATAGACGCACAAAATATATCACTTTCTTTAGAGGATAACTAACAAATGGGTGAACTGGAATTCGTTTGACTTTTTTTCTGACAGGAGTATAGAATATTCCAAACACGAAAACATGAACAGGAAATCTGCGCATGTAAATTCGTGCTGAAATTATCCAGGCATTTTGCTCTTTTCAAAGGTATAAGTTGGACTCCTACTTGAGGAACACATGTTCGTGGCAAATGCATATTGTCCTTAAGACCCAGCATGCCAAGTAAAGACAGAAACCCCAACACTTTTGTCAACTGACCGGATTCTTATGGTTTCTGGCTAAATAAGGCTTTTGAATATCTCTCCACCCTATTTAAAGTATAAAATGTACCACAGCCTAGTCATTTGTTGTAAATTTGAGTTTCTAAATGATACGGAAGAAGGAGCAATTGATTCAAAGTTAGCCACTGACACAAAAAAAATTTACTCGTGGCTCAACTTTGTATCAAGCTTGGTCAGGAGCCCAATAGGTAATGGGTTCCTGGCTTGGTTAACCAAAAAACATTTTCTTTTTTTTTCTGATTCCGAAAATACTTAATTGTGTTGTCTTATGTTCACTTAACATATAATACCTTAATTTTTTTCTCAGATCAAATTTTGAGACTAGCTGACGGAGTACGTGACGGCGAAGGAAGAGTAGAGATATTTCATGACGGCCATTGGGGTACCATTTGCGACGATCTATGGGATACAAAGGACGCGCAGGTGGTTTGCGGCCAACTTGGATATAGCGAAGTTCTTGCTGCTCCTGCGTTTGCTACATTTGGTGAAGGGAATGGTCATATATGGTTAAGTGACGTGAGTTGCCTGGGCAACGAAAGCTCAATTGAAGACTGTCCTCATCGCGGATGGAGTGTATACGGCTATTGCTATCACGAGGAAGACGCGTCGGTTATCTGTTCAAATGAAACCCAGAATCTAGGTAAGTTGTACACCATAACGTTATAGATTCATTTAAAAAGTCATGTTTTTTAATCAAGTGCAGAAGAACCGTTATGATACCAAAAAAAATGGATTCAGAGGTTGCTTTCGGAAGGAGAAGTTGTATCTTTAAAAGTGGTGTAGTCTTCGAAAGCAGCGTATGCAATAAGTTTTTCAAATGATTCTACTAGTATCTCAAATTTACGGTATAAAAATGGATTCAGGGGTTTGATTACTGTTTAGGGTCTCAAACAAAACTATTCCTTTTTTTTCAGTCATATATTTGGCGTGTTCTCGACCCTTCTGATCGACTTATGGCAATTTCAATAATGGCTCTTTTTTATGTATTTCCTTGAAAATATCACCCCTGTGCTCACTCAAGTCTTTTCCTGCAAAATTAAAAAATCACTCCTCTTAGATCCAGTCTCAAATATTTTCATTTGCAGACGGAGACGATTTTCTGTTATTTTGCGAGAGCCGTCGGAAACTGTGTTACTTCATGCCGCTGCCACAGGAAGCCCCAGCACAAACAACGGCACTAAAGCTTGGATTATACTATATGCCCGTCGCAATTTCCTACGATCCAATGCATGAACAAATGTACTGGACGGATGAATATGGAAGAATCTTCCGCGCATTCATTAATAATGGCTCTATAGAATTGGTGGTGACGGGAATTGGCAATCCAATGGGCATTGAATTAGATCTTGTTGGAAGGAACATCTACTTTGCCGACTATTACGGCGACAAAATCAGCATTGCTTCTCTCGATGGGGCACATCAAAATGTCCTCGTTTACGTACCTAACCCACAAGCGATCACTTTGGACAGCGAATCAGGGTATTTTCATTTAATATATTGTATAATTCAGCTTCTGTAACAAGTATATACTGTTCTCCTGATGCAGTTCTACTTTTCCTTCGCCCTCTTTGTCATCAATGGGATCAAGCTCATAGTAACGGTTAACTATTTAATCTTATGTTGTGCAAGTATTCTATTTTGTATGAGGTTTTAACCTCTCCTTATTCCATCATGACTGTCCAAGTCGGTTTCCTTTGGCCGGGCGGTATTCACCTCTTCACAAATTCAGTAAATTTCCATGTAATATCGCTGAAAAAGTTACAGCTGTGAAAATTGGATAAGGAAAAACGATTTTCGGCTTAACAAACTCAGTATGGCGTATCAAGTATTCAGTCATTCAAGAGAAGGGAGCCTCATTCATATTTCTCACCCTCAAGAATTAGGGCGGTGCTTCGTTGCACTGAATTGAATTTCGGAGTGGCCGATTAAAAGACCAGCACGAAAGGAGTACCTTTCGAAATAAATTAATTTGCTTTAGTTTTATTTTCAATTCCGTGCCAATATGGATTTAGGTGCAAATTAAAATTTGGTAGATTGATCAGTTTCTCAACTACCTGTGCCAAGTGAACAGTTTATAATCTCTTGTCTATGCTTATTTTGCTGAGGAAAAATTAAGTGATCGCATATTAGATTTAAAAACTGAACGTACGTGTAGATATTTCCCTCTAAATCTCACTAATGACATATGAATTTCTTATCCAATAAAAAGCCCCCATAGGCTGGTCATATTGTTCCACATTGTTTTTACACCTTTTTTTTTCTTTGTAAACAGGGTCATGTATTATTCATCACTTGGTAGCAGCCCCATGATATCTAAAGCAGATATGGATGGTAATAACCAACAAGTTATCGCAAATTTGTCATCCGTTACTTACTACACTTTCCTTGACATAGTTCTGGATAAAGCTAGCAAACGCTTGTTCTTTTCTGACCAAACCAATGACGTTATCAAATACATCGACTTGACCAATCATGAGATCCATACGCTGATTTCCGGAAATCTTCACTCGCCAACTGGACTGGCGCTGTTTAAAGACACCTTGTACTGGACTGCCACAGGTGAAGGACAATTCACGGGAGTCGTGTTCAAAGCCAACTTATCTGACGGCGCGGTGGCAAAGGCGCAGGTCGACGGTCTTGGAGAACCAAGTGGAATTTATGCCCACAACTCCAAGACTTCTCAAGTTCCCGGTAATCAAAATATTATTTAAAGAAATGACCTATTAATTTTTATTAACCGAGCGTGAGGGCCGCACTGGAGAATATTTGCCCAAGGTTATGGTCATAATGACCAAGCGAAGCGTGGTGCGTTTATAAGCGGCCGAAAGCCAATATTTCGCACTACTGCTTGTGCAAGCGAAGTTAGTAGGTAGTTTTTTGTATGGCACTTATGACAAACTTTAAATTTTCCGCCTCTTGCGAACAAAAATTCATGGCGTATCACCGTTTCCGTATGACAAAATACCGACCAGTATTTACTGCAGTAAGAACCAATCAGAACGCTCGGATTTACCTCAAGACTACCTTTGCCAAATAATAATACCTCATATTTTCATTACAACCAGTAAAGTAGTCACTTACTGGCTCGACAAGTAGTGCAGCATGTCACCCAATCTGTTGATCAACTTAACCTAACAGTAGCTTACTTACTATTGGATTACATCTCTATTTCAGGGCCATCGCCGTGTGAAAATAATGCTGGATGTTCACAGCTCTGCGTTGTCAATCCCACTGGTAGTAGATGTATGTGTAAGGCTGGACAGGTGCCAGCGGAAGATGGAATATCTTGTAAGTGTATTTGTACCTTTTGCACTATTTCGTTTATTAATATGATTAAGCTTATGTTTAAGATTATGATGATTATTAGTATTACTATTATTATCATTATTATTATTATTATTATCATTATTATTAATATCCGGTTTATGGTGAGGGTTTATAATAGTCTAATGAATAAACAAAGGATTTGCCAATAACTTAATCGGTTACCACTCACATCTGATTCTTATGATTCACTAACTACACCATCTCTTCAGATAGAGATGGGAGCGGTTATTTACTTATGCTGACATCAATCCATTAAATTTCTTGACTTCAGCAAAGCAAGTTGACAAATCGATGTCACTGATGCATATCAGAGTACCCACACACATTTTAACCTTAGTGAGAAACAAGAAGGGCACCGTTACGTTTTGACACAACCTATTATCTAACTCTTAATCGAAGATCTGGTAGCGAAGCCAGAACCTAAATGTTTGACGGAGAATTCGTATGCTGTGACCCCTGTGCAAACAAGAACTAGGTTTCTTCGTCTTGACCTGCAGGTATTCTTGGTGATGTCATATTTGTTGCCGATACCAATCACCAGAAAATCTATTTTGCTGGGCTCACAGAGAAAATTCTCAGCCCTCTGCCAATCTCAAATATGGATACTCCAACTGGTATTGCTTTTGATCCAATCGAAAAGCGAATCTATTGGACTGATCCCAAACTCGGCATAGTCGCTCGATCCACATTTGATGGAGAGACGTATGAAGTAATTCGCGAGAACGTTAGTTCACCAATGGGCATCGATGTGGACCTTGTGGGAGGCAACGTATTTTGGATTAACAGCGACAAAAGGACCATAGATGTCTCAAAGCTGAACGGCGATCACTGGAAAGTGTTAGTTTATAATTTGCATCCATCTCCGGTGGACATCGCTTTGGATACAACAAGAGGGTAAGCTAAAATAACGTTTTTCAGTTTTATTATTCAGCATTTGCAGGCAGTTTAACTCGCCTTCTACGCCATAGTTGTATTAGAGCATGCAAATACGACTTATCACACTCTATATCATAATGCTTTTTATGTAGTCTGAAAGGGCAAGATCAAACTTTTAGTGATATTAGGATAAGTTAGTTTCTAAGTTAGTTCATTCTGATTTTTACCTTAACTCAGGTATATGTACTGGTCAGCTGAAGGATACATTGAAAGAGCAGAGCTGGACGGATTGAACAGACGCATAATTGCCTCTTTGGGTGAAACTTACTACGGTTCCACAATCGATGCTAGAGGCCTCACTTTAGATCATGAAATGAATCGCCTCTACTTTGTGAGCTACTTTGAATATGCTTTACTGTATATAGATCTCGACTCAGGTAGCCACAGCGTACAAGTAATGCTGCGAAGCTTTTTTTTTTTCTTCGACCCTTTTGGAGTTGCCGTAGATGACAAGTACGTTTACTGGAATGAATATTCACTTTTTGGATGGGTGTTTCGAATTAACAAGAACGATACAAGCGATTTGGACCTTTTTCTTCACGGTTTGTACGACCCTAGAGGACTTGCAGTGAAAAAAGGCAATTATACACGGAAGAGTGAGTATACCTTTAAAAAAGATTTTGAAATGTCACCTTCCCTTCAGAACGCAGCCTTTATATATATTTTTTTTTTTTAACCTGAAGAAGGCCGAACGGCCGAAACGACGTGCATTAAACTCGTCCAGAACAGTCGAGAGTTGGCCTCTTAGTTACGTCCATATAGTACACTTAACTATATATAAATATATATCAATGATTGCTGTTATAATGAACTATAATATCGTGATATGCAAACCCCATTTTACCTCTTTTTTTCATAACAAATTTCTATTGTTCAGGCGATAACCCATGTAATGGTAGTTGCAGTCATCTTTGTCTGGTAAAGCCCGGAGGTTACAAGTGTGCATGTTCTGATGAGGATAGTAACACACCCTGCAGTGAGAGCGAACAAGTTAAAAGTAAGTAGTTTAGCCGGGAACAGAAAAATTTCCTCATTAATTTCAATTTTTGTTGTTTTGCGGCCAATGCTCCCGCAAAAAACGATTTACACGGGACATTTTTGGCTTATGATCATCGCAGGAATCAACGAAGACAAACGAAATTCATTCACTTTTTTTTGCCTTAAAATGATCCAACGATTTACGAACATTTTTATTCCCTTTGCTTACCTTTATATTCTTAATACTTAACTCATGATAGCTAATGAGATTCTTTTCTTCTTCTTTCAAGATCGTTACGGTTGTGAAAGTGACAACAGTCTTTATTTTATCGACCGGCACAACATTAAATGCATTGACCTGAAATCCGTTAACTCAACGTACGTCAGTGTTAAGACAGTAAGGTCTGACCTTATCCAGGGCGGCGCAATCGACATACACTATCGAGGAAGGATGATTTATTGGAGTGACAACTCTCTTTGGACGTTAAATCGAATGAGTCTAACTTCTGGTGAAAAGGAGGTAATTACTCTCCTCTTAATGCTGAATGTGTTGAAGAGAATAAAAATTGGTAAACCAAACATAACACACGAAACGCATAAAATTATTACCTGATCCTTGAAAAAATGGTTGATACTAGAACGTAGAATAGGCTATTAGTCTTTAAAGACGAGCAGGCAGAAAGCATTTGCTGTGATAACTTTGAAAACAGTACTTTAGGATCAAAATCTATGATACTCTATATGAGAGTTAGTTGAAAAAAATCTCTCGGTAAATATGTCCTTCCCAGCTCCGTAAACGTCTCATGGTCTCTTTACTCATTTTTTCAACTAATATGACACTCAAAGGTCATCATAAGAGACAATTTGGGACAGATAGATGGATTGGCTGTTGAATGGGAAAGTGGTCTCCTTTACTGGACTGATTTCATCTACGAGAGGATTGAAGTGGCGAAGCTTGACGGAAGCTCTAGAAGGACATTGCTATCGGATGGGATTTTCAGCCCTCGTGGAATAGCTGTCGATCCAAAGAATGGGTAAGCTACAGTTGTTTGCATAATGACTGATTTTGGGTATACCGAGCAATAGGTCTGGCTTCTGTGCCGTGAGCGTCGGCCTTGACACAATATATGTACACAGTTTAAGTGTGATTAATTTATTAGAAAGAAATAATGACAAAAATTGGTAGTACCAGGCCAGTCGATTCAACCATGTTTATCTTGCCGTGCGTTAAGCCCGCTAGTAAGATAGTTTGTTTACTAGACTGTGATTGGAAATGTCGGGTCAGGGCTATGACCGGATCAAACCAACATTCCAAATTTCAATTCAACCTGGAAATAGTGGAAATAAAGTGCCACCTCATGAAATTTACACCGCTAAATCCCATTGTTATTATTATCGTTATCATTATTAGCATTACTATTATTATTACTTGATGCGTACTAACTCGATGGCCAGGCCGGGAAAAGCTGACGATAGTCTGCAATTGAACGGTAATTCATGCAGGAGAATTATCAGCATTCTTTCTGATAGAAGAGGCAACACACTGTATGCTGTGATCAATGGACTTAGCAAAAACTGTAAAATTGACTCTGGCAGAGGGTGGTTAGGATACATGGCTCTGCATGGCCTGGTTAATTCACCGTAATTAAGAAATAAGCAAAGGCAAAAGCTTGGGTGTTGTAAAGTTGAAAATGTATCAACCTAACTGAAAAGTGGAACATCATTTCAGTTGGATCGCTCAGGATTTCATAGAACGACAATAACATTGGTATGTTTTATCTTCTTCAAGGTTCTTATTTTGGACAGATTACGGATTTGCTGATAATCCAAGAATTGAACGGTTGGATCTAACGGGTGAAAATCCAACAGTCATAGTTGACTTTTACTGGTATCAGAGTTATCCTATGAGTGTGATAGTTGACTACGAAACTGAGACCATCCACTGGATAGACAGATACTTTCACGAATTTCAGCAAGCCGACATGGACGGGAATAACGTAGTCTACAATGCATACATCGGACAGAACATAAACCCAACAGATCTCGCTTTGCTTGGCGACTCTATTTATTGGGCAGACAGGAATAGTCACAGCGTTGAGTTTTTAAACAAGACTCAGAAACTAGGCATGCATTATAACCTCGGACACCTCACTGATGAGTACCCCACGGGTGTTGTGGTGTCAGACAAATCGAGACAACCTGTTGGTAAGTGGTTCTCTTAAATAGAATATTGTTGACAGTCCATCAAATACTTTCGCTCGTAAACGATTGGTTAAAACAGGTCACATGACCAAATGTGCTCCAGCCAAACTTTGGAAAAATCTGTCCACACACCCATATTTCTGTTTAACAATTATTCCACGAGCGAGCGTTGGATATGAGATGATTGATAGCCTAGCTGGCTATATCCAACAAGCGCTCGTGGAATAATTGTTTCATTAAGAACGTCCCAAAGTAAGGATGTTTTATAAGTTATTTTAGCTTTGTTTTAATTTTGAGCTGACGCACACACTTACCATATTTGTGGAGCATGGTATAATCGCTCATAACCCATGATGGTTAAGCCGATGAAAGCTCTTGAACTGCATTATCCAATGATCCAGTTTTTATCAAATTCTAATTTCAAATTTTACGTTTTATCTATTTTTTTCTGCTTTCCACGCTTTCTTTTTATATTATAGCTATTTTTGTCCTCTTAATCATAATTTATTCCCAATGCTGGTGTAAGATATTTAAAAGCAAGGTCATATTAAATCAAGGCAATTTTTCGCAAGAAAATAGAATGGATCGCCGTTAATTTATATAATTTTTTTTTTTTACATTGAATGTCTGAAAATCATTGCATTGCGTCCTGACTTCGCATAATTTCACACATAACTTGGATGAGGACATAAAAAAGCAGCTTTTTCTCTATGGTCCGAGCTCATCAGAGAAGTAAATCGTCATTTCTCGCAAACGAGCACGGTAACCTTTTCCCTCTTCATTGGAAATGAGCAATGACTTTCTTTCAGAAACACGATCTAGCAAGTACTCGAAAATATACTTGTCATGATTTGGGGACGCTACTGCTTCCAAAAATACACGGGCAACCCCTTTTTATTTCAAAATTTTCGCTTTTATAACATAAACAACTAATAGGTAGGGTTTGACAAAGATCTCAGTCCAGGTTCTATTTCAGAGGCTCCATATTAAGGGAAGTACGACTCTGATATCAACATAAAACGAGTTATAAATTTTATGACTAACAAAACTTCTTTTCTTTGAAGCACCCAAATCTCCGTGTCGTATTCATAACGGCGGATGCAGCCATCTCTGCTTAGTGGCTCCCGGCGGGTTCACCAAGTGCGCATGTCCATCTAGTGTGAAATTAGAAGACGACAATATGACTTGCAGTGACGGTAATATATACTAGTAAATAAATATTAAGTAAATGGTGAAGGGGCCAGTACATTATTTTCTCGATGGCATACTATCACTTCCCCCCCTCCACCTGTTATAAATTTTATTTTTTTTCTTTATTTATTTTTTCACAACATGGTGACGCAAGGTAAGCGCAGACAGAAGCTATTTCAGTTGCAAACCCTCTCTTTTTTCTCACTTATTTAGCATTATCTTGTAGCCTTTTGATTTGCCAATTTTTTGTATTCTCTTTGTCTTTTTAGAAGTTATACCAGAGCCACCTCCACTGCCTGTGCCAGGTAGGCATTTAAGTATTCGTTTTTGGTCATTTTTGAGACTGGAATGCTTCAGCAACGTGCAGGCTTGGAAATTAGCATCGCATTTCAACTGACATCCTCCATGATTCTACCGTAAACATGGAGAGTGGGGAGGGTGTGACGATTCTCTTTCTAATCGCTCTGCTTTGATCTCATGGCATATAAGCACATATTTGGTAAACAACCTACAGAGGGGACGATAAAACTCTTGGACTGTCATCTGAAATGTTGCATTAAACCTGAACTTGTCTGACGAACTCTCAGAGCAGACCAGACAGTATGAAAGTAGCTCAAATAAATATAATCTGAGTTTCCTTTCTCTGCAGTATCTTGTATTCTATAATTTGTCTTATGTTTTTTGACAGTTGTGAAAGTACGTCTTAGTGGCTCCAACTCCCCTGACGAAGGTCGTGTTGAGGTGTATCATCAAGGAAGATGGGGAACAGTCTGCGATGATCATTGGGGCATAAGTGAGGCTACAGTTGTCTGTAAAATGTTGAACTTCTCGGGAGCCAACCGTGTGGAATCCTTCGGACCAGGGAACTCTTCGTTTCCCATTTTAATGGATAATGTTAAGTGCCGCGGTGATGAGCACACCATTGCAGCTTGTCAGCACGATGGCTGGGAGATGCATAATTGCTTCCATAGCGAAGACGCAGGAGTTGTCTGCAGAAATGACTCTGTTCCTTCTCCTGAAGGTAAACACAGTTTGTACACCTTTGGCACGAGTATATCTCAACAAAAGAGCCTAGTCTTGGTTCTATTTTAAATAATGTATGGTATTGTTTTCTTGAGTATGAAATAGCATTGAGAGTAATGGTATGGTTGAGTATACTCCATCTCCTGCGAAATTGAGTTTGTTACTACTGGGTATTTGCTTCAAGCTTTTTGGTCCCGATTTCTGCCTGTCAGCTTTCTGCCTGACACTTTAATGAAACATTAGGCCAAGGATTCGGTTTGTGGGTTTTTTGCTTTCATGATAATCTCTATGAACGTTTAAGATTCTTTTATTCATAATTCTGAATTATATGGTCGGGACTTTGCCATACGGGCCGTTTCCACAGAGTAGGTTATAGTTCGAGTCGTGTATTTTTGTTCTCGACACCAGGAAAAGTCAAATTTTACAAGTCTAGTTCAAGTGCAGTACAACAAGCTACAGACTAACATCGCTTGCTTGAAAGGCACCGGGGAATATTGGCCCTACTACCCCGACCTCGAGCTAAAATTCCCTAGTAATACGGCCCTCGAGCTTGGTCATTAACAAGCCATCAATAAGGTTTTCTCTAGGAGACTGAAAAATGGATTAAAATAACATTAGTGTGTTTTATTTAGAATTTTACAGCTAATCTGTTCTGCTTTATGCTTTTCATTTTAAAGGCCCAACACTTTCTCCCGGACCACATCCGGGTGAGTTTATTATGATTTTAGTCAATCGTCTTATTTTTTTACATATCACAAATATCGGAATAGCGTTGTATTAACGAGACCACAATAAATTACTAAGGATTTTTTGCCTACTCTTGGCCCAGAATTAAAGGTTCGCTTAAGATCTGGAATCACGTCAAATCAAGGAAGAGTGGAACTCTTCCTTAACGGTACGTGGGGAACCATATGCGATGACGATTGGGGAATCGAGGAAGCAAACGTCATTTGCCGTATGCTGGGGTATACTGAAGGTGCTTGGAGTACACACTGCTGCGGTTGGTACAATGGATATAGTACACCAGACAAGATTTGGCTAGATGATGTGCATTGTGTTGGCGACGAAGAAAGCATTGCAGGATGCCGCCACGGTGGGTGGGGAAGTCAGAACTGCCTCCACTCTGATGACGTTGGTGTAGTCTGCAAATACACTCCATTGCCAAGACAAGGTAAGCCAGAAAATGGTAAAATTAAATATTAGAAAACAGAAATTTAAAAATTCCGCCAAATGGCAGTGTGGAAATTTTCTTCTTTTTAATGACGTAGTGGCTAAACTAGTCGGTCGCAAAAAAAACTTCAAAGATGACTGAAAGTAAAGTCCGTTCCGTTTTGCGTAACGACAGAACCTTCTATGAGAAAAAAAGAAAAGTTTACCGGCCTTACCACGAGAACAAGTCATTATTCCACGCAGCATGACAGATGACTTTAGTCTGAAACTCCCCACGAGAAATTAAAAGATAACAAAAGCAAAATTGCTTTTCCTATTTTGAGGACTCAATTTACAAAACTCTCTTACAGCTCATGGTGTAACGATGAACTCTGTTTATGCACATTATTTACCCTGTATATTCGCTTTAAAGACTTTTACAAGAAAAAAACCCTTTCCATCATTGTAACATCCACTAAATTAACGTTTTTTTCCTCAGGTCAAATACTGAGACTAGCTGACGGAATACGTGAGGGTGAGGGAAGAGTGGAGATATTTCATGATGGCCACTGGGGAACTATTTGTGACGATTCCTGGGATAAAAAGGATGCAGACGTTGTGTGTCGTGAACTTGGTTATCGGGAGGCTTTGAGTGCTCCCACGGACGCTTTTTTTGGTGAAGGAAATGGTCACATCTGGCTAGCAGATGTGGAATGTTTAGGTAATGAAAGTTCAATCGAGGATTGTCAGCACAAAGGATGGAATGTAATCGGCTACTGCTTTCACGAGGAAGATGCATCGGTCATATGCACGAACGATACTCGAAGTCCAGGTAAGAATTTTATTCTTAAAGCTCGGCTGTGTCAAAAGTAAGACATTAGTAGGCGCGAAGTGGCTGTCTGCTAGTCGAGCATTGATTTTTTGGGATCAAAGCATGAGACTAAACATCTATAGTGACACATATTTCAGTATTTGATAAAGTACATAGTACCATAAAACTTTCATATCCGTCATCGGAATTTTGAGATTCCAAAGAGTAACTTAACTGTTCGAAAATTTACTAAAAAGCTAATTAATCTGCTCCTCGGCCAGGGAGCCAGAGCTAATCCCATTTTCCTAGTCACGAAGTCAGAAGAAATTATTCTCTCTCCTTGCGTGAGATGATGAGTAATTGCAGGTTACATCTCCTTCCTCGAGTGGTTTCACTAGGTTAAAAGTTGTCTCACAGACACATATTTTTCATTTATATGCACTTCCACAGATGCAGATGATTTCTTGCTATTTTGCGATGACAATCGCAAACTCTGCCACTTTCAGCCTCTGCCTCAGCCCAATTCTTCTGCACAGCCGATTCCTTTAAGGATTACACTCAACTCTAAGCCAATCGCAGTAGCCTACGATTTCAAAGAGGAACAGATGTATTGGACAGATTACTATGGAGAAATTAGAAGAGCTTCCATACATAATGGCACGGATGAAGTAGTTCTCAGAGACTACTTCCTAACGGGTGTACAAATAGACACTGTTGGAAGGAATATCTACTTTGCTGACTTTTACGCCGATAATATTAGAGTTGCCTCTCTTGACGGAACCTATCAAGCGGTTCTAATTGACGTAGAGTTTCCTCAAGGGATCGTCTTAGACATTGAATCAAGGTAAGCTTCACCGAATTAGGTGTGAAAGAGTCTTTATGCTTATCCGCGGTATACACTTTTGAGAGAGAAAGTTGATGGGGTGATGGAATCGAATTACGACGAACGGTTAAAATTTTGGTCATTATAAGAATAACGGTTAATATGACTCAATCGTTGTCACCAGAAGTTTTTATTACAGATACTTTTCTCAAAATAATCCACTTTGCATCAAGAAAGACTTGATGAAATCTCTAGGCAAGAGTGATAAAATCTTTAAAGTGGTGCTATTGTATCGAAATATTCCTCGTTAAGCGTTCAAAATCCAATTTTGTTAGGTATTTTGAATTTTTGACCATTACTTTGTTATGATTTCGCGACTCACCTGTCGCGAAATCACAAAAAAAATCAAGAAAGATTTCAATTTTAACTTTCTGCGTTCAATTACATCTTCCTGCGCTGTTTGGGATTAATTGACGTGTTCTCAACCAATGAGCCAACTGAAAATTTTTATGTATATTATTGGCTCTGAAATAATGCGTGTGATTTCGAAATCGAACGAGTGCGCAACGCGAGTTTGATTTGAAATCACAAGTATTCTACCTGACCAAAATTGCTCAACACGCAGTTTGATCATCACGTTATTACAGTCATTTTAAAATCGCAAGATTTAGCCACTTAAAGAAAGGATTTTTCAGTCTGTATGAAAAAAATGTTTTGATTCAGTACTGAGCTGATTTTGTGAAAATGTGCAAAAGTTGTCATTCATATTCCTGCAATTCGATTTGTTACTTTAAACAGTCTTAAAAGTCATGTGTTTTTTGTAACACTTTCTCATTGGCTGGAGTAAAAATGGTGCGATTCTTGAATAAATCGCACCGACGAAAGCCAATCAAATTTCAAGGATCACCAGCGATTTATAGATAGAAAAAATAATTTTATTTAAATATTTCATATACTTCACATTGCTATTGTTTTATTTTGATTTGATTTGTCTCGAACAGGTACATATATTATGTATCGCATGGATTAATCAATACGACAATTCATCGAGCCGATATGGATGGAGAAAACCAGATGCTTATCGCAACTATGCCCTTCATTCTAAGTTATACATACATTAACTTAGCACTGGATAAACCTAACAAGCGCTTGTACTTTTCTGACCAAACCCATGACTTCATACGTTACATCAATCTGGACAATAAAGAGGTTCGCACATTTATTTCCGGAAATCTCCATCACCCTAGAGGACTGACACTAATAAACAATACGCTGTACTGGACTTCTTCGGGTGACGGAAAGTTTACTGGTGCCGTATTCAAAGCAAATATTACAGACAACCCAGTTGCTCAAGAGATGATTGCTGATCTGGGGGATCCGTCGGCGATATATGCACACAACTCTATGATAACTCCTGGTAATTATATCATATCATCGTAAGACTAGGTAGCTGAACGACCTCAAAACCATAAGTCAGAATTTGAATCTTAAGACGTAGAAGTGCAGGTATTCGCTAAAATCGCACACCATTCTGCTTAGTTGCCTGAATTTCTTATTATTTGACTTTTTAAACTACTAACATCTCGATCTTGAAAGGAAACACGACTGACAAAGAACAGAATTTTGATACCGCTATCCACCAGGACTTCCGTGAAACAGGCTGGGTCTCTCATAAAAGAATTAAAAAGACCCAATATTAGAAACGATGGGTTATCGGAAATCTCTGTTGCTGATGTTTTTAACGAAAAAAACACTTGATATTTGATCACGTGCGAGGTAAATTCTAGGAATTAAAACCAAATGAACTTCTAATCATGGACTAGCTCAACTGCCCCCTCTTGAAGTTACGGCGTGAAAATAAAAACTAAGCCAATTAATTTTGTGGAGAGGTGCATTAACTTTCGTAATATACTGTTGTAGAAAAACAAAAAAATAATCAGTTGGCCAGTAGAGGTCGCGCTTGTTTGAAGAAATTACCAGCACTTCCTTGCAAAATCCCGTCTCAGCCGAGTTGCTTTTGAGTTTTAAATTTTTTGATACTTGATTAACAGAACTAGAATTGAAAGAGGACTCGTACAATAATTTAACAAGCTAAAGTTAGTGGCGCCTCGAGCAACTCATACGCTTGTCTCGTGCTATCTAAACTTCTTGCGTGCACACATAACTCGATATGCGCACGCTAAGCAAGAACCAATAATTTATTAAACTTTTCTTTTACAGATGAAGCACTATGTCAGAATAACGGTGGATGTGAACAGCTCTGCTTAGTGACTCCAAATGACCAGAAGTGTAGGTGTAGGTCTGGAATGGTACTAAAAGAAGATGGAAAAACCTGTAGGTTTATTTGTGTATTGTGTTTAGTTTATGACTTGTAAAAGACACCATATCTTTCCTGATCTTGTCATATTTCATGGTCATGTACAATTAGTGAAGGTTTCCAGGTGTGGTTTTAGGCGACAAATCTAAGACGTCATCATGACGTAATTGTCAAGGCAACTAGGCTTCATCAACCTTGGTTCCATTGCAAGGAACTGAACAACCCTCTGACTTAAACGTCGCCCTCGTCTTACAATGATTACACATAACTCAACATCTATACGAGTGAGTGCTTTTGTTCATTTTGAATGCTACGCCATGACATGATGGCCAGATTCAGATTTCTATCTTCACTGATAAGTGACTGGACCAAGTGGCTTCATACAAGTCTACTTTCTATCGTGTGTTTTCTGCCTTTGATTAACTAATTTATGCCTCCTTTTACCTCAGGTACTCTTGGTGACGTCATATTTGTTGCTGATATCTTTTCCCAGAAGATTTCTTACTCTGAGCTGACTAGGGATATTCTGACTCCTTTACCAATTTCTAATGTACAAAATCCCACTAGAGTAGCTTTTGATCCATTCGAAGACCGTATCTATTGGACTGAACCCTCCCTGGGCATGATCGCTCGATCCAAATTTAATGGAGAGATGTACGAAGTAATACGTAATAACGGTTCACCAACGGCAATTGGTTTGGATCTTGTGGGACGAAATGTGTTTTGGATAAACAGTGACGAAGGTATTATCGAAGTCTCGAATCTCAACGGTGATAACTGGAAAGTGCTGATTTCTGACCCGAAACCGTCACCGCAGGACATTGTTTTGGATACGACTCGAGGGTAGGTTAAACTTTCATTGTCGCAGTTACAGTGTACAATCAAACCTGTATTAAGCGGTACCGTACTAACGAGTCACCCTGTATTAAGCGATCGGTCAAAGCCTCGAAATTTTTCCCTTTTAGCACTGCAATTTTTCACCTCTGTTAAGTGATCGTGGTCACCTTTGATTCTCAACGACCTGTTTGTATCGTCTTCCACCCATTTTGAACGGTGACTCAGAGTTGAACCACTCAAATCAAATTAAAACAATTTCTAAAGTCAAATTTATGGCATCATAAAATCAATGTTAGTACTTTGAGTTCAAGTGTTTTCAACGCACTTCGGATTAATATTATTCTTAGAACTGTTAAGACAGAATGCATTTTTTTTATCGCGTTTGACTCCTATTATGCGAAACCTGTATTAAGCGGTCACCTCTTCATTTCCCATGGATGACCGCATAATGCAAGTTCGTCTGTGACTAACAAAATAATTTTGGAGAGTGACGTAACGAATGTCAATGGATTATGTCAGTCTTAGCTTTTGTTTAATGCGTCAATATAAACGTAAATTAGTTCAGAACAATGCAAATTTTTGAGCAATATTTAGTTCAATGGGTTTAGTAGGCTGAAATGTATCGAGAAGAATAAAACAGACGGAGTTTATTTTTAACACATTGTATATCGATGCTGAATGACATAAATGTCAGGAAACTACAGAGATAGGCCATGGTATTGCCGTCGTTTACATACATATCTCTGTATTGTTGCACGTTAAACTGAGGCTGGCTTTATTGATCGGATTGATGACTCGAATCTAAGTGTAAAGAAAAGGTAATATAATTCGGCTCCTACTTTGTATATCCATCTTTCTTTGTCGTTTCGCCATCGAAGATATGAAATTTGAATTTTGCAAAAGAGGCGCAACAATTGATTTCGTGCTCTTGATCTGCAATAAAGTGAACTTAACTTCGAATTTTTAAAATCAGCTCAAGCGAGAAATATCAGGAAGGCTTCAGGAAAAAACTCTTTTCCTTATCTTGAAGAATGTTTCTTTTCCAGGTACATGTACTGGTCGGCTCTAGGTTTTATTGAAAGCGCGCAACTAGATGGATCAAACAGAACAACAATTGCACTGGGAAACACCTCCTTCGATAGACCTTTTGATGCCTTGTATATCACCCTTGACGTTCCATTTAACCGCATATACTTTGTGAGCTACGACGAGTCCGCCATCTTCTACATCGATCTCGATTCCGGAAACAACTCTATCCATACGGTTCTTCAAAATGTCTTCTTGTTCTTCCAACCACATGGAATTGCTGTCGATGACCAATACTTATATTGGGGTGAAACTTTCTGGTATGCAATGGTTCTGCGAGTCAACAAGACCAACTATGCTGATGTTTCAGTTGAGGTTTCTGGGCTGCATGGACAAAGGGGAATTGCAGTCAAAAAAGGTCGTTATGAACAAGAAAGTGAGTATTTCTTATGACAGTATCATGATATCACGAAGCCGTATAATTTTTTTTTAGGTGCCATTCGTTTCCCTCCTAATTAACTTTGGCACAAAGCGAGAATAAATTCGACTATCTTATCACATTTTTTTTACTCTCATCTCATTCGTCTTTTGTGGATACCTTCCAAGTTCGTCTAAAATTTTTTTGAAGCACTTGAACAACCATTGTCTGAATAGACCTCTAACTGCGGTTTTCAGTCTCTTAGGTTTAATTTATTTCTTTTTTTAGCAATTCATCCATGTAGTAAAAACAGCTGCACGCACCTCTGCTTCAAAATTCCATCTGGATACAAATGTGATTGCCCGAATATCACAAGCGATGGACAGAATTGCTCACCGTCAGTTGTGGTTTGGCCGCCGCCTACGACGACCACAGCACCAACGACCACAGCACCCCCTACAACGCCTATTGACTACTGTGCCAGCGCACCTTGTATGAACGGAGCCACGTGCAAATCTGAACCTGCAGTCAATAAAAAGTTCCATTGCCGCTGTGTGGGGTACTTTGGGGGTCCAACTTGCTCGGTTGATATAGGTGAGTCAGAATCTGTGTAATGGTGCAATTGTGTAATTGTGAAAATTCGAGACACAACCTCATATATATATTCTTCTTTATAAAAAATTTAACTCTTAAAACTTCCTTAAAGGAAAAAAATTAGTGTTTCTGTTTGTTATTTATAGTTTACGTTTTTACTATCTTTGTTTGTTTATTTTTTTTTTTTATCATTTTCCTTAGTTTTTCTTTTTATGTAAACCAAGCTGATGACTAACTGTTTTTCAAGTCTCTATGAACGTCTTTGCTTCATCATTTTAAAATGTGACTTAGTTTGGCCTGTCCTTGGCTTTTTGTCAAAGAAGAAGAGCGAAAGAGCGAGGGAACGAAAAACGTAGGTTGTGAACGTTAGGGTAACGACTGCGTTATGAGGCTGAGTCCCACCGTTTTTAATTCGCGTCCCCACTTTTTCGCTCTTTCTGCCTACAAATAAGTAAAATGGCAGGCTAGGATAAGTTAAGAGGCGAATTCTTACTTACTTAGTCAATATTTCATTGATGCAGAAGAAGAAACGGTCCAGTTGGTACTAGCAGTGCCTTTAGCGGAGGTTAGTCAAGAATTACACTTTAGCCTGTGTTCATCCTCATAAAATACACCCCACTAGGTGTCTACGTATTAGACATGAAGTTCTCAAAATTTTCATTTCGAAAATTGATGATATGCATGAAAAAATCACGCACTTCTGATTGACTGTAAATTTGTGCATTTTTTATGTAACGCGAGTGCAAATTACAAATAGCGCGCGCGCTGTCCAAAATTTCGTCTGTCTTGACTTTCTGTAATGCCGTTTTTTTGTTATGTATTGGGTAATGACATGATGTCTTGTTCCATTTGGCTTAAATTCAAAGACGACAAATTGTACGAGCTCGTGGGGTTTTTTCTGTCTTTAATAAATTTACCTGTGCTTATCAACAAGGAGCAAGGAAATTAGGGAGAAAAACCCTAAGTCTTGGTAAATTCGAAATATCATCCCAACTGTTTATCGCAATATTTCTTCAAGTTCTTTTAACAAGCCATGTTCGGGCAAAGAAGCCGTATCGAGCTGATCAGAACACGGAAAATTTCAACTCTAATTTGCAGGTTGCTGCTTTAAAATTAAGCAAAAAGATACCTTTAAGGTTTTCTCCCCCGTGCGTTACAAAGCAATTAATTCCCTTAATTTATTACGATAGTCCCATCACCAAGCTTGGCGTGAAACGAAACAGCAAACAACGTTTTTGCATCGCTCTAATCAAGGTCCACCCCGTAATTGAAAATTTTGGGGAGATTTCCTTTGAGTTTCATTATGTCGTAAACGTACTCTCTCCCTGAGACTTCGTAATCGCGATGTCAACTAATTTGTTTATATCTTTTTAGTTCAATCTAAAAGACTTCATACTCTCAATTGTGGCAGCACTAAATGAAGAATGCAATGCGAACCCTGACTCATGCTCTTTTAGCGAAAGGTAGGAATTATTTGCAAAATACGCCTATTTACCTTCCCTCTTACGTATTTAGCCACCTTCTACCGATTTACCAGACCACCGCCTATTTAGAGGGGGTAAGTTTCTCAACAAACTGTGGTGCTGCGTCGGTGGGAGAGAACAAAAGGGTAATTAGGTATTATCAAATGAGTTGATAAAGTAAATTGGTCACCGTAAAAAGTTTCAAAGCTGACGTTTCGAGCGTTCCGGCCCTTCATCAGAGCGAATGGCGAAAGGCTAACGCTCGAAACTTCAGCTTTCATAATACAAAAGTACACCGCACATTTATATTTACCAACTAATTACGCAATAAATTTTATTCAAGTAACCACGCAGTCCGTTACCTATGAAATCTGCTCAGTTACCCATTCAGTTACCTACCTACATGTCTGCTTGTCTACTAATTAGTGTTAACTACCAGGATATTGGTGGTTATATGCACCCTGAAACTGATAAGTCTGCTTCCCTAACAAACTCGTTCTTTATCATTTATTCAATTCAGCAATTCGTTTATCAATGTCTTATCAACAATTTTAATTTATCAGCCCTGCGTCTATCGTCAAACGCGCTGTAAATGGCCCGTTTACACAAGAAGACATCTACATTCCCTCTGATCCAAAAGAAGTTGATGGAGGAACCCAAGTTGAGTATGCTGTGGTTAAAACTACTGAGGAAGGCAAACTTACGCCGGTGTCAGCTTCATTCGTCGCTGATGTGACCAAAAAGAACGCAGCGGCAATTGGACGTAAAAATGGAGGGGATGTACTCTCAGTTAAACAGAAACCAGTCATAAAATCCACGCCCGCGCCACGATCCGGACGATCGAATGCAGGAGTGATTGCTGGGGTAATCGTAGCTTTGGGGCTTGTTCTCATCATGGTTGCCTTGGCCGTCTGGTATTTCAGGTGAGTAAGATTCTTATGTAGAAAAGTTTACTACTCACATTGAGATTATCTTGCTCTTCCGGCTGCACAAAAGAAATCGGGTTTTATATACGATACAATAATTATTTGCAGAGTGTATCAACTCACGTCATAACATAATATCACATCAACTATCCTCAACATTTAAACATCCTCATTCATTCATTTGTCTTAATTGATTTTTATTAGAATGAAGAGGACTGGTAAGTTAAACTTGCCTTATGTAAGAGAACTAGACCGGGAGGAGTCGAAACGTCGCACCACGGCCTTTGAAAATCCGGGATACGACGGCGCCGGTACTGGAGACTACAACGACATACATCCGGAGGTCTTCTCTCCGTTTCAAGAAACGACAGAGGCCAGTGGAGTGTCCAATCCAATCTATGCTGAGATAGGTATGACTAAAATGTCCTCTTCCGAGGATATCAAACGAGACGAGGCTAACGGTGAGTCCGTTGATCAAAGCTACGCTTCCCCAGGCGAGCTGCCCAAGAAGGAACCACTTCCAGACGATAAAGAAGCAAAGCCAGAGTACGTGGAAATCATTGTTCAGGGGGAAGCATCCAAACAAGAAGATCCACGATACGTTTCTTTGTCTTTTGGTAAAGAAAAAGAAGCCAAGAATGACCATACGGCAAATGAAAAAGAAAAAGAAGAAGACCGATACCAAACACTGACAGGAAATGATGGTGGACGGACCGCGGTGATTTTGGAAGAGAACAAACAGCCTAATGATCAATCACAATCTTAAATCGATAATTCCCTGGATTTAGTCAGCGCCAATTAGACACCTTAGAGGGCACTTAATTCATTAAAATTGATTAAACCTTAAAGGGGGTCTCAATGGGGTGGTGGCTTTTACGGCAAACGGTTAACATTTCACAACAGCCGCTTAATTTCTTTCCGTTGCTATGGGAGGAAAAATGTTTACGGTTTGTTTTTTTGTAACGACTAATGGTTAAAATTTGTCAATGTTTACGCCTAACGACTACTTATTTATTTTTTGTCGTTTTTCGGCTTAACGGTTTACACCGTTGAGATCCTTGCACAAGAGCTTGTACAACACGTTTTGGCACATGTTTTGGCGCAACATCTTTTGCAACTATTTTGATCAATGAACCAGTGAACCAGGACCTAGATAAACTAATTATTGATTTCTGTTATTAGTGCCACCAATCGTAAGGCTACTAGTTTCACTAGTAAAACACTGATAATGCCTTTATTTTCCCCCACTATTAACTTTTCCACAACTTTTGTAATTGCTACCAAGTAACTATTACTACTGCCATGTTTGATGCTGCAAGTAATTTTCTTTATTGCCCTTAGTGCTAGCGCTGACGCTATCTGAAAGGGTGAAAAAAATTGAAAATAACTACGAGTGTCAGTAGCGAAGGTAACCCCGTTTTGCACTTTTTACTAAGGTTTTAAAGAATACAACAACTGGATATTATTCTTCGAAGGTCAAGTGCAGAATACCCATTTTTTTTAAGTAATGCGGAGTATTACACTTTTTTTAAATCGTCTATTTACCTTTAAAACAAAAGTGTACTGTGATTATCCTTTCTCATTTTATTTCTTATACGTAGGTGGAGTGGTTATGAATTCAGATGTAACCATATTTACAATAATCGAACAGGTTAGGTCGAAAGAACTGAGAAAAAGGAGGATAAAAGGAAGGAATAACTTGATAGCAGTGGCTCCAAACAGCCTTAGGAAAAATAAATCTTCAGGGTTTGTGTTATCAGTGTCATAGGTCCAAAGTTTTTACAGAGGGAAAGGGAAAAGAGTGAGAAAAAAATATTTAAACGATAGAAAGGGAATGATAGACCAGCACATCATCAACAGATGAAAGTGATATTTTTAAAAGTAATGATTGAATTAATACTTAACACTGCAGAGCAGATATACTATGCTATGGCAGTATAAACAAGTATTATTCAGTAGCTGCTTAAACGCTCTAGAAAGTTTAGCAGGGAAATGTACCTATCTGTATATGAATGTAACAAATCAGCAATCTGTTTTCGGCTTCCTCGGGATTGCCTGGGATAATGACCGACAAAATTCGTATATTAACCAACTACTTTTGTTTTTTTATTGTTTGGTTTTTTATTCTTTTTGATAAATAATGGCCGAAATATTTTCATTAGGAGCAAAATCTAGAGGATCGTCTCCTTTGAGACACTCTCAATCAAGGAGCAATGAAGTCTATTTTTCGAGGGGAGCGGATGGGAGGCTGCGATGCTTTCCTAAGTTCCAACGAAGCTAGGCTAACGAGTGGCTAGCTTTACAATTATCGATTGCTCTCTGGATTTTCGCTTGGATCTATTTTTGTACTTATTTTTATTTTTTAAAATAAACTGTATAACTTCAACTGCGAAGCCAATGACTGGCTCTTTAACTCTACTTACGCATTTCATTACTTATTCATTTGTCGCTCTATTTACTGGATTCATCTTCATCACTTGTTGGCAGCGAGATGCTCATGAATGTAGAAGAAAATTCCCCAAACGCTACTTTAAGCGCGCCCTTTCCCCATTTGAATTTTCACTGAAACATTCTTCGCCGCTAATCGATTTTTTCTTACAATGCTTGCTGCTTTTCGAAGGCCGAAGGCCAAAAAAAGATCCCGATGATATTGAAACAATCACTCCAAGATAAATTACAAACAACCAAAAGTCCTGATATTTTCAAAAGGAAAAATTGTTTTTTGTTGTTTGTTTGTTTGTTTTGCTTTGAAGTTTTTTGTTTTTTGTTTTTTGTTTTTTTGTTTTTGTTTCCTGGCCCTTTTTCCTTTCCGCCGCGTAAGCGTTGACAGGTTTTCTCTGAGATGGAGGCTGCAAGAATTTACGATGAGACTTCATCTTGATAGTCACCAATTTTTGCGTGTTACGCCTACCGAATTTACGAAGTTTTCCATCCTTTTAGAGAAGAACCGCGATGGTATGTCGACCATAAATAGCCCAAGTGATTAAAAGATCTTACCAGAGTAGTGAAGTATTCAGTCGCTTTCAATCAACTTCCTGTAGAAAGTTATAAAACCATGAAGGAATTTATTGATTCTTTGTTCCATAATGTATTCGCTTTCCGGGCCGTGCTCGACCGAGTCAAAAGTTCTTGACATTCCGTGCCGCAGTCACTTCTTATTACTGTCGAAATTAGATAGACTGGTTATTCATTGGCCCTATCAACTGATATTGCTTCGAATGCATCTTGGTGAAGAACAATGCATAATTGTGAATTTAAAGCAAAACCAGACATAGTCTTGCATCTGACATCATCCTTTTGGATGTAAGGTGACCTAGGAAAAAGCTTATCCAGTGATCTTTTACCAAGAGTTAGGAGAAAAAGTTAAATTTTTGCGACCGGTGAGATTTAAAACAATGTGTTTATTCGAAGAGCTATTATTATGAAATCATTCGCCACTTACATTCGTTTGGAGCCTAGATAACAGCCTTGGGTAGTAAAACTGCTGTAATTTTTTCTGAGAAAAATGGCCATAAGTTGTTAATCTACTGCTTATGTGCGGGCTTTTACCTGCTACCCACCGTTAAGACAAGGCAAAAAAAATCAGTCTGACGAATCAAATGGTCTGAATAGATTCGTAAAGCACTCAGATAGCAACATAATGTCAAACTAACTATACGGTAAATTCATAGCTTTGCTCAGAACTTTCCAGTCAACGAAGAAATAACCCCCCAAAAATCTCAATTAAATCAATGGCCTTATCACGCTTTTTTTGCTGCACCAACATTCTCATGCAGTCTTATTTTATTTTATATGTCATGGGGAATGCGCAACAAATTATGAAAAATCGCAAGGAAAGAAACCTGTACGGTATTCAGGCACCTTTGAAAATAGAGCCAATGCCGCAAAGCATATGTTGCTAATAGTAACTTAATTTTTTGGTATTGGTATTTACTTTCTAAAGAAATTGTAGAAAGCTGCTGCTTTCAATATCTGCCCCCTTAGTATGGATTCTATATTTATCTTATGGTTAGCTTTTGTCTTCAATATAATATCAAAGAGTGCATAACAAGAATTTGTTTATCTTTGTCTTTTTTAATGGAAATGGAACCTGACTAGGAAAAAGCAGTTTTCAAAAACCATTTCTAGCTCCCTTAGTTAAAAAATTTCGTTTCATTATTTTTTCCCTCAGTTTGGGTTAATCATCTACGGACAGGAAGAGGCTTTACAGCTCTCAAAAGCGGCTACAATTACGTTCAGTATTAACCTTACTGCACTGCACTTAGCAAATGACTTCAGGATACAATTATTCAAAAAAAATGCTGTGTATAGGTATTTCTACGGGTTGTCTTTGTCCTTTTGAACTGAAGTGTTGCAGTGTAGCGTGGTTCATGGTTGAGCGCTTCTTTTAGACAAAGCATCTAATTACAGATCGCCTTTTACAGGAACCGCTCATTGAAGTGGTTTCCGTGGCCGAAAGAAACAAAAATAACTACTCCTAAGTGGGTTACTATTCTCGTGACTTATTTAATATTTTCGCCTTCGTGTAACAGCTCTTATGGATTGACGACGTGGAGGACTTACGTCTGTCCTAAAGCTAAATTTTTTCACTCATATTCGTTGATTTGGAAGAAATCATTGCTTGGAGCCAAAGGATCAAGACATATCGTCGATGGCATTTACTTCAGATAGGTAAGTTGTTTATCCACTAAACCATCTTTCATTATCAAGGACTTACACATAAGTCAAGGCTTCGTCTGCCGTGATTTTACTGTAAGTGTACACACGAGGCGCGAGGACTCGAGCAAAAGAAAAATTCGAACCGTGACAAATCATATACATCGAGCTATGAAGAAGATCAGCTCTAGCTTCGTTAATGTTCGTGCAAGAAACACGGATTCTTTCTACGTTTCAAAAGTAAGAGGTTATATCGTTTATAAATTCAATTTATAACCGTCTGTCCCTTGTACAGACGGTTGCAGGAGTGAAGCCTGTTGACCAAGAAAAATTTCATCGATAAATTTCAGGTTCATACGGGATTTATTTCCCGATTCACTGTTGTAGCTGTTCGGTAGGATACTCTTTTGTGTTTTCCTCTGTGGTTCCATAAGTATTTCAATTCATTTACGTCATTGTGAGCGAACCGTTGCGAAGTCAATGCTAAAAACGTGATTTCATGTCAACTTCTATTATGCCTATTGACTCTGTGAAGCAGAGGTTCTCGGCGGAAGTTTCCGACTTGAAACATTATAACATGAAATGAGTTACAAAAGTTGTGTCTTCTAAAGTTTACTTATCGTCACACGCGTGGGTGATAATCATTAGCTTTGGTAGCTGGTTAAGATTGACTTTATTAACGAGATTCCCTTCTATTTGACTTGATGCTTGAATCACATTGTGCTAATATATGCAGCTGTTTGTATAAACAGCTGCAGCAATTTTATGTAATGGCCATAGCCTACAATATTTAAGACCAAAGTCTCCTTGTTGCAGATCTTAAGAGCCAACCACTGTTACTTCAGCTGTTTGAAATGGAAAGAGTATTTTCAAACTCGTCCGACTTCTCTGGATGTACAAACTGCTCTGACGACCACTCTCAAATACAATGGACGTTGACATTCACCTCAGTAATAACCTTATCTATGATCGGCATCGCTGGCGCCATTGTTGGAACGCTAGGAAATGGCCTTGTCTTACTGGCCATCACAAGGAACGTCAAATTTCGTTCCGTTCCAGACTTCTTGATCTTGAGCCTTTCGACAGCTGACTTAATAGTATCATCAATATATATGCCTTTTCATGTAAAAAATACAATTTGCTATCCAGCTCTGAAAAACAATGCTACATACATCATGATAATGAAATTCGTAGGCAAGTTAGCCTTGCTTGCTTCCATCGTCAATGTGGTTGGAATTACAATAGATCGTCTAACAGCAATCCGGTGGCCATTACGTTACCACAAACTAATGACCAAGACGTTTGCTCTTTCTTACATATCTGTCGCCTGGTTGACATCTGCGATCATTGCTGCTGTCTATTCATTTGCAGAAACCAAGCAAGAAATTTTCTTGTGGATTTATTGCATGGCACTGCTTTTAGCTACGATTTTCATGTACTCATATATTTTAAGGGTCGCACATGCGCAGCGTATTAGAATTGTGGCGATGTTACATCGAGACAACGAAGAGAGATTTAGCAAGCAAACTCCTGATTGCTTAGAAGATAAAGCAGCGAAGACATTAAAGGAAAGCAAAGCTGCCAAAACATTTGCAATTGTGGTTGGTGCCTTTGTAGTGACATGGATTCCGCTCATATTCTACTCAGCAATTGCTCCATGGTCCGAAAGTTGGTACTACGAAGGCTTCGAATGGGCCAAAACTTTCTCATTATGGAACTCCTTCTTAAATCCTTACATTTACTTTGCCAGAAGCAGGCGATATAGGCAAACGGCCTTGCAAATGCTAAAAACTATTCAGTGCTGGCCATGTCTCCCTGCTCATCAGCCTCGAGTCGGCGTGGAAATATATGTAGAAACAACACCTAACAGCTGACTTGCTGCCACCATTGATTTCCTACAAACTCTTTCATTTAGTTTGACGGCTGCTCCTTTATTGATAACTCTGACCACCAATTTCAATGCGAAATTCCAACTTGCCCGGAAAATTCTATTCTGAATATTGGCTTCCCAACACAATGGCTATCATCCAAACATTGCCCTTTCAAAGTATTTGAAATAAAAAAGTGTCTTTTTTTTCTTTTGGAAATAACGTATTTATTTAAATCTATTTACTTCTAGTGCTTTTTAAATGCCGCCACTGGCCTTTGTTTCAACATGACTGAGAAATACTGATCATAATTTATCACTAATGAACACAAGACTCATTCCATTACAGTATGCATCGCAAATTTTCTTCTTAGAAAACACATTTTCACTAAAACACACGAAACATAGAGTAACTAGGTATAGTAAGTAAGATCTTTTGTTTAAACACGATGAGAATGAAAGCAAGACATACTTGAGGGGTTGTGTGTAATTAGCTAATACCTAAGTAACCTATAAGTCGAAGTGGATAAAATAAATCAAATGAATAATCAGACTTTTAGAGTAGATACATGACAATGCAAAATGAACTTTTATAATTTAAGCATATGATGTTACTGCTACCACGAACGGGGAATGGGGAAAGGAACGTGTATGAGAATCAATCGAATTCAAATTAGGTAGTACATCCGCTATACAATGCAGTGCCTTCTTAAGGACTTATGATATGTGCTGCTGGAAGACATAACAATATGACGGTGAAGATGAGAAAAGCGTCAGTCAACAGAAATGAAAGTGAAGGTTGAATCTAAACTGATTCACTTTGAAAGTAATGTTTACTTAAATTGACATAAGCTTGTTGTTCAATGCCTTTTAGTGTTATGCAGCCTTCTCCGAAGAACCAATTTCGATCGCACCGGCATTTTACATCTGAGTAAAACCTAATTTTTCAGCACAAAAATCAAGTCAAAAAAGCCTTTAATAACATCTTCCCTTGTTGATCGTCCATGATAAAGATTGTTCTCACGACTGAGTCTATGGAACTGTTAATGTTGTCATCCGCCATTTTTTAGGTGTTATGCGAATTACCGCTGTACTTTCAGGCCCAGACTCCCGCTCCCCGTCCCCACTCCCCACTCTCCGTTCCTAGTTTTGCTTACATTCCAAATCATACTTGAGTATTTCCTTCTAAGTCACGATTGACTAGAGACGCACTCGCTCCGTTCAACTATTGGTCATAGATTTGGGTAGTGTCCGGCCTTCTTAATCGAACCACTAGCAGAGAACGAGTGCCTATATAAATGCATTCTCTGAGGTAAGTGGAATCTGATGATACGCTGTGGAACAGAATATTTGCAACGAACATCTACGAAATGTACACATAACCGCTATTTCTTAGACCGAAAGGATGAATCTAGCCATTTGCCCCCATTATCGAGAGAAACAATAAAGCGAAATATTCGGCTGCATTGTGCCTCTCAATCGAAATATGTAGGACCATATATATATTTAGTTATTTATGATGGAATTTGTCTCTTGTTCGCCTCGCTATTTTCCTGATTGTTGGTCTCCTTTCATGAAATATCATTTTTATCCTCCGGTAAAATGTAGGCAAAGCTTTATTTTCCATGGCTCGTTTGCTTCTCTCTTGTTAACTTTAGCTTAGTAGAAAACAGAGGATAGCAATCCCTTAAAGCGGAAGTAGATATGATTAAGAATATTAACATTCATTTTCGAGAACTCCACTTTTGTTTTCGTCATTGAATCGAGTTGTTATTCAGGTTTCTAGCTAAAATTTCTAATTCCTTTCTCCAAGTTACCGCTACGGTGAGTCCTTTTCTGAAGAATCTATTCAATGTCGGATACGATTAGTTAATTATGGCGTTCACTGGCTGTACACAAACTGAACGTGACAGTGACCTGTTTTAGGCACGACGATACAGCATTTCAGGAAGTTGAAGTTGAACGGTCTAAATAAAAAAACTTCCGCTTTACTTCCGCATAAAAACAGTTGATTTTGGAAAGCGTATTGTAGCCATTGTTTATATTTGGCTAACGCGGTAGAGCTTTGTTTCTATGACACGCTACATTTTTTTTTCGCTAAGTTCCTTTGTTCCATAACACGCTAGCTTATCTTTTACATCCACCTTTGTTACTTGTGTTTATCAGCTTCGTAATTGTGAGAATGGTGTTTGTGGAATATATTACAGAATATAAGCGAAAATGAAGAAGATCTCTCCTATCCGAAAGTTGTAATAAAAAAGAAAACATTCACGGCAAACCACGGCTCTTTCCCTCAGGATTTTCGCAAGGAATTCAGTGAGCACGACGTGTTTCACAAGGTCCAGAGGAGCTCAGTTTCATCACATGAATTACTTTTTTAAAACTTAATTCTTACCTTGTAAAATATAAATCCTTATCGCCTCAAGAAATTAATAAGCCCAGTACCAAATCTTTGTGAATCCTTTAGCAACAGATTTCCGGCTCCATGTCTCTTACGCGGTCGTTGCTCGTCACTTTAAGCAAACCGGCATTTTTAAAATAAATAAGCGCTAGTTAGCCGGCGCAAAACAAAGCTTTCCGGGCAAAGCTGCGTATTATTTACTGTACGCCTATCTTAGCATCTTATGAGCTCTTAGTCTTTAGCATTGCGGTCTATACCTTGCGTAACGCAACTGTAACGCTTCTGTTGATGTTTTCTTCACGGACGACGAGATGGCGAGGTGCAACACGTCAGGAACTAAAGGTTTCCAACAGTTGGATAGCGGAAAATTAGGTTTTCTTGTGTCCGTTTTACAAAGACAGTTTGCCTCGCCATGTTTTAGTGAGCAGTGGAATCAGACAGCCGCTCGCTTTAATACGAAATGTACAAGAAAGAGGAGGACTCTTATTCACATACTTAAAAAACTAGTTCGTTTTGAAAACACTGAAGATGGCACGATTAGTCTATCATTTAACATAAAAATTATGGGTCGATTAATTGAAAGAGTTTAGCCATTATTCAACAAAACCACGATCTAAGTTACCATGATTTTGGCTAACCATAGCATCATTAAATTATGAACGTTGCTAATTATTAAGGGAATAAAGAAAGCATAAACGCGGACTAGAAAATCATTTATCTGCCCAAAATAATGCATTTACAAACAGGTTAGGTGACGACAGTCAAAGGAATCTATAGCGGTTAAAAACTGGCAAATGGACTGTCAGTTAATAAAAAAATTACATTAGATATTTCATTATTTTGTGAACTCTGTCCGTAAGAGAAAAAAAAAAAAAAAAAAAAAAAAAAGGATGACGCTACCACTGCACCACACGGACTGTCGTACTTGTCGGTTTACAAATTTAACAATGTAAATAACTAATGCCTCGCTAAAAAGCCATAAAGCTTAGGACGTACTTCTTGTACAAATTGAAAGCAACTTTAACTTTAAGAGGCATGTTATAAAATTGGCACGGTCACCGTGTTATATCGTGCAAAGTTGCTAGCAAGATCTTAACACGTTTCTTTCTTTCTACCGTGCGAAGCAAGACAATGGCTGCGAATTTAATGAGGCAAGTAACTTACATGCAGCTAATGTGTTAAAAGCTCGTTCTTTTGTTTTAGCGTGCTAGTGTACCGTGTGCGTGCGTTCACCTTCTTCCCTGAAATCCCGTGGAGGGTCACAAATGCCCGGCAGTCAGCAGTTTTTACAGAATTTCCACCAAAAGTTTTCTCTCAAACTTCTTAAAAGTATCAAATGTTTTTTTAAAAAATGTCAATCGATTCCAAAAATTAATTTGGTTTTTTAAGTGGAAAACTCTCTGAGCCTGTACATACTTTAATAACGTTAGGTTGACTGTGCTTCTGACCCGACTGTCGGGCACGCTCTCGAATGAACTAAATGCCGGGAAGTCAGAAATTTTCACCATTTCAAACCAAATCATTTCATTCAGTTCTCGCTACATTTAACTAGCATCAAGAGACAACATACATATTCGCCTGTTTTCTTAATTGTTGTCGTTTTTTTTTTTTTAATTTAAATGCATTTACCCTGCGTTAGTCACGCAACGCGTCACGTGACGTGACCAAATTATGGCCGCAAAGGAGACTAACTTTTACGCTAATAGGAATTCATGACAAGTCCAAACAACACAGTACCGCAGTCTACATTCTTTGAAGCAGCCATGTTCTTCTTTTCTTTTTCTTTTGACGTTGCAAATCTAGCGTTTCTAATGTAGCCAATTATATTTTACTTTGCAGAAGCAGGAATTTATTTTGGCATTAAGGATGAAGGGATTGAAGTTATTTTTGATTCTCCTGTTATGGCGTCACTGTAAAATCATCCATGGTAAGTTACTTCATCATTTTAACCTGAATTGTTGACCAGTTTAGTCAATTCTCGTCGCAAAGTGTGTTTTGGTAACTGCACTGATTCACTGTGTTATTTATAAACCTTTATGGAGGAAAGGAATTTTCAAGAGCAAACTTGCACAATAAGGAGGCTTAGTGTAATAATCGTTAGCTATCATAAATGAAGTGATTAATCAAAGTGCTCTATGAGCAAACTCGTGAATCGACACATGATTTTTTGGATTATGTTTAGTGTTATCTGGTTTAGGGAATTTTGTGGTTGATTGTCGTATCTAGAGTACAAGCAGTAGTTCAGTGTTCGCTAATGTAGCAAAGAAACAAAGTAATTGAAATTGAAATGATCATGCTATTACATTTGACAAGGGTGGATGATGTCATGTGTTGTAAACGTATATCATTTTTGTTTCTGTTTCAAAAGAAAAGGTTGGAAGTAAATGTGGATGAAAAGTGAAATTTACTGTCTATCATTGTAAAAATTAGAAAATCAAGGCAATACTGTCTTAATGACAACATTAACGATTCCCTCTTTATCAAATGAGACAAACGGGAACGAGTTTTGAGTGATATAACTAACCCAAGACTGCCACCGTCATTTTGGATCTCCGCCTGGGTAGATTTTAGTCACGTGCTAGGCAACGTATAATCAATAACAAGATAGAATTTCATTTCAGGCTTATTTATCAATTTTGTGGTGTATAACTTTCGCATTTTAGTACGTAATACGTATTTTGAATCTTCAAATTGTCTTGAACCTTAAAAGAAAATTGTTCGTTAAAAATTCACTTAAAATCGGTAGCTAAAATTGTTTGTTTAGGCGTTATTTAATTTTCGTGTTTACTTGTAATTTCGTCAGTTGTCGGCATCTTTTATTGCTTCACACAAGAAAAACTCACGATACCAAACGTAATGATCGATTTTGTCCTCAATCTCACGCCATAACAAGAAAAGCTTTTGAACATCTGTAGACTCCGTGCGCTTTGCAGTAAGTGATATTTTCAATGAATCTTCGGATTGTTTTCAAGTTCAGGGATTGAGAATTACAATTTTATGAAAAACGAAGGTTGTTCTGTTATTTCAGTGTGAATCCTTGCATGCCTGCCAGTCGCTGGCGCCGCTTGTTGAAACTAAAACGAAAAAAAAACACTCTTTTAAGATTATCATTGGCTTCTTTTTCACCCCACCACTATTCTTAGCAACAAAGGTCGCCATTTCGTTTGTTTATTGCTCGCCAAAAACTATCAAATGCACTCAAAAGCCTAAAATCTAAAAAAAGTTTACAGGAATCGACCAATCGAGGGAGCGAGCGAATGCTATACCCCACAATGTATCTATAACTCGCTCTTGCGCATGCGCGCAATTCACGAGTTAAAAATGAAGCAATACAACACCCTTTCTATTGGTTTACTGGCGTGATAACCCGCGCGGGATGTTGAGAGAACTCTCGTTATATCTATCGCACTTCTATATAGGTTTACCTGTCCAATAAACGGTAGCGTTTTTGACCGATCAGGCCGCTCGTCGTATCTCGGGTATTATAAATCGCAATAAGTCGTTGTATTGTATTTGCGTGAAATACTCAGTAGTTTGATTAAACGTGGAAATCGATAACTACCCTTTCTTGAGAGCAGATAAGCTCTTTGTATACACCTTACGCTAGCGAATTTCCTATCGACGGTAATTTCATTGGGTTTAGCGACTTTTTCTGGGGAAGTTTCATTTCCACGTGAAGAACTTTTCGATTTGATCTGGCAGATGGCAAATTCATTTGATTTTCTCTTATGTACTGCTTCTCATTCTCCAGTTATCTAGTATAATTTTTGAATTAGCTATTCTCCTCTCCTCACAGCGTGTGAAGGGCCATGCTTGTATTATAGTGTTGGGAATGCCATAAATAGTATCAACCTGTCCACCGGGAAAACCGCTTCTAGTGTTGTAGCGCAAGATATTGGACGGGTCTTTGCCATTGCAGTGGACGTAGAGGACAATTATATCTATTGGAGTGACTTTGGGGGTGGCACCATCAAAAGAATGGATCTTCAGACGAACATAAAAGAAAATGTGACGAAAGGCGTCGGTAGAGTGGAAGGAATAGCCATAGACTGGATTAGCAAAGACATATTTTGGACGGATGCAACCAACAACCGAATAGAAATGGCGAAGGTTGACGGAAGTGACTGAAAGATACTGTTTGACCGAGACATTAACAAGCCTCGAGGTATTGCTGTTGATTCGATCAATGGGTGAGCAATGAGAAGACATATGTACTTTAAATATTGAAATCACAACTCACGAACTGAGAAATCGATATACCTAGGAAACGTCTAATTTTGACACTTAGGATAGACCTTTTTTTAATTCTTCTTTTTTATTTCTCTTTTTGTTCATCTACTGACTTAAGACGGTGGTCTTAACGCTTCAGTGTATGGTATTGCAGATATAAAATCTACTAAAGTGCACTTTTTCCAGTGGAGGTTAATCACGTTTCTTTGTTACATGTTTTGTACAATTTGCACAAATGGCGTAAGAGAGTTGTTGCGCAAGTCGTCTCTTCGGAAACAAATGAGAAAAATAAATACGGATCACTCGACTCCCAACGTGACACATTTTCCCTAACATGCCCTTGAAATTTTGCTTATTTTTTTTATTACAAAAAGAGAGCACTACTGATATGGAGCCGTAACTGCCTCTCAGCAGGATAGGTCAGCCAATCGCCTAAACAACTATTTACTGACTATGCTCCTCCTTGTCAAATAATCAGGCCTTTTATTACAATATTAACACCTTGAAATTAATTGGTGTCAAGAGGAATAACACAGAATTAATGAATCAAATCTTACAGGTACATTTTCTGGACAGATTGGGGTTCAAATCCTAAAATTGAGAGAGCCACCTTAGACGGGAAGGAAAGGGTCACCATTGTGGAAGCGAGTTCCAGTTTCCCCTTGCAGTGGGTAAATGGCGTAATAGTAGACTACGATGATTCAGAGAGCGTAATTTATTGAGTCGACGCTGGTCTGGGTACCGGTGTGGTCGGCAGAGCTGATCTGGACGGACGCAATCGAAAACTATCAAAAGAGATAACTAACAGTCTTCCGGTCGCTATAACACTTCACAAAGGAACTGTCTACTTGTCTGATAAAAAAGCAAAAAAAATTCTGCTGGTGGACAAAACAAGCCTAGAATATCTTGGAAATCTCGACCTGTCTTTCCCTGAAATACATGGAATTACCGTATTAGACGGATCAAGGGAACCTCTACGTAAGTAGAAATTGTTTGTTGTTCTTCTTACTCCGATTTTTTAATTTAACCCTGTATGAAACTTTAAACTATAAACACCATAGATGAGACTTTAAACTATTTTCAAGATAAATTTAGTCGTGTACAATAAAATCCTCAATGTGGAAAAATTTAATTTTTTTTCGTACAATCAATTCAGGAAAACGTGTTTTAAATTTCCATGTAGAAGAATGTTTCATGGCACACATCTCTAAAAGCAAAACACAGCGATACACTTCAGTCACAAGTATTAGAGGACGTTTTTTTAGTAGCCAAGAGGCACTCAAAGTCGATACACGACTATTTTCTCTGAAAATAAAAAAAAAAACGAAACAAACATTTTTGAACCACCAATTATCACTGCATTATCCACAAAGATATTGGTTCACCCGTTGTAATTAGCCAAATCAAATCTCTTCTTAAATAGATCTGGTGGCTGTCAGTATTACATTGGAAATGAAAATGGAAGAGGTACTCTAATTTTCTTTTAAAGTGCATTTCATCGTAACGAAAAGAAAATCCTCTGACCCTCATCCCCATCTCCCTCTCCTGGCGAAAAATTAATGGCTGGTGCCTTTTGCTTTCGCTCGGACACAACTGTCTGCTCTTTTAGACTTCTATGATACTGCTACAAGTAGCACTGGCCATTGCAGCTATATCTGTCTATTGAACTAGCTGGAATTTTCTCTGCCGCTGAGGGGTGATCCAAAAGTCATCACATGAGAGGTCATTTCCAGCTTTGCTAAGCAATTGTAGCCTAAATACTCCAGGCACGGCCTGTTAGGCACAGTACTCCTAAGCAGAGTCCCTTAAGGTTGGGCAGTTAAGGGGTTTGCTGGCTAAAAGTCGAAGTATCGATATTACTATAAGATAAGTAGGTTGAAGAACTTACTCCTTTTTGTCTGTTTTAATGACTTATTAAAATATATTAAAATATGTTCACCAGTGGGAGGAAGAGAAATTTAAACAAGCAGTCGTGAAAGGGATAAGAGACTACTGTTATGAGGATAAATGCAGTTACAAATCAAGGTATTGCAGACATTTTTGTGGAAATGAAATGATTTCCATTTTGGTATATTATCGTTGTAGTTTGAAATTTTCTTGCTGTATAGTGATATTTATGGAAACCCAACATGGGAAGGTATGTCCACCGGAGCGAAAACACCATTCATGATTAGAAAAGAGGAAGAATTAAAGATATTTTCCGTATTGACGAAAGTGATTACCTCACTTGACAAAGGGGCAGGGGGAACCCAACACAGTGACCATGTGTACTTGACTGTTCTGACTCAGTGCACCTGAATGTGGAACTTGAAGATACAGCAGTGTGACACCATCACATGACCATTTTTAGCCAAAGACTTGTAAAACATCGTGATATCCTTTCCTTCTCGACAGAAACACAACCATTGCAGAGCAGTTATGCAGCATCTTTCCAAATGGGTCCAAAGCCAGTTCAGCTCAGATCAGAGTTCTAAAGCAACCCGGAGGGTCTTCAGTTCTGAATAATACTGAAGTGGTTTTTTCACTTATTCTTCAAACCCAATCCAATTCATCCCGTATGGTAATTAAAAACAGCACTTTGGATTATATTGTACAAAAGAGTGTCTACTATATCAGCAAACATTTAGGTGGTTACAAGGTTATATATGTAAATTGTAACCCTCCATCATTCGAAAAATTTTGTAATTATACGGAACCCCCTAGGGATATCGATGAAAAGGAGGTTACGGTAACAGCAGGAACAATCGCAAGTGGAATCTTTAATGAAATTGTTATCGTTATCGTCATCGTTATCGTCATCGTTATTGTCATCGTTATCGTCATCGTTATCGTAAGGCGCAGAAGGTATGGAATTATTTTGAATGACTTTTTATTTGAATTATTCAGTCATTTTTCATTTATCTGTTCATACTACTTAGTCAAATTTTAATTTCATTTCCTTAGGAAATAATTGTAGATAAGTATAGCTTTCGTCCACCTGAGTGGACTTCACTTAACAATAAATGATATCCTTATAATGATCGGTGCCTCTGCAGTTCAACTTCAGCGGCTCCCTTTTTGTTTCAATACATTTTAGTCATAATGTGTTGCTTTGCTCGGCAGCAACAATAACTGCTTCTGTCGTATTTGAGAAAAGCTTATGTAAATGGTTATATACAATAGCGACAATCACCCACTACTGGAAGGGAACTAGCATTTTTCCTAGAGGAATCTCCTCTCCTTTGCTCTCTGAATATTCAATGGGCGTTTTGCATCTTCCTATGTCCTTTCCCTGTATATCTTTTATAAACGATATGGACTTGAATTGAGTCATTTCTGTAGTTTATTTGATTACTTGACTTATTTTTAGCTTGTTTTACTTCCAGGCGGGAAAATGAAGCAAGAGTCCATTGGAGGCAAAATTCGGGATTCAATGGGGACCCAGAGCGACACGACGAGGAAATCGATGTTAACGGTGAAGCTGTTGACAACAGTAATGATGACACAGACGGTAAAAATAGCTGTGCAATACGCGAAAACCCCGGACCGCAGCATGGTGGAGCCAATCGGAATACTATTGAGGAAGAAAAGCATATGTCTACGCAGTCACCCTTCCCTAACACAAAACGTGGAGCTGAAGAAAACGATGATGTTTGTAGCGCATCTGGTGTTCATAAACCAGTTCAATGCACGGACGATGAAAACTCGAAAGATGCATAACTAACTTCTCACTTTTCAAGAAATGGTTCTTATGAAGACTGCCTGTGCTACCAAATTAAACACCAACTTATTTAATGGAGTGTATTCGAAACGTCTCCATTTCCATTGTGATGTAAAAAAGGTTGTAGTAAGTATTCAATGCTACAAATATTTTGTATTTCCATTTTTCACCGTGTGTGATTCTTGTTTGAGAATAGATAAGTATCAATTACGAAAAATAATTCTTTCTAGGGAAATGACTTAAGACAGTTTGACCTGAGTTGGCCTCCAATGAATATTGACACCTGAGTACTGCTGTATTCTTTTTTTCTCTGTTGTTAGGCCAGAAATTACGTCGATGAATGCAAGCTTCTGAAACCATTTTGTAAAAGCTAGGCGTATTGAAAGCTTTTCAGTACATTTTTGTAAACTCTTCATTCCTCAGAGGTGATTAACGCTTAATCAGACTTATTATGAAAAATCTGTTTGGTTAGGTTAGGCTGAAATTTCCTTGAATTGTAGGTCGATCTTAACAGTTTGGCCTTTGGCACAAGTTGTGGGTTTATATATATACGTGCGCTGAAGCTGATTCCTTAGTATTGGACTGCGTATCCTGTACTACGCATAAATATCATGTAATCAGGCGAATGAGCACGCGTGCATTCCGAGAACACGGTATTGTTTTTCAATCAAATGACCAGGTTAAGAGGTAGAATGAACTTTAGCATTTGAACGAGCTCAGTGACCTACATTTTTTTTATTGCATAATTTTGGCTTACGAATTATCCACTTTAAATTGGGAAAATCATGAAAGAAATCATTGAAGGAAAAAAATATAGCTGAGAGAGTGCACGAAGCCTGTTACGCGAGGATGCAAATTATGACCATGAAAGCAACGACTCGATTACGTGATTTTCCACAAATTATATATCCAATTGTTCCATACGCTCGAGACTATCTAACCAACGACTTTTTCAAGTGTTACTTTTTTAAAAACGCCTGCTTCTAGCTACCGAAAAATGTATCGTGAACGGACGAAATGACGCACGTGATTAGTATATGATTTCGAGTGCAATTTGGAACAAATAAGCATGGGTAAATTTTTTTAAAGACTAGCAAAATTGCACGAGCCCGTAGGGCGAGTGCAGTTTGTGGTCTTTGAAAAATTAACAAGTGCTTGTTTATTCCAAATTGCATGAGAAAAATCATGTGATTACCTGTTAATAATATACATGGGAAAATACGAGATGCTTATCATAATTAAGCATAAGCAAAGCGCGCGCATCATGTGCAAAAATAATTTATTCAAACCGTGCGTTCGATCAAACCAACCGCGTACGATCAAAACAATAATAAGCAATGATATCTTTACATCTTTAAGGCGCAAAAAAGTTCAAAGTCCGGCTAGCAGTTCAAGGAATTGTTCAGTCTGTGACGGATCACTTTCGATGAAATGGAATCGTTTCCGAGGTTTGACCACGTTTGTTTTTAATTTCGGCGTTGGACCGTTCGAGCAAAGTGTTAAGCTGGGTCGGCTCGTAATTTTCGATTTCCTCGGCAATTCCCTTCTCTAAGCACCACTTTTTCCAAACCGACAACCAAAAAGCAGTGCTTTTTACAATGTTTTCGTTGTTTGAGCTGTTTTTCAGCTGCGGTGGCGAAGGAAAACCTACTTAAACGCCGGCCATTGTTTCGCTCGCAAATTTTCAAATTTGTTGCGACATCTAAGGCTCACATTTGATTGGCTATCTGTGAGTTTCTTTGATTATTGACCAATGAGAATGTCTGATTTGTTACTTTCTTTGCACTGAATGAACCCTCTTCTGTACTGAATTAACTCTCTTTTGCACTGAACTACCTGAAAACTGCATTTATCTAAACCAATCAAAACTGAGTAATTTATCCATGTATATTATTAGTGCCAGAACAGGCATAAGTAGGGTAAGTTTGGATCATCGTATCTCTTAAACAAGAAAGGTGACCTATCTGTTTCATTATATTTTTCAAAACAGACCTTGGTAGGGAACATTTAGGGAAAAGTTTAAAAAAAATTGTTCAATAACTTTTTTTTTGAGGAGAGACCCAGAGAGTCAGCTAATTATCCTTTTTTTCCCAGGAGGTTCAAACATTTATAATTTCACTGGACACTATATTCCAATATTTTAGGTACGAGAGCATTATCATTACTTAAAATAACTGTTCGGAAAACTGCAGAGACTACAGATCTCGCATATTCTTTTGATTTATTGACAATAAAAAAATTTGAGTTACGAAATCCGTGTACGTTTTCATTCCTACATATTATAATTGCGAGAAACTGTAACGGTATAAGTACAGTAAGCAATGAAAATGAAGGTTCGCACCAAAGGAAAATTCAAGGCGGCCTTCAATTCATTATTGTACGAGAACACAGCGGTTCTTACTCTAGTTTCACATTTTTAATGATTGCATTTCTCTAAAAGATCTAGTTAGCTATAATTGCAACACAATGACGAAAGGGCGAGGTTTAACGAAATTATTTTGTGTTTTTTTGTTGTTAAAAAGTCCATAATTTTGAAGGGAAATCATGTCAAGCGTTTGTTCAATTTTGTGAAATGTAAATTATGGGCATTTCCACGTATTTCGCGGCATTTTAATCCAGTGTAATTCATAACTCAGGCACCGTGTTAATCTCTTCGCCGTCGCCTAAAACAAGAATGGTTTGGCCTTTGTTTTCACGCCCCTGGTTTGTACTGGTCTCCTTGCTATGATGCTTTATTTTGATCATACTGGTCTCTCAAAAAGATATTATTTCCTGCGATACTTCCATTGCTTTTCTTAGCATCATTCATCATCATCATAATCATCTTTTACTTGCCTTATTAACACAATACAAAAGATATGTTTACAAGGGTTATAGCTAGAAGGCGAGGAGACCCACGAAGCCACCGGACTTATGGGAGAGCCACCTCACTTACATTAATGAATAAAGTAAAGAAAAAGGGCTTACGTATGTGCGGCTAGGCCAATTCAGTGATTATTTAAGTAAAAACTCTTGCATTTTTGCGTCTTAAAACTAAGAAGGTTTGACGAACGAGTGACATGACGCTGCAGATATCGAATCACATCAAATGTTCTCGACAACAAATGTTTCAGAAAAATGAAACATGTAAAGCTTTGAAAGAATGTCATCTTATGAGCAATATCCCGAAGAGAAATCTCGTCTCTTCTTGTCATCTTTTAAAAAAAAATTGATCAACCTTCATGGAGGACTACTCGACGTAACTACAAACATATACCTCAAATCGTGTGCATATCATCCAGATTCGAGTGCTGCACCTTCTTTCATGGGAATTTGAGCGATCTGAAGTCCTCTGAAGATACACTGTTATACTTGTATGTCATTTGAAACATGTTGAAGTCGGCTGATCTACATGAAACTATCTTCACACCGGTCATTTGTCATAAACATATACGTTATCACGATGGCGTGACATTGTATTTCTCCGTGAAGTTTTTATCGCTCGCTCCAAAAAAGGCGCTAAATTGATATTTTTCGTATATGTCAGTAGATTACCCGCACTCTGAAGTAAAAACAACCGAAAAAAAGAGGAAAACCCCGATTGAACGCTCGTAAACACTGAGAATCTGAGAGTATCAATCGTAACCTGTCAGCGGCAGTACTACATGTAAAACCCAGTTGTAACAATAGCAATTTGAACGACATAGGTATCTCCCTACAAAGGGCAGATTCGGGCAGTTATTATTTCCTTGTGACAGGAACTAAGATAATTCGAATCATCTGAAAACTGTCAGAAAACTGTTAGAAAATTTGCATAAGATATGATGAGGAGAGACTTATCACCGCCGCAGTGCAATCGAGTCAATCAATGTTTCCTTCTTTGTCTTGTTAGAGAAAATATCATAACAAAGTTCGAAATAAAAGATTGAATGAAATCATAATGTCATAGTTCCACCTTTCAAACAACTTATTATCCACACGCAAATCGCAACTCCTAACTTGAACGAAACTCCCCATGGTTAATATGTAATCTGGATTGCTTCAGGACCTTCAGGAAAAAGAAGAGCGATTTCATCACCATTATTTTCCATACTTTTCTCCCGGATATCTTTTACAAACTTAAAGAAAGATGAATGTAGCGCAATCTCCCAGTGATTTACACGAGAGGAAGACAAAGGTCTCTCTAATTTTCTACTGAGGTGGCCGGCTCACCAGGAAGAAACAGGAGATCGTTCGGTCCAATAACGTTAGTCTGTGGAGATTATCAATCTAATAACTGAGAAGATTGTGCCCTTTGGTTCATCAGTGACAGTATTAATTATTTCAAACATGTATTTCTCGGTCCAAGCGACAACAAAAATAGTTCCTTTGTAATTTTGTAAGTACTACCTATAGCATTTTATTGTCATGGGAAATAAATCTCAAGGTTCAAAGCCAATGTAACGTTCGAGCACGAGAAAGACTCCCTGAAAAAAAGCTAAATTTCTGGAGATTGGTTGTGATGAAATCCCTATTCTATTTGCTGTACTGCAAGGATACTGAGTAGTTCAAAATCTCCACTTTCTGATGATTTTCGCGCGAGTCGTACAAATTGCTATTATTGGCGACTGGGTTTTACATGTAGTACTGCCGCTGACAAGTTGCAATTTCTGCTTTCAGATTCTTAGTGTGTACGAGCGTTCAATCGAGGGTTTTCCTTCCTGTTTTGGTTGTTTTTACTTAGAATGCGCGGAAATCTGCTGATATGCCGAAATGTCCATTTCTCGTCTTCTTTGGGACGACCGATGGAAACTTCATAGAGAAATACGGCGTCACGCCATCGTGACAACGTACATGTTTATGACAAATGACCGGTGTGAAGATAGTTTCATGTAGATCAGCCGACTTCAACATGTTTCAAATGACATACAAGTATAACAGTGTACCTTCAGAGGACTTCAGATCGCTCAAATTCCCATGAAAGAAGGTGCAGCACTCGGAATCTGGATGATATGCACACGATTTGAGGTATATGTTTGTAGTTACGTCGAGTAGTCCTCCATGAAGGTTGATCAATTTTTTTTTAAAAGATGACAAGCAGAGACGAGATTTCTCTTCGGGATATTGCTCATAAGATGACATTCTTTCAAAGCTTTACATGTTTCATTTTTCTGAAACATTTGTTGTCGAGAACATTCGATGTAAACATCGCCAAATTATGCAATATCTGATTTTTGAGCTTCGTTCGCGAATTGCTCCTATGGAAAGTAGAGGCAGGCCCGCAGAGATTTTAACATTTTTAAAAACTAGAATATTATAACCAGCTATGTGGTTAGTTTCAGTTCCAGAATCGGTGTACTTTTGGAGAAATTCAGATAAACGTTTCCCTGTTTTACCCGACAACAAAAATGACCGGAACTGTACCGAAATGAATAATCTGTTAGTGTGTTCAACTTTACTCCCTGGGAAAATTGTCTATATCAATGTGAAGATGAATGATGTTACTATGTATGGTAGAAGTGCCAATTTGTAATGTTGTATTTAGCTTGAGATAGAGAAATAAATATTTCACTCTTTTTTTGCGACGTTTTTGTATGAAAATGAGGCCCCAGGCCTCGAACAAGCAGCCGTTGTTACCATGACAACAAGAGTGCTGCGCCCTTTAAAAAGAGCATTTTTGTGCATCCCCCCTGAGCGCCTAACTGCATGCAAAATTTGAAAGGGGGGTTGAAAATTTTCATTTCCCAAGATGTTTGATTCTTACAGAGACTTGTTCTTAAATGTAATTATTATTATAATCTCCTTGACCTAGACAACCATCTTCCTGCTTTCTACAAACAAATTATTTTTTTACTGGCAGGACATCACAACGGCCACACCAAAAAATAAAAGTGAGGTTCTCTCACAGCCAATCTGGAATAACCGATTTTTAACTGTGAATAAGAAAATGGTATTCTTTCCTCATTGGTATCAAGCAGGAATTAAACAAATCTTGGACCTTTTTAACTCCTGTGAGGGCCATCTCCTTCCATTTAATTCTTTTTGCAATAAATTCAATGTAAAATGTAACTTTTTACAATATTATAGCATTCTTTCTTCTATTCCCCAAAATTGGAAGAAAGTATTGCAAGAAGATTCCAAAGACCCAGTTAATATATTTACCTCCTACTATTCAAAGCCACGAGAGAAATTAACTCGATGATGTTCCAATACAAAATCATTCACCGAACTTTACCAACGAATAGCGTGTTACACAAAATGAAAAAAGTTTCCTCGCCCTCCTGTCCCTTTTGTCCTTCTGAGTGTCAGACCCTGTGGTATTTGTCTATAAACTGCATGCACGCAAGTTCTTTTTGGAATAGATTCCAGGAGTGGTACTCAATCTCTAGTAATACGAAACTTCTGCTGTCAGAACTAGAGGTTACGTTCGGAATTATCTGCTGTCACACCTAATGTTTAGCCCTCAACTATCTCATTATTTTGGGTAAATGTTTCTTACATGTTAACGCTTTAAATACCATAACGTACTAATTCGATGATTTTGTCTCACTTGTGCTGCGAAAAAATTAATCTAGAAAAATATATTGCAGTCACTAATAATAAGGAGAAGGAATTGAGGAACAAATGGAAATTTTTTTGTCTTTATAAAATTGTATTGTGTCCTTTTTCTTCTCAACTTTTGTATTTTGATTTGTTTCTTTTCGCTACCTATTTATTTAAAAATCTATTAAATTCTAGAAAATTAATACCCTATGTGGGGAAATTAATAAAAAATTCTTATCGGTGACTCGAACAATTAACATGCAAACAATAACGTAAATAGATCAACTGTAATTCAATTTGAGTAGTGTAATTATATTGTAATATATGTATTGCAAGTAGTGCAAGTTAATGTAGTGTAAGCATCGTGTAAGAAGTAAGTATAGTGTAGGTACATATGTAAATATAATATATAGAAAAAAATTAAAAAAATTAGAAAAAAAAAAGACCCTTTATTTAAACACGATGAGAATGAAAGCAAGACATACTTGAGGGGTTGTGTGTAATTGGCTAATATCTAAGTAACCTACAAGTAAAAGTGGATAAAATAATTCACATGAATAATCAGACTTTAGGGTAGATACATGACAATACAAAATGAACTTTTATAATTCAAACGTATGATGTTACTACTACCACGAACGGGGTATAGGGAAAGGAACGTGTATGAGAATCAATCGAATTTAAAATAGGAACTACCTCCGCCCTACAGTGCAGTCATGGACTTACGATTTGCGCCGCTGGATGACACAACAGCATGATGGTGAAGATAAGAAAAGCATCAGTCAACAGAAATGTAAGTGAAGTTTGAATCTAAAATTCTCATTTAAAGTAATATATATTTAAAGTGACTTAAATTATAGTTCAATGTTATTCAATGTTACTCCGAAGAAGCGATTTTGATCGCACTGGCAATTTACATCTGGGTAACACTTAATCTTTCAACACAAAAATCAAGTCAAAAAAGCCTTCAATAAAATTTTTCCTTGGCACTCCTGTCCCAGTCCCCACTCTCCTTTCATAATTTTGCTGACATACCATAATTCCTTCAACATTAATATTGACCAGAGTTCTCAACTGTATGGTGAATATTGGTCATAGATTTGCGTAATGTCCAGCCTTCTTAATCGAACCACTACCTGAAAACGAGTGCTTATTTATGTACATCCTATGAGGTAAGTGGAATCTTATAATACGTTGGGGAAAAGAATATCTGTCAAGAACAACCTCGATATGCCGAGTGTTATCGTAGACCGTTCGCTCCTTTATTTTATAATCGCATTTTCTTTCATTGAAAAGCTGAATCTAGCTATTTACCGCCATATCAGGAGAAACAAAAAAAACTATTCGGCTTAATTGTACCTCCTAAAGAAATATGTAAGACCAAGATATATATTGAATTTAGTTATTTGTGATGAAACTTGTCTCCTGTTCGCCTTACTGATTTCCTGACTATTGGTCTCCTGACGTGAAATATCTTATCTTACGGTAAAATGTGGGCAAAGCACTATTATCCATGGCTCTTTCAGCCAATTTTAGCTCAGAAGGAAATAAAGCAGCAAGGAATAGCAGAAACAGATAGCAATCCCTTATACGGAAGTAAATATGATTACAAATTCTGAGAAAAATATTTTATTTTCGAGAAATACCCACTTCCGTTTTCGATCTTGATTCGAGTAAATAGTTTAGGTAGCCCAGCTAAAACTTTAAATTTTTATCTCCATGTTACCGTTACAATGTGTCATTTTCTGAAGAATTTATTCAGTGTCGGGTGCGGTTTGTCAGTTGTGGCGTTCACTGGCTGTACACAAACTGAACGTGACTGTGAACGGTTTTAAAAAAATACATCCGCTTGACGTAACTTTCTTTGACTGCGAAACATTTACGTGTTTCATCGTGACTTAATGCCCAGCAGTGAGCAGTTTTCACAGAGCTTCCACCGAAAGTTTCTTTCAAACTTCTTGAAAGTATCAGATATGTTTGTTTAAAAATGTCAAGCGATTGCAAAGATTAATTTAATTCTTCAATGGGAAAAACTCTCAGAGCTTATGCACACATTAACATCGTTCAAACCAAATCAGACCATTCTTGCTACATTTAATCAGCATCAAGAGATAACATACATATTCGTCTGTTTTTTTCATTGTTTGAAAGATTCGTGTTTGCCGATGACATCTTCTCTCCTCTCTATCAGCCGGTGTGAAAAAAAATTAGTGAGCAAGTAAGTACAGTTTTAAATGCACTCGCCCTGCGTTAGTCACGCAACGCGTCACGTTACGTGTCCTAAGTATGGCCGCAAAGGAGACTAACTTTACGCTATTAGGAATTCACAACAAGTCAAAACAGATCAGCACCACAGTATTAATTCATTGAAGCAGCCGTGTTCTCCTTTTATTTTTCTTCTGACGTTGCCAACCTAGCTTTTCTAATCTAGCAAATTATATTTCACTTTACAGAAGCAGGAATTAACCCTGGCATTCAGGATGAAGGGATTGAAGTTATTTTTAATTCTCCTATCATGGCTTCATTGTAAAATAATCCATGGTAAGTTACTTCATCGTTTTAACCTGAATCGTCAACCAATTAGGTCAATTCTCGTTGCAAAGTGTCTTTTGGTAACTGCACTGATTCACTGTGTTATTTACAAACCTTTATTGAGGAAAGGAATTTTTAAGAGCACACCTGCACAATAAGGAGGCTTAGTGTAGTAATCTTTAACTATCGTAAATGAAGTGATTAAAAATTAATCAGTATAACGCCCTTTCTATTGGTTTACTGGCGTGATAACCCGCGCGGGATGTTGAGAGAACTCTTATTATATGTGTTGTACTTCTATATAGGTTTACCAGTCCAATAAACGATAGCGTTTTGACCGATCAGGCCTCTCGTCGTATCTCGGGTATTATAAATCGCAATTAGTCGTTGCAATGTATTCGCGTGAAATACTCATTAGTTTAATTAAACGTGAAATTCGATAACTACTCTTTCTTGAGAGTAGATAAGCTCTTTGTATACACCTTACACAAGCGATTAACATATCGACAACAATTTCATTTGGTTTAGCGACTTTTTGTGGGGAAGTTTTACTCCCACATGCAGAACTGTTCGATTTGATCTGGCGGATTGGAATTTCATTTGTTTTTCTCTACTGTACTGCTTCCCATTCATCAGTTGTCTTGTGGAATTTTTTAACTAGCTATTCTCCTCTCCTCGCAGCGTGTGAAGGGCCATGCTTGTACTATAGCATTGGGAATACCATAAATAGTATCAACCTGTTCGCTAGGAAAACCGCTTCTAGCGTTGTAGTGCAAGATATTGGAAAGGTCATTGTCATTGCAATGGACGTAGGGGACAATTATATTTATTGGAGTGACTTTTGGGGTGGTACCATCAAAAGAATGGATCTTCAGACGAACATAAAAGAAAATGTGACGAAAGGCGTCGGTAAAGTGGGAGGAATAGCTATAGACTGGATTAGCAAAGACATATTTTGGACGGACACAAGAAACAACCGAATAGAAATGGCGAAGGTTGACGGAAGTGACAGAAAGATACTGTTTGACCGAGACATTGACAAGCCTCGAGGTATCGCAGTTGATTCGGTCAATGGGTGAGTAGGGAGAAGTCATATGTACTTTAAGTATTGAAATCACAACTCGCGAACTGAGAAGCTCGATATAACTAGGAAACGTCTAATTTAGGACGTTTTTATTTATTTAACATTTATTTTTTTCTTTGTTACTTCTTTTTTTGTTCAACCACTTCCTTAAGCCAGGCTTCAGGGTGTAGTATTGAGGACGTAAAATCAGCCAAAGTGCACTTTTTTCATTGGTGGTGAATCACGTTTCTTTGTTACATATTTTGTACAATTTGCTCTAATGGCGTAAAAGAGTTGCTGTGCAAGTTGTCTCTTCGCAACCAAATGGGCAAAATAATAAGGGATCACTCGATTCCCAAAGTGACACATTTTTCCAGCATGCCCTTGAAATTTTGTTTATTTTTTTAATTGAAAAAAGAGAGTTCTAATGAAACGGAGCTGTAACTGCCTCTCAGCAGGATAGGTTAGCCAATCGCCTTAAAAATTATTTGCTGACTAAACTGCTCCTCGTTAAATAATCAGGCCTTTTTTTTACAATATTAACACCTTGAAATTTACTGTTGTTAAGAAGATTAACACAGAATTAATGAATCAAATCTTACAGGTACATTTTCTGGACAGTTTGGGGTTCAAATCCTAAAATTGAGAGAGCCACCTTAGACGGGAAGGAAAGGGTCACCATTGTGGAAACGAGTTCCAGTTTCCCCTTGAAATGGGTAAATGGCGTAATAGTAGACTTCGCTGATTCAGAGAGCGTAATTTATTGGGTCGACGCTGGTCTGGGTGCGGTCGGCAGAGCTGATCTGGACGGACGCAATCGAAAACTATCAAAAAAGATAACTAACAGTCAACTGGTCGCTATAGCACTTCACAACGGAACTGTCTACTTGTCTGATAACAGAGCCAAAAAAATTCGGCTGGTGGACAAAACAAGCCTAGAATATCTTGGAAATCTCGACCTGTCTTTCCCTGAAATACATGGAATTACTGTATTAGACGGATCAAGGCAACCTCTAAGTAAGTAGAAATTGTTTGTTGCTCTTCCTACTCCAATTTTTCATTTCACCATGAATGAAACTTGAAACTATAAACACCATAAATGAGACTTTAATCTACTTTCAAGACAAATTGAGTCGTATACCATAAAATCCTCAGTGCGGAACAATTTAAATTTTTTTTCTTATACAATCAATTCAGGAAAACGTGCTTTAAATTTCCATTTAGAAGAATGTTTTATGGTACACATTTCAAAAAAGCCGCAGGAAAATCAGCAATACACCTTCAGTCACAAGTATTAGAGGACTCTTTTATTAGTAAAAAGGCACTCAAAGTCGATGCATAACTATTTTTATCTGAAAATACAAAACGAAACAAACATTTTTGAACCATGATTATCACTGCATTATCCACAAAGTTATTGGTTCACCAGTTTTAAATAACCAAATCAAATCTCTTTTTTAGTAGATCTGGTGGCTGTCAGTATTACATTGGAAATGAAAATGGAAGAGGTATTCTAATTTTCTTTTGAGGTACATTTCATCGTAACGCAAAGAAAATCCTCTGACCCTCACCTTATCTCCCGTTCCTGGCGAAAAATTAATGGTTGGTGCCTTTCGCTTTCGCTCGGACACAATTGTCTGCCCTTTTGGACTTCTATGATACTGCTACATGTAGCACTGGCTATTTCAGCTATATATGTTCACTGAACTATCTGGAATTTGCTTGGCTGTGGAGGGGTAATCCAAAAGTCATCACATGAGAGGTCATTCCCGGCTTTGTTAAGCAATTGCAGCCTAAATACCCCAGGCACGACCAGTTAGGCACAGTACTCCTAAGCAGAGTTCGTTAAGGTTGGGCAGTTAAGGAGTTTGCTGGCTGACTAAAGGTCGAAGTTTTAATATTACTATAAGATAAGTTTGAAGATCCTACTCTTTATTTTAATGACTTATTAAAATGTACTAAAATATGTTCATCAGTGGGAGGAAGATAAATTTAAACAAGCAGTCGTGAAAGGGATAAGAGACTACTGCTATGAGGATACATGCAGTTACAAATCAAGGTATTGCAAACGTTGTTTGTGGAAATGAAATGATTTTCATTTTGGTATATTATCGTTGTAGTTTGGAATTTTCTTGCTATATAGTGATATTTATGGAAACCCAACATGGGAGGGCATGCCCATCACAGCGAAAACACCATTCATAACTAGAAAAAAGGAAGCATTCAAGCTATTTCGCATATGGACGAATTAAAGTGATTGCCACACTTGACCAGGGGGCGGGGGGAACCCAACACAGTGACCATGTGTACTTGACTGCTCTGACTCAGTGCACCTGAATGTGGAGCTTGAAGATAAAGCAGTGTGCAACCACTACATGATCATTCTTTAGCCAAAGACGTGTAAAACATTGTGATATCCTTTCCTTCTCAACAGAAACACAACCCTTGCAAAACAGTTATGCAGCATCTTTCCAAGTGATTCCAACGCCAGTTCAGCTCAGATCAGAGTCCTAAAGCAACCTGGAGGGTCTTCAGTGCTGAATCATACTGAAGTGGTTTTTTCACTTATTCTTCAAACCCAATCCAATTCATCCCGTATGGTAATTAAAAACAGCACTTTGGATTATATTGTACAAAAGAGTGTCTACTATATCAGCAAACATTTAGGTGGTTACAAGGTTATATATGTAAATTATAACCCTCCGTCATTCGAAAAATTTTGTAATTATACGGAACCCCACAAGGATATCAATGAAGAAGAGGTTGCGAAAGGAGCGTCGTCAAAAAAGGGAACCATTGCTTTAACCATTGCGATAACAGCAGGAATAATCGTTATCATTATCGCTGGCGTATTCATCAGGTACAAAAGGTATGAAATTATTTTGAATGCCTTTTTATTTGAATTAGCTATTCATCTGTTCATACTACTCAGTCAAATTCAAAATTCATATCCCTAGGATATGATTGTAGATAAATATAACTTTTGTCTACGTTAGTGGACTTCACTTACTTATAAAATGATATCCTTATGATGATCAGTGCCTCTGCAGTTCAATTTCAACGGCTCCCTTTCTGTTTCAATTCATTTTTGTCTTGAATTGAGTCAGTTTTATAGTTTATTTGATTACTTGACTCGTATTTAGCTTTGTTTACTTCCAGGCGGGATAATGGTGCAAATGTGTGTGATGGGCAAGCCCAAGGGATGCATAATGTGGTACACGATAGGGACCGAGGTCAAGAGCCTGAGGATGATGTAGTTGTTGGCAACATAAATGATGACAGAAACCATATGGAGATGACGGTGCAGCCTCAGGTGAACGATAGTGAAGTGCAGGGTCATATCGATCCTGGAAACAACAGAATCCATCGCATAAACACAGGAAAGAAATTTGACAACAACTCACGTCCAGACTTGTCGAGTAATATAAATTGTGCGATATACGAGAACCCCTTAAATGAGAAGACAGACGGAGCAAATCGGAATACTATTGCGAAAGAAAAGCATTCACCCTTCCCTAACACAAAACGTGGAGCTGAAGAAAACGATGATGGTTGTGGCGCATCTGGTGTTAATAGACCAGTTCAATGCACGGACGATGTAAACCCGAAGGATGTATAACTAACTTCTAACTTTTCAAGAAATGGTTCTTATGAAGACTGCCTGCGCTGCCAAATTAAATAGCAACCTATTTGATGGAGGCGTGTTCGAAACGTCTATATTTCCATTGTGATGTAGAAGTTGTTGTTGTAGCTATTCAATGCTACAAATAATTTGTATTTCCATTTTTTACCGTAATTCTTGTTTTGAGAATAGATAAATATCAATTATGAAAATAATTTTATACTAGGGAAATGACTTGAATCAGTTTGACCTGAGTTGGCCTTCAATGAATATTGACACCTGAGTGCTAATGTTTTTTGCTGTATTTTTTCTGGTGTTAGACCAGAAATTATGTCGATAACTGCAAGCTTCTGAAACCATTTTTTAAAGCAAGGCGTATTTAAAGCTTTCCAGTGCATTTTATAAACTTTTCATTCTTTAGAAGTGATTAACGCGTAATCAGACTTACTATGAAAAATCTGATTGGTTAAGTTAGGCTGAAATTTCCTTGAATTTTAGGTCGATCTTAACAGTTTGGCCTTTGTTACAAGTTGTAGGTTTATGTATATACGTGCGCTGAAGGTGATTCCTCAGTATTGTACTGCGTATACTGTACTACGCATAAAAATCACGTAATCAGGCGAATAAGCGTGCGCGCATTCCGAGAACCTAACAGCTGACTTGACTTGATCTCCAACAAACTCTTTCATTTAGTTTGAAGGCTGCTCTTTTATTGATGACTCTGACCACCAATTTCAATGCGAAATTCCAACTTCTCCGGAAAAGGCAGTGAAAACTAATTTAAGTTTGAGAAACACGCTTTGTACGCGGACCAACCCCTTCATTTTACGTTTGCCATATTTCTTTTTAATCATTTCACTATCAATCTCCTCACACCCTCTGTGATAGCATTTTACCGATGGTGGGGCTTTACTTCACACAAGATGTATCAAGATCGACAGGCAGACTTGATTGGTAAAGATGACGGTATACTACTTTTGTTCTATCATTACCTTGATAACCACATCTCACCAAGCCAAATATCGCATGTCTTGGAAATCATCCAACTATTAAGTAGGCTACCTGATGAGGGGTGGAAAGGAAATTTATTATCATCTAAATCTTTGGGCACTTCTGGGTCTTTCTATTCTGACTAGTGGCTTCCCTACACAATAGTTATCACGCAAACATTGCCCTCTCAAAGTATTTGATATAAAAAGTGTCTTTTTTACCTTAAGAAATGACGTATTTATATAAATCTATTTCCTACGAGTGCTTTTTAAATGCAGCCACGTACCTTTGTCGCAACATGACTGAGAAATAATGATCATAATTGATTCCTAATAATCACAAGACTTATTCCATTACAGTATGCATCGTAAATTGTCTTCTTAGAAAACACACTTTCACTAAAACACAAGAAACATAAAGTAACTAGTTATAGTTAGTAAGATCCTTTATTGAAACAAGATGAGAATGAAAGCAAGAGATACTTGAGGGGTTGTGTGTAACTAGGCTAATTCCTAAGTAACCTACAAGTAAAAGTGGATAAAATAAATCAAATGAATAATCAGACTTTGAGTAAGTACATGACAATGCAAAATGAACTTTTATAATTTAAGCATATGATGTTACTACTACAACGAACGGGGAATAGAGAAAAGGAAAGTGTATGAGAATCAATCGGTATTTAAAATAGGTACTACCTCCGCCCTACGATGCAATCCCTTTTAATGGACTTATGATTTGTGTCGTTGGAAGACATAACAGTATGATGTGAAGATGAGAAAAGCATCAGTCAACAGAAATGTAAGCGAGGTTGAATCTAAAATTCGTATTAAAGTAATGTTTACTTAAAGTGACACAAATCTATTGTTCAATGTTGTTCAATATTACTCCGAAGAACCGATTTCGATCGCACTGGAAATTTACATCTACGTAAAACTTAATTTTTCAACGCAAAAAATAAAGTAAAAAAAGCCTTCAATTGCTTTTCGAAAGAGTCTACCAAACTGTTTATGTTGTCATCCGCCATTTTTTGGTGCTATGCGGATTACCGCAGTCCCAGATCCTAGTCCCAGTCCCCCTCTCCTAATTTTGCTGACACATCATATTTCCTTCTAGATCAGTATTGACCAGAGTTCTCGACTGTAAGGTGAGTATTGGTCATAGATTATGGGTAGTGTCCAGCTTTCTCAATCGAACCGCTACCTGAAAACGAGTGCCTTTATATATATATTCTATGAGGTAAGTGGAATCTGATAATACGCTGTGGAAAAGAACATCTGTTAAGAACAACCACGATATTATCGTAGCCCGTTCGCTCTGTTATTTCATAACCGCATTTTCTTGGTGGGTATTGGTCATAGATTTGAGTAGTATCCAGCTTTCTTAATCGAACCACTACCTGAAAACGAGTGCCTATATATGTGTATTCTATGAGGTAAGTGGAATCTGATAACACACTGTGGAAAAGAATGTAAACAACCACAATCTTATCGTAAACCGCTCGCTCCTTTATTTCGTAACCGCATTTTCATACATCTAGCTATTTGCCGCGATTATGTACAGAAACAATAAAACAAAATTTTCGGCTTAGGTGTACCTTTCAATAGAAATATGTCAGACCAAGATATATAATAAATTTAGTTATTTGAGATGAAATCTGTCTCCTGTGCGCCTCACTGATTTCCTGATTATTGGTCTCCTGACGTGAAATATCTTATCTTACGGTAAAATGTGGGCAAAGCTCTATTATCCATGGCTCATTTGTTCCTCTTCTCGCCAATTTAAGCTCAGAAGAAAATAAAGCAGTGAGGAATAGCAGAAAGACATAGCTACCCTTATGCGGAAATAAATATGATTACAAATTCTGAGAATAATAATTTCCTTTTCGAGGAATAGCCACTTCTGTTTTCGACCTTGATTCGAGTTATTAGTATAGATAGCCCAGCTAAAACTTTAAATTGTTATCTCCATGTTACCGCTACGGTGAGTCATTTTCTGAAGAATCTATTCAGTGTTGGGTACGGTTTCATTACGGAATCGCGCCCATTAAAAAAAGTCGCACAGAAAAAATGCAAATAAGTTAGAAAAGAGAAAGAGAGAATGCATAACTTCACGCAGGCCTGTCAATCCGTGTTCTCAATTATTGTTTCATACTCAGACAACCGAAACGTAGCGCTATTTAAGGAAGAAGAATAGACTTAACTAGTAGCGTTATCTTGATTAGGCTCTAAATATATTTAAGTTCATACGGCAACCAGACATGGTGGACAATCAGACATGGTTTGATGCTACTCTGGTTTAATGATTTAACGAATGTAACCGAATAAGTTACAATTCATAGACCCAACGGGTAAAATTTCCGCACAGCCCCATACTACATTATGCATTCAGTTCTTGGATCTAGAAAACAATGAAAAGAACAATACATTTCCATTGGGAAAACATATTAGTTTTACAATAGTATGGGGCTGTGCGGAAATTTTACCGACCTAACGTTTCGACACTCCTGTCTAGTGTTTTCATCAGGGGTGATCTAAACGCTGTAACAAGAGGTCCTTTTATATGATCGCTAATTAGCTGCCTTTTTTCTGACGAGGTGTAAATAGCCGCCATCGTCACGATTTTAAAGGAGCGTGGCCGGAGTTAATATGCCAAGCCTTCAGACAAAGAAGTTGGTGGTAACGCCGATTAGTGGTGATAAATTTAGAATTATTCCACCCAATTGTATGGTTAGTTAGGCATGTGTGCTCTGATAAAGCTGAATTTTCCTTTTTGCAAAAGAAAACCGCTTTTTGATGCTCTTTCAAACGTGTACAAACTGACGTTTTAGTCTGTCCGATGTATCCGTTGTCACAGTCGTTGCAAGGAATAGAATAAATGGCGTCGGTTCGTTGTTCTTTCGTGACAGGATCCTTAGGTTTGGCGAAAATATGCCCCTAAGGATCCTATCTTCTTGAATGCGATATATTTACGTGTTTCATCGTAATTAAATGCCCAGCAGTCAGCAGTTTTTAAAAAATTTTCACCGAAAGTTCCTTTCAAACTTCTTAAAAGTATCAGATATGTTTGTTAAAAAATGTCAAGCGATTCAAAAAATTAATTTGGTTTCTCAGTGGAGAAACTCTCAAAGCTTGTGCATACTCTAATATCGTTGGGTTGACTATGCTGCTGATCCGATCGCCGGGCACGGTCTCGAAGGGACTAACTGCAGGGAAATCAGAAATTTTCACTATTTCAAACCAGATCAGACCATTCTCGCTACACTTAACGAGCATCAAGAGATAACATACATATTCGTCTGTTTTCTTCATTGTTTGAATGATCCGTGTTTGCTGATAACATCTTCACTCCGCTCTATAAGAGTGAAAACAAATTAATGAGCAAGTATGCCCCGCGTCAGTCACGCAACGCGTCACGTGACGTAACCAAATTATGGCCGCAAAGGAGACTAACTTTACGTTATTAGGAATTCATGACAAGTCAAAACAGATCAGCACCGCAGTCTACATTCTCTGAAGCAGTGGCGTTCTCCTTTTCCTTTTCTTTGACGTTGCCAATCTAGCGTTTCTAATCTAGCAAATTATATTTCACTTTAGAGAAGCAGGAATTAACCCTGGCATTCAATATGGAGGGATTGAAGTTTTGTCGGGCACGCTCTCGAATGGACTAAATGCCGGGAAGCCAGAAATTTTCACCATTTCAAATCAAATCAGTCCATTCTTGCTACGTTTAACTGGCATCAAGAGATAACATACATATTCGCCTGTTTTCTTAATTGCTGTCGTTTTTTTTTTTAATTTAAATGCAATTACCCTGCGTTAGTCACGCAACGCGTCACATGACGCGAATAGGAATTCATGATAAGTCAAAACAACACAGCACCATAGTCTACAAATCTTTGAAGCAGCCGTGGTCTTCTTTTCTTTTTCTTTTGACGTTGCCAATCTAGCTAATCTAGCAAATTATATTTCACTTTACAGAAGCAGGAATTAACCCTGGCATTCAGGATGGAGAGATTGAAGTTATTTTTAATTCTCCTGTTATGGCGTCATTGTAAAATCATCCATGGTAAGTTACTTCATCATTTTAACCTGAATTGTCAACTGATTTAGTCAATTCTCGTCGCAAAGTGTCTTTTGGTAACTGCACTGATTCACTGTGTTATTTACAAACCTTTATGGAGGAAAGGAAATTTTCAGAGCATACCTGCACAATAAGGAGGCTTAGCGTAGTAATCGTTAACTATCATAAATGAAGTGCTTGAAAATGAAGCAATACAACGCCCCTTCTATTGGTTTACTGAAAACCTGGGCGGGATGCTGAGAGAACTCTCGTTAAATCTGTTGCACTTCTATATAGGTTTACCGGTCCAATAAACGATAGCGTTCTTGACCGATCAGGCCTCTCGTCGTATCTCGGTTATTATAAATCGCCATAAGTCGTATTATATTTGCATGAAATACTCAGTAGTTTAATTAAACGTGGAAATCGATAACTACTCTTTCTTGAGAGTAGATAAGCTCTTTGTATACACCTTGCGCAAGCGATTTTCATATCGACGGCAATTTCATTGGGTTTAGCGACTTTTTGTGGATAAGTTTTATTCCCGCATGCAGAACTGTTCGATTTGATCTGGCGGATTGCAATTTCATTGGTTTTTCTCTACTGTACTGCTTCCCATTCACTGGTTATCTTGTGGAATTTTTGAATTAGCTATTCTCCTCTCCTCACAGCGTGTGAAGAGCCATGCTTGTACTATAGCATTGGGAATACCATAAATGGTATCAACCTGTCCGCTGGGAAAACCGCTTCTAGTGTTGTAGTGCAAGATATTGGACGGGTCTTTGCCATTGCAGTGGATGTAAAGGACAATTACATCTATTGGAGTGACTTTGGGGGTGGTACCATCAAAAGAATGGATCTTCAGACGAACATAAAAGAAAATGTGACGAAAGGCGTCGGTAGAGTGGAAGGAATAGCCATAGACTGGATTAGCAAAGACATATTTTGGACGGACACGACAAACAACCGAATAGAAATGGCGAAGGTTGATGGAAGTGACAGAAAAATACTGTTTGACCGAGACATTGACGAACTTCGAGGTATAGCTGTTGATTCGATCAATGGGTGAGTAAGGAGAAGTCATATGTACTTTAAGTGTTGAAACCACAACTCACGAACTGAGAAGTTCGATATAGCTAGTGTTCAATTTTAGATAGACCTTTTTTTAATTCTTCTTCTTTGTTATTTCTCTTTTTGTTTATCTACTTACTTAAGACGGTGTTCTTAACACTTCAGGATATGGTATTGCAGATATAAAATCTACTAAAGTGCACTTTTCCCAATGGTGGTGAATCACGTTTCTTTGTTACATGTTTTGTACAATTTGCTCTAATGGCGTAAGGGAGTTGCTGCGCAAGTCGCCTCTTCGGGAAACAAATGAGGAAAATAAAAACGGATCACTCGACTCCCAACGTGAAAAGAGAACACTACTGGTATGGAGCCGTAACTGCCTCTCAGCAGGATAGGTCAGCCAATCGCCTTAAAAACTATTTGCTAACTGTACTGCTCCTCTTTAAATAATCAGGGCTTTTAGTACAATATTAACGCCTTGAAATTAATTGTTGTCAAGAGGAATAACACAGAACTGACGAAACAAATCCTACAGGTACATTTTCTGGACAGATTGGGGTTCAAGTCCTAAAATTGAGAGAGCCACCTTAGACGGGAAGGAAAGGGTCATCATTGTGGATACGAGTTCCAGTTTCCCCTTGAAATGGGTAAATGGCGTAATAGTAGACTACGCTGATTCAGAGAGCGTAATTTATTGGGTCGACGCTGGTCTGGGTGTGGTCGGCAGAGCTGATCTGGACGGACGAAATCGAAAACTATCAAAAAAGATAACTAACAGTCAACTGGTCGCTATAGCACTTCACAACGGAACTGTCTACTTGTCTGATAGCAGAGCCAAAAAAATTCGGCTGGTGGACAAAACAAGCCTAGAATATCTTGGAAATCTCGACCTGTCTTTCCCTGAAATACATGGAATTACTGTATTAGACGGATCAAGGCAACCTCTGAGTAAGTAGAAATTGTTTGTTGTTCTTCCTACTCCGATTTTTTAATTTAACCCTGTATGAAACTTTAAACTATAAACTTTAGTAGCCAAGAGGCACTCGAAGTCGGTACTCCACTATTTTCTCTGAAAATAAAAGAACGAAAGAAACATTTTTGAACCATCAATTATCACTGCATTACCCACAAAGATATTGGTTCACCAGTTGTAATTAGCCAAATCAAATTTCTTTTTAAATAGATCTGGTGGCTGTCAGTATTACATTGGAAATGAAAATGGAAGAGGTATTCTAGTTTTCTTTTGAAGTACATTTCATCGTAACAAAAAAAAATATCCTCTGACCCTCACCCCCATCTCCCGCCCCTGGCGAATAATTAATGGCTGGTGTCTTTTGCTTTCGCTCGGACACAATTGTCTGCTCTTTTGGACTTCTATGATACTGTTACAAGTAACACTGGCCATTGCAGCTAAATCTGTTCCTTGAACTATCTGGAATTTGTTTTGCTGCTGAAGGGTGATCCAAACGTCATCACATGAGAGTTCATTCCCAGCTTTTCTAAGCAGTTGTAGCCTAAATACTCCAGGCACGGTCTGTTGGGCACATAACTCCTAAGCAGAGTCCCTTAAGGTTGGGCAGTCAAGGGGTTTACTGAATAAAGGTCGAAGTATCGATATTACTATAAGATAAGTAGGTTGAAGAACCTACTCCTTTTTGTCTATTTTAATAACTTATAAGAATGTATTAAAATATGTTCATCAGTGGGAGGAAGAGAAATTTAAACAAGCAGTCGTGAAAGGGATAAAAGACTACTGCTTTGAGGATACATGCAGTTACAAATCAAGGTATTGCAAACACTGTTTGTGGAAATGAAATGATTTCCGTTTTGGTATATTACCGTTATAGTTTGAAATTTTCTTGCCATATAGTAATATTTACGGAAACCCAACATGGGAAGGCATGCCCATCAGAGCGAAAACGCCATTGATAATTAGAAAAAAGGAAGCATTAAAGCTATTTCCCGTATGGACGAATTAAAGTGACTGCCTCACTTGACAAGGGGGCAGAGGTAACCCAACACTGTGACCAAGTGTGCTTGACTGCTCTGACTCAGTGCACCTGAATGTGGAACTTGAATATAAAGCAATGTGCAACCACCACATGATCACGCTTTAGCATAAGGTATTTAAAACATCGTGATTTCCTTTCCTTCTCGACAGAAACACAACCATTGCAAAGCAGTTGTGCAGCATCTTTCCAAATGATTCCAACACTAGTTCAGCTCAGATCAGAGTCCTAAAGCAACCCGGAGAGTCTTCAGTTCTGAATCATACTGAAGTGGTTTTTTCACTCATTCTTCGAACCCAATCCAATTCATCCCGTATGGTAATTAAAAACAGCACTTTGGATTATATCGTGCAAAAGAGTGTCTACTATATCAGCAAACATTTAGGTGGTTACAAGGTTATATATGTAAATTGTAACCCTCCATCATTCGAAAAATTTTGTAATTATACGGAACTCCCCAAGGATATCAATGGAGAGGAGGTTGCGAAAGGAGTGTCGTCGAAAAAGGGAACCATTGATTCAATAACAGCCGGAACAGTCACAAGTGGAATAGTTATCGTTATCATTATCGCTTGCGTTATCTGGTGCAAAAGGTATGAAATTATTTTAAATGCCTTTTTATTTGAATTATTCAGTCATTTCTCATTCATCTGTTCATACTACTCAGTCAAATTTGAAATTCACTTCCTTAGGAATTGATTATAGATAAATATAGCTTTTGTCTACGTTAGTGGACTTCACTTACTTATAAAAGATATCCTTATAATGATCGGTGCCTCTGCAGTTCAATTTCAACGGCTGTTTAAATTCATTTTTGTCTTGAATTGAGTCAGTAGTATAGTTTATTTAATTACTTGACTCATATTTAGCTCTGTTTACTTCTAGGCGGAGTAATGGCGCAAATGTAGGTAATGAACAAGTCCAGGAGATGAGTAATGTGGAATGCGGCGATAGGGACCCAGGCCAAGAGCTACACTTTAGCCAAGATGTAGCTGTCAATAGCGATAGTAAAGTGCAGGATCAAAGCTATTCTGGAAACAACAGAATCCACGGTAAAAATTTTAGCAAAGATGACCAAAATACAGGTAAAACAGGAAAGAAACTCGACAACAACTACTGTCTAGGTTTGTCGAATAATAGGAATTCTGTAAATAACTTTACAATACAAGACGTATACGTCCATGCAGTTACCCTGCCCTAACACAAAACGTGGAGCTTAAGAAGCCGATGAAGGTTGTGGCGCATCTGGTGTTAAGTTACACAATACCCACACGATTTTAGGTTTTCCATGTGTATTCGTTACCAACTGAACATAAGATTATCCCACAACTTTTTTATTGCTCGGTTCTCTCCAGCACATGTTTTTTTCTTACGTCATATGACATCTACCAGGATGTCCAGTCCTTTCCGCGCGAACGCCTGACACTTAACATAAATTCCTTTAGGAAACAACGTGATTTCACTGCTCAACACTTCCCCCCTAACTTGAAAAAGAAATGTCATTAGTGACATTTAGCATGCGATACAAAATATTCCTCTACAACAGTGGCTTGTGCATTAGGATTGTTCAACACATAAATCTTAGAGTGGGGTGATCAGGCCGAGCCCCATACAGACCACTAACTATCACAGTTCATCTGACCATACGACTGTTCATGATTCTGTATCACAAAGACCATCTCTGGATAGTTCTCTCAGCATTCATGAAAAGAATGTTTAAATACACAAAAGAAAACTACATTTTTGTTTCTAAGTTCTCTGAGCAACAAGAATGTAGTACATGGGTTATTGTCTGTCTGTACTGGAATGGCTGATGTGGCATTTCTCATTGTGGTAACTGAAGCACTGCTGGATAGGGCATCCCATACGGCATCATCGTATTTGCCATCCAGAACATCATGGGTACCGCAGGTGGAGTGAAACTGGTCATTGGTGGTGGCAGCATACTGTACTGGTTTACTGGTGGCGCAGGTATATAGGGTACTGGCGATGGTATTCCAACCTGGTTTATCTCGGAAGGTGGTCCTGCATTAATCTCTCGTGCGTAAGTTGGGCTCCCAAGACTGTCAGATGTCAGTCCTTAGTCTGTTAGTCCTTGCCTTGCCCGCTGAGGGCGACCTTGGTTACTAGCATCCTCTTCCATGCTTGTTTCTCCACCAATGGCTTTAGGGTTTTCAGTCGTTGGTACTTCATCAGGAGAATCAGTGATGATAGCACTTGCCTCAATTTGGCCTGACACCCCATCAGAATTGACATTTGGGGGGTTTGGTTCTGCTCCCACTACTTCTTTGCTTGCAGACTGTACCTGCATCTGAGATTGATCATTGCCATCATTTCCCGGTGATAGGTAATGGTGTGAGATGTCGGGAAGGCCTGATTCTGATCTCGCGTCATACACAGGGCTTCCCTCTCCTTTTTTTGCAATCACCATATGAATCTCATCTTCCCAGAAGGCACGGAGTTTTCCAGGTCCACCGCGAGGGGTGAGGTTGCGGACTTGGACACGATCTCCCACTTGCAGTGCTAAAGATCTCACTCGTTTGTCGTGATTCCTTTTTCCTCTAATGGCACTTTTCGTGGCAGATTTCAATGCGAGTGAGTAAGCTTCTTGCATGGCAGTCTTCCACTTAGTCACATACTCAGCATGTGATATGGCTCCTGTTTCTGGTTGGGGGTCAAAGATTGCATCAATTGGTAGTCGTGGGCTTCGACCAAACAACAGGAAAAACAGAGAATGACCTGTTGACTCATGAACAATGTAATTATATGCATGAATGAGCTTGTTTACATGGTCCTTCCAACTTGATTTGCGAGTTTCAGGGAGAGTTCGTGGCATATTTACTAGCGTGCGATTCATCCGTTCGACCAAACTGTTCCCTTGTGGGTGATACGGGGTAGTTATAGAATACACAACTCCAGAAAATTCCTCTAACTGCTCGAACAAACGATTTTCAAACTTCCCTCCCATGCCATGATGGAGTTTCTCTGGAAATCCAAAACGCGGGATAAAGTCATTGAAGATCCTGTCTGCAGCAGTAACGGCGGTTTTGTTCTTCGTTGGGTATGCTTGAGCATACTTAGTAAAGTGATCTACCACAACTAGAATGTACTTGTGCCCCCCTGAACTCCGCTCTAGGCGTACAAAGTCAATGGAGAGCATTTGAAGAGGAGCTGTTCGGACAATTGGCTGTAATGGCTCTCTTGTTGGTAGATTTGGGCGTCTCTGTTTCAGACAGCGGCATGTATGATGGATAAAGTTGTGTATATCCCTCCTCATGTAAGGCTAATAAAATCTCTCAAGAGCCAACGCAAGCACCCTCTCGACACCAGGATGACCTATTTCTTCATGGAGTTCACGGTATACAGTGCGTCGGAATTTCTGTGGTAGAACTATCTTCTGATTACGATGCAGGATGCCACTCTTCTTGTCTACATTAAGTTTGTGCCACTCATTCAGGAGCTTGCGAACCAACGGCGATTCTTTTCGTTTCTGTCCAACTGTCGGCTTCTGGTTTGCTTTGATGACTTTCAGGACGCGCCCAATGTGAGGTTCTTCTTTCTGTGCTCTCACTATATCCACCACTTTTACTTGATTGCAGCTTGCTTGTGATGGAATGTCTACCTGATGGAGCTCCCCGTCGTAATCAGTCAGGGCCATCAACCAAATTGAGTCCCCACTTGATGATGTCTGAATTCTACAGATTGAGGCCTGCAAGCTTTCAGGAACTACCCTCTCAGCACAACTATCCATGTAGTTCTTGAAGTCAGCAGGTATCCTGGAAAGACTGTCAGCATCAGTGTTCCACTTGCCTGGTCTGTACCGTATTTCAAAGTTGAAGTCCGCGAGCTCTCCAACCCACCTCAATCCTGTGGCATTTAGTTTGGCAGACGTTAACACATAAGTTAAGGGATTGTTGTCTGTGTATACCACAAATTCAGGGGTGTAGTAGAGGTAATCCCTGGACTGTTCTGTCACTGCCCATTTCAAGGCTAGGAATTCCAGCTTGCCTGAATGCATATGATAGTTGCGTTCTGATGGAGTCAGAGTTCTTGATGCATAGGCGATTACTCGTGTAGAGCCATTCCGTTCTTGGTACAAAACCGCACCTAGGCCATCCTGTCACGCATCAGTATGTACTATAAATGGTGCATCGTAATCTGGGTACGCCAGCACACGGTGTGACGTCACGTGATCTATTAAGACCTCTAATGCTGACTGGTGCTGGGTCTCCCACTCCACTGGTGATGAAGATGATACTTGCCCACTGTTTCCCCTTGGACTATGTTTAGTGGAGGTGACATTCTTCTTCTTTCGCAGGTCAAGGCTGAGAAGATCATGAATGGGTTTTGCTGTTTGTGCAAAATGTTTGATATGACGACGGTACACACCAAGAAGACCCATGAGTTTTCTCACTTCTCTAACTGTTCGTGGTCTTAAGTTCTTCATTGCAATCGCTGCACATGTGGCTTTGGGATCTATTTGGTACCCATCCTGAGAGATAACTCTTCCAAGGAAAGGCACTTCACGTTTGAAAAATGCACACTTTCTAGGTTTTAACTTTACACCATAACTCTTCAAGCGACAGAGAACTTTACGAAGGTGTTCAATGTGTTAAGAATATGTTACTGAGAATACTATTACATCATCCAAGTAAGGAATACATATCTCGTCGCGGAGCTCTCCGAGGCAATTCTCCATAAATCTCTGAAAATTTGCTGGCGCATTCATCAGTCTGAAGGGTATCCGAACCCATTCTTACAACCCCCACGGTGTGACAAGGGCTGTCAATGGTTGACAGTACTTTCCCATGAATCCCTACCTTGGTCCAGGACACTAAACCACGACTTGCCCCCCAAACTGTCCAGAGCTTCCTGGATACGAGGAATCGGGTGACGGTCTGGCACAGTTTTCTTATTTAATTCTCGGTAATCTATACATAGTCTCATTCCACCATCTCTCTTACGGACACATACAACACTAATTGAGAATGGGGATGTAGACTTCCTGAAGAAAACCTCGGTTAAGCAGGTCCTCAATATAGCCTTAACTTCTGGATAAAACGGACGGGGTAGGGAAAGGTATTTCTTCTGAACTGGCTGGTCACTAGTCATCTTAAATATCCATTTCTAACCCTGAGATGCAGCCAACATCATTGTCACTCATCGCAAATGCTTCTGCTTCTTCCAACAACAACTGCTTTGCTTGCTCCTTTTGTTCTGCTGTCAGTCCACTCAAATCAACTTCTGGTGACTAAGACAAGTTACTCTCAATTTTCTCAGTTAGTTTATGTTCATCGCAGGGCAGCTCCTTGTCTGGAGTCTGCGTCTCTGTATTCTTGAATCTCACTTCAACAGGAGTCACCGAGTGAACTAACCGAAGGAGGCCCAGGACCACTCTTCTGGGTAGAGCGATGTCGTGATTGGTATTGTTGGTCACGTTGATGGATAATATGGTAACATGACCTTCCTTTATAGTTGTAAGGGATTCATGTAATTCTAATCCTGAAGGCCAGGTAGCCAACTCATCTGGTTTAAATATTACCGGTGTCTTGCGGTAAATAGGTCCAGTGTTGGCACGACAAGGTAAACGAATAGTCTGTCCAGCAGGGATAGTATGTGCTTTCTTAGCGGATTTAACAAAGCAAAGCTCATCAGAATTAGTAGCACGTATGATACTTATCAAGGCTTGTTTGTCACTATCTCTACTTTGGTGGAAGCTTTTCATCGTCCTTCCTGGTAATTTTTCCCCATCCACCTCGCCTTCAGTATTCTTGACCATTAGCTCTATGACATTACAACCAATGATGGGCTGTTCAATTTCCTCCTTCGTTACTTAGAATGGAACTCTTACCTCTGCCTCATTCTCGTTTGATAACCTCACACCAATCTCTGCCCACCCACATCATGGGATATCAGTTCCATTTGCTGCTTGCAAACTAAGAGAACCATTGGAACCAAGTAACTGTTCAACATCTTGTATTTGGACAGATAATAGCTGGCTCTTCAGAAAACCTTCGGACACAATAGAGACCTGGGCTCCATAAAACTTCTAAAGGCTTTTCATCTAGATAGCACTGCACCGAGCATTTTCTTCCCACCAGCTTGGCTATACACTTCTGTTGCCTTGGGGTGATATGGCAAGCATAACATTCTCATCTTGGGTATCTCCTAACCCTTTTCCTTTACGAGCTCTTTTCTCAGAGAGTTCTTTGATTGCCTTGCACAACACCTTGTGTTTTGGTCGATGAGCCTTCTGGTAACCCACGAAACATTACCGCACAGACTGGCACGCCGAACACTGCAATAACTGTGTATGGCAATCAAATTTCAGGCAACCACTACACTGGTGGGACTTCTCTTCCTCTGGCGAGGCTACTCCCTGTCCCGCAGGGTAGCCAGGGTGCGTTTCCCAGATGACTTCTATACTTGGTTTGACAATAGCGTGTGTCACGATTCAGTGAACTCAAAAGGGTTATTTATTGTGCGAACTCGACTGCCGCCACGTGTGTATTCGTTGTCTCCCTAGTCTTCTAAATATAAAGATGTTCATCGGCCCAGTGGCGTGACCGTGTAACGCAATATCACGACATCTTCCCCTTTTTACAAAGTTTATCTTCAAAAGTTAATTAATACTCAATGTTCGGTTTCGATCACTGTTCAAATCACATAAAATCAACAAAACATTGTTCTTCATTGAAATCATAAAAAGATAGAAACAGACTCAACAACTATTTAGCGGCTCAATCATTCAATGTTCAGTTCATATGGTAATCCTGATGCCACAAAGGCGGTCGACGTCTGCGTTCTGATCGACGAGTTTCAATCCTTTGTGGCTCAAGCTCAGTTCCCATCTCATTTTCAGGTGGCATTCTCTCTGTTTTGGTCTCGCCATGGAACTCCGGTGGAGGAGGTCCTGGCTCTGTCAGATTTGGCGCCGGTTTGAGGGTAGACTCGGGCGGAGTTAGTTCTACCAGACTCATAGGTGGTGCTGTTTCCGGGGTCAGGCGCAGTTGCCGACGGTTGCGTCGGTATCGCCTGCCGCAAACTTCAACTTCATAAGACCTGTTCCCCAAGGCTTTCATGCAGGTCCCCAGACTCCATTCCTCCCTTCCGGGAAGCCGCATCCTGATGGCCTGTCCACACTTTAGTGCCTCTAAAGGGCGAAACTTTTTGTTGTATTGTTGAGCTTGTCTTTTCTTGCGCTCAGCTAATTTGGTGGCTGTTTCCTGGTGTGATGGCTGCCGCAGGAGCGTTTCATGGGTTGGTAAGAAAGTGCGTGTGCGGCGTCCCATCAGTCTCTGTACGGGTGATGTTCCTAGACCCTCTGTTGGGGTGTTGCGCCAATCAAGAAGGGCTAACAGCGGGTATTGCCCATCCGCTTTCGCTTTCGTCATCAAGTTCTTGCAGGTCTTCACGGCATTCTCGGCGCGGCCATTTGACTGGGGGTAACGGGGGCTCGAAGTTCTATGTTCAAACTGCCATTCTCTCACGAATGCACTGAACACCGATGACGTAAACTGAGGTCCGTTGTCGGTAATAAGCACGTCTGGTATCCCATGGCGGGCGAATTGTACTTTACACGCAGCTATCACGCTAGCAGATGTGGCCACCTTAACCTCCTGGACTTCAAAGAACCCACTCCAGTAGTCGACTAGGACAAAGAAATGTTGTTGCCCAAGGTCAAAAAAATCGGCACCTAGCATCGACCAGGGACGCGACGGGATCGGATACGGTTGCAATTCCTCGCGGCACTGATCTGGCTGGTACGACTGGCAGATTGAGCATTTGGAAACAAAGTCCTTTACTTCCGAATTCATGAGGGGCCAATAGAGGACCTCCCTAGCGCGACGTAAACACCCTTCGATTCCAATATGTGATCGGTGAATTTGCTTCAACATTTCTTTTCTCAGGGAAGGGGGTACCAGCAATCGCTCCCCCAGGAATACTAGTCCCTTGTCTTCTATAAGCTCACTTCGTTTGTCATAGTAAGGCGTCAGCTCAGGGGTACAGGACTTCCTTGACACTGGCCATTCACCCTTGATTGCTCCGATTAGCTTTTGCATCACTGGGTCCCTGGCAATCTCGTTTCTGAATTCAGCGAGCCTGTATGGTGCAATCGAGAGGTTTTCTGAATGATCTATCTCGGCAAGTGTACAGATCAGACTTGTATCGTGCTTGGAGGCTTCGGTGGTGTTGCGGTATGCTCGACTCAGTGCATCTGATACCCACATAAGTTCCCCTTTTTTATACTGCACATCCAGGGAGTAATTCTGAAGGGCCATCAGCATTCTCTGGAGTCTCTTTGGTGAGTTGTGTATTGGCTTGGTAAAAACTGCCCTTAGTGGTTCGTGGTCAGACTCGATGTGTACAACTTCGCGTCCCAGTATGTATTGATTGAACTTGTCGGTTGACCACACTATGGCGAGGAGCTCTTTCTCGATTTGAGCGTAACGCGTTTCGGTGTCGGTCAGAGCTCGCGAGGCAAAGGCAACGGGCTGACCCTTTTGCATCAGTACTGCACCTAGACCCGTTATGCTGGCATCGCATTGGATTGTCACTTCTTCAGTAACATCATAGTATTTCAGTACCGGGGCCTTGGCCAAGTATTCTTTGACTGTGGTAAATGCTTTCTCATGCTGTGCAAGCCAACACCACTCGACGTCCTTGTCCTCAAGCCTTCGCAAAGGTTCTGTCATGTCGGACAGGAGTGGCAAGAATTTGGCCAGATAATTGACCATCCCCAAAAACCTCTTCAGGCCTTTCACATCAGTCGGCGGTGGCATATCCAAAATAGCTTCAACTTTGGCTGGGTCTGCCTTTAGACCATCAGGAGTCAAGAGGTGGCCCATGAAACGCACTTCGGTTTGAGATCTTTTCAGCTTGAGTTTGTTGAGCTTGAGGTTCCACTCCCGGCATTTCTTGAAGAACGCACGTTCGTTCTTTTCAAGGCTCGAGTTGACCTCTGCGTCAGTTTCGCCAAATCCAGCGATGAGGAAGTCGTCAGCGATAACTTCAACTCCTTCTAAATTTTCTACGAATTCATGCATGCGTCGCTGCCAAACTTCAGGCGCACTTGAGATACCAAAAGGCATGCGGGCCCATCTATAACGCCCAAAAGGCGTATTGAACGTTGTCAGGAAACTAGAAGCATCGTCTAAGAGGATTTGGTGGAAACCATCCTTGGCGTCACAAAGAGTAAATTTCTTGGCACCTGTTAAGCGGGAGGCCTCTTCATCGATAGTCGGCAACTGGTAATGCTCTCGCCGAATGGCACGATTTAAATCTCTCGGGTCAATACAGATGCGTACTTTGTTTGGCTTCACTATGGCTAACATGCTGGATACCCACTGCGTCGGTTCTGTTACTGGAATAATAACTTTACGATCAACAAGTTCGTCCAGCTTGTTTTTGATGCATGGACGCAAGGCTACTGGCACTCGCCTCGGTGCGTGGACAACTGGTTGCGCCTGTTCGTCTATGGCTATTTTGTATGTTCCCGGTAGGGCCCCTAATCCGTCGAATACGTCCTCATACTCTTCGAGCAAGGAGGCTTTGGGACACTTGACGTGTAATGCTAGGACGTCACAATTATTCAAACTCACAAAGCCAAGATTGAGGCTGGTGTTCAATGATAAAATCGGTTGATAGTCTCCGTCTAAGATGTTAAACTCCATTGACCTCCGCTGTCCACGGGACCACACAGGCAGGGTAGCTTTACCAGCAATTTTGCGGCGATCCCCTGTGTACGAGACTATTTCCTTTTGGCATGGTTTGAGGCGATGAAGGAGGGTGTCCCCAGTGATTTGCTTGTATAATTGGGCCGGGAGAATGTCGCACTGCGACCCAGTATCTATTTGAAACTGGACTTCTGTCTTGGGATCTGGCCCATAAATGTGGAGTTTGACCACTGCCAATTTTTCCTGGCCTTTGCTCTTACTAGTAGTAGCACCAATGTAGTAGGGGTCGTTTCCCATGTCGACGGCTTCGTGGACCGCCGAAACTCTACTTTTCACTCCTCGGGGATTAGCGCGACATTTATTCGCAAAATGATTCATACTCCCACAGTTAAAACATGTTCTTCCATACGCGGGACAATGACGTCCATGCACCATTCCGCAATTTCCACATTTTTTAGACGGTCTTCTAAATGCTTGTGACTTAAGTTGTCGTTCTTCTTCAGGTTTTTCTGCCGATCCCGCCTTCCGTAACGCATGAACTGCAGTGTCTCCTCCAGCCATTAGCTTTACTTGCTGTTGGGTCTGTTCTGACGACTTAATAATGTCAACTGCTTGTAGGAGAGATAAATCATTCAAACGGAGAAGTCTCTCGCGGACGCGATCATCCCGTATGCCTAGCACGAGGCGGTCACGCAAAATTTCATCTGGTGTGATTGTATCGTGTGCACAGTTTTTGCGATCGTTCGAAGCTCCGTAAGATACGTCGAGATGTTTTCGCCTGGTTCCTGGTTTCGGTTGTTGAACCTATAGCGTTCATATATGACCTGTGTCCTAGGAATGCAGAATTCGTCGAACTTCTTCAGGACTTGTGAAATGTCGTCTGCGTTTTCGTCTTCGTTCCAAATAAAGGTATCGTGGGCTCTGACGCCATCCTCGCCTATAATGCTTAGTAATGTCGACACACGAACTATGCCCTCTTGTTTATATACACCAGTAGCGATTTCGTAGCGCTGCCACGCTGCTTTCCACGATTTCCATGCGGTGGCTAAATTGTCGTCAAAATTAAGCGCTTTCGGCGGGGGCAAATTTGACGGGGGAATAAAAACTTGAGTCGGCGCTGGTGGCACAACTATGGATGCTTCAGCTGCTTCTGTCATCTTTAGGGGTGAACCGATCCCACTCCTGACACCATGTCACGATTCAGTGAACTCAAAAGGGTTATTTATTGTGCGAACTCGACTGCCGCCACGTGTGTATTCGTTGTCTCCCTAGTCTTCTAAATATAAAGATGTTCATCGGCCCAGTGGCGTGACCGTGTAACGCAATATCACGACAGCGTGCAATGTGGTTTGAGCCACCACAGAGATAACAATGTGGGCAGCGGTCGCCTTCCCTCTTTCTCCTACGCTCTTGGCAACCAGGTGACCTTGCTCCCATTGTCACTCCATTTCCAGGACGAGAAGGCCTTATGGAGTCTACTTTCTGGCTAATTGCTGTTTCACGGAGTTTCTCAACTTCCAACCGCACTGAAGCCAGATTTGCTTGCACGGCTTTCAGGGTTGCTAGAATATGTTGATCCTTGTGTTGCTCCTTCTTTGTACTTGTATCAGCTCCACTCTCTACTGTGTACACCTTAGCAGCACCTTGCCTGCAAGACAAAACTTATAACCTCTTTCTGTCTCTGCAGATATAGCTAGGCTCATGGCTTCTATGAGATCTTCATCTGCAACTTGAGGTTTTTCCTCCGCAATTTTGTTTATATCTCAAGCTTACTTGTAAACAACACGATCAGAAACCCACAAGATCCACTAAATAAAACAGTGTTCCTACCTTTCACTAGCCTCACAACTACGTTTCACTACCTTTTTCACCAGCCGCCCGTAACAAACGTCCTCTCACACCACAATCCGTCACATTCTTCCCGCTAAAAGTCTTCCAGCGCAATCCGCCATGTGCTTGAACATGCGATAACGGCGGTCCACATAAAGTCCTCGCACGAAGTGGTCAAACAAGCATCAATACAGGCAAATGCACACAGTTCCGTCGAAAAATCCTCTCGGACAGGCCCCCAGAAATGTTACACAGAATACCCACACGGTTTTAGGTTTTCCACGTGTATTCGTTACCAACTGAACATAAGATTATCCTCACAACTTTTTTATAGCTCGGTTCTCTCTGGTACATGGTTTTTGTTTTACGTCATATGACATCTACCAGGATGTCCAGTCCTTTCCGCGCGAGCGCCTGACACTTAACACAATTCCTCTAGGAAACAACGTGATTTCACTACTTAACATTAATAAACCAGTTCAATTCAAGGTCGATGTAAGCTCGAAAGATGTATAACTAACTTCTAACTTTTCAAGAAATGGTTCTTAAGAAAACTGCCTGCGCTGCCAAATTAAATACCACACTATATAATGGGGGTGTATTCGAAACGTCTTTATTTCCTTTGTGATGTAGAAGTTGTAGTAGTTATTCAATGCTCCAAATATCTTGTATTTCCATTTTTCACCGTGATTCTCGTTTGAGAATAGATAAGTATCAATTACGAAAATAATGTTATACCAGGGAAATGATTTAAATCTGACACCTGAGTATTCTTAGCTGGCAGTAATTTGGCGCCAATTACATAGCAAAATCCAATGTTGTGCCTAAAAGCAGAGCATAGGGAGAGCAGAGGGGTATTACGTCTGCGCATGTGCCAATAAAATTTGTTCGTCGCTTTCGGCGCCATTTCGGTATTTTCAGCGCGCTTCCGTGGGTTTTCAACTGGCGATCGACACCTTTTCGACATATTTTTTGGAGAGGGATGAAGATTATGACAAGTTTACCACCATTTCTAACTCTGTGGATACTCGTGGAATTTGCTGGCTCTTCGGATGAGGATATGTTAAGGATCAAAGTGCGAACAAAACGCAAAAAAAGGCCGAAAACTTGAAGTTTGAGATTTGACTTACTGACGATCAAGATGTGCATATGAGACTAAAAATCTTCAAGGTTAGTCTTAAGATGTTGATGTTTTACTTCTATGTATCACGAAGTTTTATGTGGAAACGATCGTGAGATATTCGTTACGAAAACAGAAGGTAGTTTAGAATTTGATCTTATTTTACTTGAACTTTGAAATTAAAATTGCTTAAAGTTCGAGGTGGCCCCCAAGCTTCCAATCACTTCAAACAGGCGCGTCTTTTCTTTCTCTTTGTAGTCAGTTAGAACACAAGGATTTAAAAAATGTTCCAGCTTCAGGATTGAGTTGCCCTTACTACAACCTTCGGCGGATTCGTTTTTGGGAGGTTGTGGTGGATTTTCCAAGTCATGGCTCACAACTGTTTTTGGCCTTTTTGCTCTCCAAGTCTGTTGCACATGGTATGTAGGCATGTGTGTTAACAACGGTTATAATCTTGCCTCAGTCATTTCCGGTTTTTTCTTATTTTCTTGCTGTGTTTTGGTGAGAATTTTTTTAATTGCCTTTTTGGGCTTGAAGTGCTAAACTTAGGAGAAACTGATTCATCACACGGCCCTCAAATCCCTCACCACTTTTAGTTCATTGTTTATTTATTTATTTATTTATTCCGTCTAACCAGTTTATTTATCACAAAAAATGCGCGGGTTTTGTCTCATGAGTTTAAACTGGTGCCGTTTTCTTGATGTTCATGTGTTATTCGAAACGAATGGCGTCAGCTTCATTCTGTCTTGTTTTTTTCAGTACAATACTTCTGCCATGCGAAGTGAATTTTGAGTCGAAGTGTACTATGAAACTCGCAAAGCAAAATTATCAAACTTTCTCTGGTTCTTAAAATATGAGACGAGTGATACAACAAATCGATAATTACTAATGGGGCTGGAACTCCTTGTTTCTTTAGAATGTTAATTACAGTATTTCTGTCGTATTTGAAAACGAATATCAGGTTAAAATATCTTCGAACCAGTTTGACTTGCATTTAACTTTGTTAGAAATGTCTTGATCCTTCAATTTTTATTTCTTATTTGAGACTGATGATAGGAATTAACCTTTATGTTATCTGCTGTTTAGGGAGATGTGAAGTGACCCCACTACATACGGTTGGTACCATTAACAGAATGGATTGGTGTGACATTTACTGTGGCATGCTGGTATTCGAGAAACTGTCATAAGTACCAGAAACTTACCACTGGTATAAATTATTAATCTTTTGTTCTCTCCAGGCAACTTGCCTCGACTAGCTTATGCTATATGCAACTTTTATACTTTTTTCGCAACTGTAAAATTATCAATAAATTTTTTGAAAGTTTTGTCCAAATTTCATTGAAAAAGAATATAAGGAGTGATCAGGTGAAATATTGTCATGTTCCCTAACAGTGTTTGAGCTTCTGGTGGGAGCTGTAAAATTGCTTAAGTGTCTGAGATATGATTTGTCTGCCATAAAATTGGCACAGCCAAACCCCTGGCTAGAAAACTATAAATTTCCCCAGATGGGCATCCAAGCTGATGTCCATTACTACAGTTTATGCAATGTCAAAGTCCCCCTTTGAGGTAAGTCTCATTTCTCTAAAATCTGATAGATATAAATCATATATTTTCCTGAAGAGATCTACGAACGTCTCCACATTAGTTTAATCTAACCTTGTGTAGTCTTGTTCCCAGGGAAAAAGGCTTTGGAGATATTTTGTTTTTTATCCTTACTGTTAAATATCAGCCCTACTGGTTCTTTGTTGTTTATCATGTAATAAGAGTATTTTCAGCCTATCGAGTTGTCACATAACTCTTGTAATTTAAGGGATTGTAGAGTAAGATTGCATACAGTTTTGTTGTGCAGTTGAAATGATAAAATGAAGACATACATAGATAAGTCCATTGTAACTCCCAACTAAGGCTTTTCGGTTACAATGTCTAACTACAATATTTAAAATACATATAAGTTAAAAAGGATTTTAAGGCTAGAATCAATTACAAAAGACCTAAGAATATAATTTAAATATAATTTTAAAATTTAAATGTAATTTTTGTTGGGAAATAATTGATTTATTTAACTATTCATATTACAACTGGAAGCCCAAACTAGTATCTGTTTTAATTCACAATTTCCCCACATCATTGATCATATCTAATGATTTTTCCGAGACTAATGATTGAAAAGACTTTTCCTCACTCCGATAAAATCCATAATTATGCCTCCTTTTCTAACAAGCTCTTTGATGTAACGACCGTATCTCTGGTACTTATGTTGTCTTACTTTTCTTTACTCGACATTGACCCTTTTTGTTGGTAATCGGCCCCGCCGGTTGTGATTCACATCAAAAAGAAACTTTTTGAAACAAAACATAAACTTCTGTAAACTTTACACCAGCAGTACAGTTGAAGCTCTAAAAGACGCTCACAGGAAAGTGAGTACTTCAAATCATCAACGATAGCTTGAGATAGCAATGACACGATAAAAGTATACTATCCAATTCGTTTGTGCTCTTCGACAGGCCTCTTGCATCCTTCTCAAACAACATCGTCTAAATTTATCGCCCAAGTAATCACAAGACAAGACTCGTAGTCATTTGTACAATCTTTTGCTTTTTGAAATTAACTTCCTTCCACAGACCAAACAACAATTTTAAGACTTTGCCGCTTCCATCTAAGTTACAGCGAGAAAAATGAAGAGAAAAGTTGTCTCAAATACTCCATCCATCGTTGTTTTCCGACGTATTTTCCTTCTTTTCTTTCGCGATTACCGACGCAGGCTCATGTCAGCAGTTTCTCGCATCAAACTAAAATATACAGGAAATGCGCAACAAAATGCTCCTCTGCTCAGGTATTATGAATTTAGAGAAGATCAAGAAGGCGATTGTCAAATCTGCCGGTGAGATAAATACTTCGAAGGGAAGCAAACGCACGGGTGACTTAAAATTGTCCCTTTATTTTATTCTGTTGACACCTTTTTGGTGAAAAAAAAAGATATACATATATTTCATATATGTTTCCAAATTGCAACGTTTTTGAAAATACATAGATATTTAGATGTATTTTTTTAATTTTTGACTTGTATGTTTCAATTGGCAACATAACTTAACTTGCCTCTGAAATTGCATTTCCCTTCGCAAATATCTTAGAGGATTAAGGGTTAACTTGGCTACAACTCTTCCAGCTAAGATCCAAATGGCTCTGGGCTTGAGATTACTCACTGAGGATGATGAGAGGTTTTTATGGCGACTTCAACAAGGACAAAGTGTGTAATTCATTAAGAATTCCGGTGTTAATCGACACATGCGTAATGGGGCGCTAGAATTACCTAAGGATACTGGACACCACTAAGTATCCTGGCGACCGATTGCAGATTCATCAAAACAAGTTGACCGGCTTTAGCGATCGCAAACTTGTTTTGATCGCGTGAACTACACGCACGGTGAACTAAAAAACGTGATGGCGCTTCCACAAACTGTGGGCTTCAAAGCTGAGGAAGGCGACTTTGGTGTACGTGCACTGTTGAAGAAGTAGACGATGATTACGTGATCGTTTCCTTTGACGGCTGGAACACGGAGTTGAATTGCTGCGTCTGTGATCCACGAGAGATCAAGGATCGAACATTGCCTGATCGGAAAAGAAAGCGAAGAAACCTTCCCCTTCAGTGAACAATGTCTTCGCTTTAAGAAGACCGACTTATACTTTTAAATATCCCCCAAACTTATGTAAATAAAAAGCTCATATTAAGGTTCGCTTCAATTTCAGGCATGAATTTGCATAATCTTTCATAGACGAAATCTTTATGAATTTCAAAGATCAAAACCATTTTCTAAACTACATCTGCTTTATCTTTATCCACTTAGCAAATAAACCTTACCAAATTACAGTCAAAACACCAGACGTAGTTCACTTCGAATTTCTCGATCTCTCCCAGTTTCTCCGACCGCATCCAAACAGGTATTACTACAGTGGAACGTGACGTAAAATACGTCACGCGTTACTTGGTAACAATGCTCATACATATGCACGAACCCCACTTAAGTGGGGTTCGCAGAATTACACACTTTGTCCGTGTTGAAGTCGTCATGTGGCTAGATTTCAGGAAATGTTGACATTGTATTGAAAAAAGGGTATATGCATAAAAACGTTTTATTTAGTGACATGTTATGAGCTTTGTGGTAAGGGAAAATCTCCAACTTTGGGTTTAGTGGGCCCTCCTCCCAAAGTCTCAAGGTAATGTTATAGCATCAATCAGTGTTCTGTCTTCTTCTAGGAATGTATGCTTTCATTTTTTACTTTTCTGAACATTAAACCAGCAATGTAGGTATTGGGTCATGTGCACTCATGAAATTAATTTGTTTGTATTAAGGTAATACAACTGGACCTGACGAGACTGATTTGCCCCACTACCCAGGTAAAGAGTGTTAGTGAAATAATTAATGCAGTCTCAGATCAGGGAAGTTGCATATTATTTGAAGGAAACTGTGGCTTAGTTAAAGTGTTATTTTATCTTAGGGAAAGAAAAAGTATTTAGTCTGTCAGTATAATGACTGTAATCATGACTTTTGATCCCAGGCATTTGGCTAGACCATGGCCATCTCCAGTGGGCTAAGAAACTGAAAAGATCAACAAACTCCTGTGACTGTAAGGAAATTGTTTTTTACCCAGGTACAGTAAAAAAAAAAAAAGAAGTGAAAAAAAGAAGAAAAAAAAATCTGGCCGGAGCTTGACAGTCCATCTCACTTGTTTCGATTTCCGGCCCACTATGATATATCAGTCCATTACAATTTGGAATTTTTTTTTTTTGTAGGCTAATTTCCAAAATCATCAATGTTTTGAGTTCTGTTTTTACACAATTTTCTAGGAATGGAAAGACCTCCAATAAAATTGCAGTCGGGTCCAAAGTCACTCACCGTTTGTTGGTGATTTTAAACACAATAAAAGACTGGAGTCATTTAAGAAATATAAAAGAAGTAGTATGCAGAAAAACCCTGAGTCTGTTAATGTAACATTCAAATTAAGAGATTTCAATATCAAAACACATATTTGTTAGAAACTTTGACATAAATGATCTCAAATTGATGAAAAGTAACTCTGAAATTTAATACTCAGTTTCATTCATGAGATAAGTCTTTTTCTACTCCTTCCCCTTTCTTTCTGCATAAGGGATATCATGATTTCCCTGTTTTCTAGTAAATTCAGTCCGTGTTTTCCGGCTGGGCCCAGTGTTGTCACCATAAGCTTAAACTTTGGACTTATCTACCCTTCAGCCAAGAATAATTAAACTTTCTCATTAATGTCTCTTGATGCTTGTTTTTTTTCCTTTATTTCCACATTAAACAATTCCTTGTTTACTTTTTCAATTCCCACAAAGGGAAAATCAGCTTGAGAGCTTCAAGATTTAGTAAGTTTTATTAAAGCAAATCTGAAAGATACGAGGAGGAATTTTTTAGATGTAGAGAAAAAATATATTTTCTTACATGATTGTTTTGACAGGTCGTGGTCCAACTCACAATACCGGGAGACCTGTCCAGGATGATCTCCCCAGCACAAGTACAAGCGAGACAGGATCAGAAGATGATATGCCTCTAAATGGCAGCAATTCTTCATTTAGTAAAAGTGAACCAGGTAAAAACGTTAAAAAATACACTCACCCCTATCTAATGATATATTAGCTCAAGGTTCTCAACCAATGAGTTATAGTCTACAACACCTGCTGTTTACGTGACTTTATATCATAAAACTTTGGATACCTCTCTACTGAAAGTGTCAAAACTCATCATGTCAACTTTGGAGAAAGGAGGTAATGATTAATTAAAGTTTACCTCTACCAATGCTGTAAGAGCAACATGGCCTAGCAGCACAATCCTAAATGGTTAAGTGTAATACATTTATATATCATATCGAGTTTTCAACATCAAATGGGAGAAATGTACTTGGTCAGGAGAAATACTTGCAATAGGTTATATGATTGTTATTTTTCAAGGCGTGTATCTTTTGATCACAAAAACCTTTGACTTGGATTTTCTAATCTTCGGAAAATGTCTTCAAAATTAATAGTTTTGCGTCACCTATTTGCGAGTGCGGTGTTGACTCTGAATCAGAGAAACATTGTTCCATGTATTGCCCAAGATATGCCGCTCAACGTAATGTCCTCCTTACCTCTGCTGCTAGTAACAGGGGACATGGTCATCGAGCAGCGATGCAAGGAAACTAAGCTTTTATTGTAAGGTGTCGAGTCTGTAAATTACGATGTCAATTATGCTTTTTTTCCGCGAAGTGCAAATTTTAATACTAATCACTTTTCAGTGGCCATTGTTTGATTGTTTAAATAATATATCCCTAGCTATGTAAGTTTAGCTCGTTGTTATTGCAATTTGTGGGTGTTGTTTGTGTGTGTATGGTGTGAGCTTGTATAAATTAAATCAAAGTTTGTTATATTATATATTCCCCTTTAGCAAGCCTAAAAAAAAGGTTGTGTTCATTAGTCGTGGTTACGAATGTTTTTTTCCCGATTAACATCAACATCAAGGGCAACCTGTTCTGACAAGCTTCATTTCTTTCCTGTTTATAGATGAATGTAACATAGTGGAGGATGAGAAGCCGGGCATTGAGGCTAACAAAAAGACCAACAAAGAGAGCAGTGGAATGAATCAGATGGATAATGCCGCAGCAGGACTAAAAAATGCCAACGATAATGATTCAAATAGAGATCAGGCTAAAGTGACTGTCAATAGGCAATCTTTTAAAGTCGCAAACATTCCATATCCAGTGATGAGTAAAATCTGCCTTAAACTTAATATAAAAGATAATTTTTCTTTTAGAGATTATCGCTTACTTGGAGAGAAAATGGGAATTGCTAAGGATATAATAAAAAATTTAGAACAGTTAGAAAATCCTACCTATCGTCTTCTTAAACATTGGTCTATTGAGCCTGAGGCAACTGTAGAGAGGCTGATAAAGTTTCTTAGGGAGGATGATATGGCTAGAAATGATGTTGCAACTATTCTTGAAGAATGGTTGGAAAAACAGATTTCAAATAAGTGAGGTATTGACAATTTTTACTATTTTTGAATCCAGTGTAATTGAATTTTGTTTTTCTGTAAGAAAAAGCTATGTTCATTTATAGTCTTTTAAATTACGTTAAAATAGATATTAAAAGCCTTTTTTTTTATTTGTCAATGTCTATTTATGTTATTTTTAATCTAGTCCTTTAGAACTAAAACCGACTTGACTACTGCGATTGAGCTCTTTTCTAGTTTCCGTTATTACCTCCTGGAGTCGTTTTCCCCCGTTCTGATATCCCACTGTGATTAAATTTCTTTTGGTTTCGCGACACGAAATTTGAAATTACTCATTTTGCCTCCAGTTTATATCATATTTGCCCTCTCAAGATCTTAAACTTTGAAGTTTGTTCGCAAATATAAACAAATTTTCTGCGTATTGAGCGATTGAAGGGCCTGGGAGCGAAAAAGCTTTCCGTGGAGAAAACCTTTTGGCTGCATTCCATCGAAGTTGCACCAAGAGAGATTAATGGGACAGAGGGGGAAAATTGGGGCGTTGGCCGGGATATGTGAATTTAACTTAAGTTATGTTAGCTTGGGGTGGAAAGCACTGTGGTCTCCTAATGTAGTTTCTCATTGCCAAAGTAAGTTTGTTTTTTAAATAACCATTCTCATCGCTGTTACCCAATACATCAATCTTACAGGAAACTAAGGCCCACTGAAAGAGGACGGATTTTCCGCGAGCAAAAGGACACATGAAGAACGTGAAGCGATGCACGACAAGTGCAAGTAAACAGTTACACAACATTCGCTTTGCAATGAACAGAAAGTGACTCTCGCCTTGCTGCGAAACTTGCTATCATGTGTTTTATCAACGTAGACGTCATTAATTTCTGAATATAATTTTCAATAGTTAACTTTACATGTCAACACAAGCATGGAGTGGTCCAGCCACGATTATCGCTAACTAATTTCAGTGCCACTGACAAGTCCCAAGTCCTGACCCAGCAGTCACCTTCACCGTCCTATTTTTTCTCCTCATCCATGAATTTCCTGGAATATACACCATAAGAGCTTAAAGGGTTTTTGCCTCACATCGTCTCGACGAGTTCATCAGCCTTTTCTCGGGGTGCTAGAGAAGGAGATCATTTGTTTGGCACTCCTTGATGCCAAATAGCATGTTCAGAGGAACTAACCGATTGTTTCACCAATTTTTGTTGTTCCTAAACCAAACGAAGACATTAGAGAGTGTGTAAATTTGAGAAAGTTGAACCAAGCTATTACTGAAAGAGACTTGGACCAAATGTCAACCATGGAAAGCACGCTGGAATTACAGAGGTAAGCGCAGTGACTTGAAGTAAGATGTTAAGTCTGCATACTCTAGGTTCCATCAATTAAGTACTCCTAGATCCAGACACTCGGAGGCTGACTACATTTATCATCCCCTTTTGTAGATTTATGTTCAAGTGGTTATCGAAAGGGGCCTGCCCGCATGATGTGAAATTCCCTTTCAATGACATCCTTGTGGTGGGCCATACAAAAGTAGTACAAAACGAGAGGTTACACGCTTTTCTGGATCGCCTCGTACAATAAGGGATAACCCTGAACCTAGCACACTGTGTGGTCTCAGTTTCGAGGCTTGAGCTTGTAAGGAGGTTTATATGTGGGTCACACAAAGAACGTTCCAAAGTTCAGGCGAACGTCAACTTTCTAGAACCTCATGATTTCAAGGAACTGCCGTGATTCCACAGCACGGTGTGCAAGGAACAAAACACATGAAGTTACCGGGTAGAAAGTGTAGCCATACTACGAGTTTCGAAAAAGAAAAATGGAACAAAAGAGGAAAGTAAACGAGGACATACTCACCAAGTATGCCACTTGAATCATAAAATAAACACGTCCGACAAAACGCTCGATTTAACTATCTGAAGCAAGAACGGGCCTCCGAAGGTTTCCTATCAGTTTAAAACCCTGAGCTTGAAACTTTCGTATCTGCTGATGCTGGCGATTACGGGGTGCCGGGACTGAGCTGTTCTCCTCAAGAAACAACCTTCAGTTGAACTTAAACCAGTGCCACAAGGCCGCATCAGTCGGTCTAAAAAAAATATCGAATGTTGTCATGTACAAATAAAAAAGAAAGGCTTTGGCTCATACGAGGGCCCTGCATCCTATTCTACAGGGATAGACTCCGGTTTTTTTTTCTTTTTTTTCTGTTTTTAGACCAGAAACTATGTCGATAACTACAAACTTCAGAAACCATTTAAAAGCAAAGCATATTGAAAGCTTTTAAACATTATTTGTAAACTTTTCATTCCTCAGAAGTGATTAACACTTCATCAGACTTACAATGAAAAATATGATTGGTTAGGTTAGACTAAAATTTCGTTGAATTCAATATCGATCTTAACAGTTTGGCCTTTGGTACAAGTTGTGGGTTTATGGATATGCGTGCACTGAAGGTGATTCCTCAATATTGCACTGCGTATACTGTACTGCGCATAAAAATCACGTAGTCAGGCGAATAAGCGTGCGCGCATTTGTTTTTCAATAAATTGACCAGGTCAAGAGGTAGGATGATCTTTTAGCATTTGAACGAGCACGGTCACCCACATTTTTTTATTGCATAAATTTGGCGTATAAATCATCCCCTTTAAATTGGAGAAATCATTAAAAAAATCATCGAAGGGAAAAAAAGAAAGCTACAAGCCTGCACGAAGCCTGTTACGCGAGGATGCAAATTATGACCATGAAAGGAACGACCCGGGGAACGTTTCGAGTCGATTTTGTTTAAAAATGGCTTGATTTTCCACAAATTATGCATAAAATTGTTCCATACGCTCGAGACTTTTTACCAACCAAGTTTTCTAAGTGTTACTTTAAAAACGCCTGCTGCTAACCACTGTAAAATGTATCGTCAACAGATGAAATGTCGCGCGTGGTTAGTGCTAGAACAGGCATAAGTGGGGTAGGTTTGGCTTATCATGTCTCTCAAACAAGAACGGTGACTTATCTTTTTCACTGTATTTTTCGAAACAGACCTTGGTAGAAAACATTTAAGGAAGAGTTTGAAATTTTTTCGATAACTTTTCTTCTGAGGAGTCACTCAAGCATTTATGATTCCACTAACATTCCAATTTTTTAGGTATGAGAGCATTATCATTACTTTAAATAACTTTTCGGAAAAATGCAGAGACTACAGATTTCGCATATTCTTTTGATTTATTGACAATACAAAAATTTGAGTTACGAAATCCGTGTACGTTTTCATTCCTACATATCATAATTGTGAGAAACTGTAACGATATAAGTACAGTAAGCAATGAATGTGGAGGTTCGCACCAAAAGAAAATCCAAGGCGGCCTTCAATTCATTATTGTACGAGAACACAGCGGTTTTACGATTCTTACTCTAGTTTCACATTTTTAATTATATTTTTCTAAAAGATCTAGTTAGCTCTAATTGCGACACACAATAACGAAAGGGCGAGGTTTAGCGAAATTATTTTATGGTTTTGTTTGTTATTAAAAAGTCCATATTTTTGGATGGAAACCATGTTAGGAGTTTGTTCAATTTTGTGAAATGTAAATTATGGGCATTGCTACTTATTTCGCAGCATTTTTAAACCAGTGTAATTCATAGCTCAGACGCCTTGTTAATCTCTTCGCCGTCTTCTAAAACAAGAACGGTTTGGCCTTTGTTTTCACGCCCCTGGTTTTTACCAGTCTCCTTGCCATCATGTTTCATTTTGACCACACTGTTATCTTCCAAAGAGATCTTATTTACTGCCATACTTCCATTGCTTTTCTTAGCATCATTCGCTCTGATCTCGATTTCTTTCCCATGGTTGCTGAACAAACTTGTACCGGAATTAGACCTCCTGACCGTAGCTTCATGGTCGGCGCCAAATTCAGAGTAAATAGGATTACTAGCAGTGCCATAGACACCGAGATCCTTGTCAGGCGATAGGACAACCCAGGCGGTGTGCGCACTCCGATTGCGTTGCATTGTGGTAGCTTCACTTTGAATATGGCGGTGAAGGCAGCAAAATTCGGCAGATTTTGATTGAACATTCCGTAAAAGTTAGGCCGTTCCGTTTTCCTTTCACCATAGGTAAATGTAATTTGAGTTATTCTGAATGTATAAAAGTATTTTTGTTCGTATTTGTCGCGTATTCTTTGGTTCTCAAGGACAAACGTTATCACTGTTTTTTTGTATGTAATTTGAGACCGGATTTCAAGAAGGTCAAATTTGATGTACGTCGTAGTTTGGAGCCTTCCAAAGATTTGGATGGCTGCTTTGATCCTTCTTTAAGAGCTCTGACCAAACGCTCTCAAACGCTCTCCAACGGTACATGTGTTACCCGCATTTTAAGTGCGGGTGTTTGAGACCGATTATGGCCGAGAAAAGGCTTATTGTTGCGTTTCACAGCGTTACTACTATATACTCAATTGTGTTGTAAATCTACTTTCCTAAGTAAAGGGAAATTAACTTATCGCGAGTGTTGTATGGTAAATCTACTATCTTGATCATTGAATGAAGGACAGTTAAATTTGAGCTATGAACGGAATCACTTGTCCAATGAATAACTCTACAATGCGCACGGCAACACACCTGGTAAGCCGGAAAGCAAAAGGTGTTGATAGCTTGAACGACTCCAGCCATTCGCTTGCACTTTTAAATCTTCTAACCTGAAAGCTTAGCTGTTATTAGCATATCCTTTAATGACTTCCATTTGCGATATGATATTAAAGAGTAGTTTTAAGGTGTCATTTACCCATCTGTATGTTGTTGAGGTTTGGCAAAGCCGGATGAGATTGTGTTACAAAAGGTAATATTTTCATGTGTGCGCGCTTTTTTTTTTTTTTTTAAAGTATCAGTCTCTCCCGCAGAAAATAACTCCAGCGATACGTTTGTCAAAACCTTATTCTAGGTATTCTCTATTCTTTAAGCAATTTGAAACTCTGTACGTTTTTTTAATAGACGTTGAGCGTGACGAATTTGGTACTAGGAGGCGTAAGGCTTCTCCTTTCGCGAATCCCGTATTCACGCGTTTAAGTGTATGACATGGAAAATAGTTCGTGTATCAGAAGGTCGCTGCCTCTTTGGAATGCGTTTGCATATCAAGGGACGATTCCCCGTTAAATAACTCACGAATTTGATATTATTCACACAGCCATCGGCTGAGTGTGTAACTGCTGTGAAATAAATAGATTCTCGGGCAAGACTGCAGTTTCGATTCTTTCTGAATCTCTTCAATTGCCTCCTAACAACGAATTTGTCAAGGAGGAATAATGGGAGTCGCACAGGCCCGCAAACACTTTTTAACTTTCGAAGGAGTGGCAACAGACAATGAATTTCCATTAAATTCCACGTTTATTCACGTTATCTTGCTGCTACCAGAGATGTTCACTCGACCACGACAGGGTGCAAATGACTTATTTTTCGTTTTACGATCATGATGCAACGCAATCAGAGTGCGCACACCGCCTGAGAACAACCGGTGGAGGTAGATCGTCGTATAGATCATCACCATGTGTCACAAATCCTATTTCGGTGTCATATCCGGGATTCTCAAACGCAGCCACTCGTGGCTCAGGACCATCACTGTTTCTTTTGTAAGAAAAAGGGACACCGGGAATTTTTACCCTTTTGAAAGAAGAAAAAAAGAGAAATGGATCAAGAAATATTGCAAAGAAACAAATTGTGCTACTTGATTCTGGTTTTAGTAACATTTCAATATTTTCAGAGTTTTTTTCCCTAATAGGCCTCCAGTGATAGTTTCTAGCTACCGTTATTCATTCTTAGTTGACAACGAGCTGAACAATTGCGTTGAATTCATTGTTTCCTCACAGGGTTTCGCTTAAGAGTGATTCTTTGGGAGCCACACGATACACCCTCTTGTGTTAAGATTACTAGATTTTTGCTGCTATGTAAGAATAAATGCTCCTTTTCGATTGTTTTTATTGTAAATGCATCGCCTCCAGGGTATGTTTTTCTTACGTTTATAAGGAAAAAAAGTGGAAATTCTCTCATTACATTACGTATCAACCTCAATTATCCACACTTTCACTTCGTGTGTGATCTCCATTTCAGTCATAGCTGTCTAGCAGCTGAGTACATGTTGGGTTTTTCTGGTTTTAGTTCCCTTTTTTTGTATTTTTTATGAAATATATGTCAAAGTGGATTTATTTTCTGATTCAGCGTTGTAGATGTTTGGTAGGATACTCTTTTGTGTTTTCCTCTTTGGTTCCAGTAAGTATTTTAATTCAAGTTCGTCATTGTGTGCGAACCGTTGCGAAGTCAATGCTAAAAACGTGAGTTCATGTCAACTTCTGTTATGCCGATTGACTCTGTGAAGCAGAGGTTCTCGACGGAAGTTTTCGACTTGAAAACTTAGCGAAATCAGCCACAAAAGTTGTGTCCTCTGAAGTTTACTTATCGATACATTCGTGGGTGATAATCATTAGCCTCGGTAGCCGGTTAACATTGACTTTATTGACGAAATTCCTATCTATTCGACTTGATCCTTGAATCACATTGTTTGTTTGTATAAACAGCTGCAGCAATTGTATGTAATGGCCATAGTCTACAATACCAAAAACTGAAGTCTCCTTGTTTCAGATCCTAAGAGCCAGCCATTGCTACTTCAGGCGTTTGAAATGGAAAGAGTATTTTCAAACTTGTCTGACTCTGGATGTACAAACTGCTCTGACGACTACTCTCAAGTACAGTGGACGTTGACATTCGCCTCAGTAATTAATAACCTTATCTATGATCGGCATTGCTGGCGCCATTGTGGGAACGCTAGGAAATGGCCTCGTCCTGCTGGCCATCCAAAGGAACGTCAAATTTCGTTCAGTTCCAGACTTCTTGATCTTCAGCCTTTCAACAGCTGACTTGCCAGTATCAGGAATATATATGCCTTTTCACGTGAAAAATACAATTTGCTATCCAGTTCTGAAAAACAATGCCACATACACCATGATAACGAAATTTGTAGGCAAGTTAGCCTTGCTTGCTTCCATCGTCAGTGGGGTTGGAATTACAATAGATCGTCTCACGGCAATCCGACGTGGCCATTACCATTACCACTACCACAAACTTATGACCAAGACGTTTGCTTTTTCTTACATATCTGTCACCTAGTTGACATCTGCAATCATTGCTGCTGTCTATTCATTCGCAGAAACCAACCAAAAATTTTTCTCGTGGATTTATTGCATGACACTACTTTTAGCTACGATTTTCATGTACTGATATATTTTAAGGGTTGCAAATGTAGCCAAATTTGGTCAGAGAAGAAAAAAGTTCCTACCACAACAGTCCAGTAGACTCACAAGACTCTGCTGCAGATTTCAGTGAAATTCAAATCATATATAAGCGCTTGGTGAAGTCTGGAAACGCTGAAATATTTTATGCTAGCTTCTACTCTACAATAGTTTCGAATGCAGTTAAATATTTTTCAGGGATTGTCGAGGAATGCTGCAACACTGCTATCTACCAAGGTTGCTGACTGTATGTTAGTGCACAGCAAGGAGAAAGTGGAAAACTCTGATCTAAGTACGTGTCCCATTAGCTAAACTTTCGGTTGAAGAACAAGCTGGATTACAGTACATAGGAGGATATGTTCTCCATAAACTTCATAAGAAACTTGCAAATACTAGTAAATCATGGGAAAGTGAGCAGGCAATCTCCATACTGAAGGCTGGGAAATCAGAAGACCAGAATGTTATAGAAAGCCAGACGTTAACTTCATCTCTAAATCGTGGTGGTTTATGGGCAATAACAAAGAATGCCCAAACAATTTTTGAGAGAACTGAACACTATTTTAGGGATATCACTTCTAAGACTAATTTACAAAAGCTTGAGTTCTCTTGTGTTATATCAAGATCTATTCATGATGTTGATTTAGTGTCAGCATACATTTTAATGTTGTCTGATGTTGAACTGATAGTCCAAAGTGGTGTTGCCAAAGATGTATTACATAACATCATACAAATGTATGTCAGAGTACATTCATTCTCTTTTGCAAACGACATTATCCAGAAACACAAGATGAAATTAAAACAGTTAAAATCCAAAGCACTTTGTAAGGACATAAGCAGAGCCTCTAAAGAATCTGACCAAGAAAGGCAATTTAGTCCATAAATTCAACCATCCTGTAATGTTAAAAATTGTATTTTTGACTCTCCAAGAACAATAACATGCATGCTTTGCATTGATGCAAATTTAGATACAAATACTATGTCCACTTAAAGATGTGAAGCAGTAACTTATGAAATGTACATCATAGAGAAATGTTGCAGTTGTGTGAAAATTATTCACAAAACAATATCTATACTGTTTTCTTATATATAAGGCTAGAGTGACCCATTTCTATTGCTTTATTAATATCGTAACAACCAAAAGCTGGTTTTTGTCCTTGTTGATAGTGGTATTTGAATAAATGTAAGTCTTCATATCCATACCATGTTGGTCTTCTTCTAATAATATTGTTCTCATGTCTAAATTTAGTGCCTCAATTTCATCACTATTACTTAATCAGAACTGGAGCTATTTTGAAAGCATCACCTAATGACATTGTTATGTCTGTGATAAAGATAACTCATCATAGTAGTAACAACCCAGTTATTGTACACATGCCAAAATATTTAGATTATTGTAATCTATGAAATCTTATTACTGCTTTTTTCTCTTGGGCACTGGGTCATTTGAAACATTGACCCATGATTTGTCTCTATTTTTTCTTCCCCGTGCATTTCCAGATTGACAGGAAACAGCTCACTGTACCCTGATGATATTGTTGTTATAACCAAACATCTTCATGTCAGGATTGTCATTTCTTTTTCCCAGTTTCCTTTGGTTCCCAAAGTATTCTTCTAGGGGATCTTGACAAAACCTCTCTGTTAAGACATACTCTACACCTTCATTTAGAAGAAACTTTGTTGCCTCTATGACTGAATGTGCAGTAATCTGTAAGCCCTCATACGTCTGCCAGGATAGGAACATCTTACTTCTGGCATTCTGAGAGAAATTACCAGGGCAACTAGCTATGCTATCTTTCCAGTCTCTCAGAAAACCAAGGAAGTCATTTGTCGACCAGAGAAATCTTGGGTCATTCACAGATGAGTAAGGTGCAAGAAATGGCTTCCTCTTCCTAAGAGTTCAGCACATTTGAGCCACTGCATCTGTAATGTGAGTTTGATTCGTTGTGGTGCTGTCTGTGATACTGGTGAAAATAAATGTGCGGGCTCATTCAGTTTCTCTTTAGCCTTGTGAATGAGTTCAGATCTATGTGAATACTGGTAACAACTTGAACACTGTTCACCATGTTCAAACAAAACCGTACAACTATGAGTTCTCCAATATTCTTTATGCGGAAATGAATTGACATCACCATCATTGTCAATGAACAATGGATCAATAGACTTTGGAATTAAATGATGGACTATATTTCTGGATAATTCAAATAGTTCCACACCAGGGCAGATATGTAAGCTGTTGATATTTCTTAAAAGTTCAGACACTGTAATATTACAAACAGATCTTAAGTTTGTAGTATGTATCTCATGGTCTTCTGAAAGGAGCCATCCATAGACAGAAATTGTAAACCCTAGACTATCATCAATCATCAACTCAAATTCTGGAAGCATTACTGCACTTTTCTTTTGTAATAGAAGTCTATCCTCTAGTTCCTGGACTGTCCATTCCTGCTATGTTTTCAAAGTCTTTACTCGTTTACAGAGGTCACTGAAGCTACTATAGTATTTCTGGTGGCTCTCTGTAACAGGTTTGTCTTTTACCACAGATCTCAATGGACGTGCAACAGGTTTCACCGTGTCATGACTTCTCTTTGGCATATTGAAAGTTGGCAAGGCTCCAAACTTTGGTCTTGTTTTCGCTATTGAACTGAAATAAAAATAAAAGAAAAGCGATCTGTAACAACAATCTGTATAAGAATATAAAGCTCAAACACGAATGAGACATCATTTTTGTGGCCGGTCGTGTTTACATGGATACCAGATTTGTTTATTACAGACAACTCGAGTACTTACATGGCTCTATATCGTCAGGATCGAAATGTTTCTCACATGTAAACACCCTGCCATTATCGATCTGATTTTGGAAGTCTTTGTCCATGACTCTCGTCTTTGTCGGCTCATTTAGCCACTCTTCCCGCCACTTCTTGTATTCTGCAATTCGTGGTGAGGGCAGTTTAAAGATACCGATCCCCTTAGTTCTACGGCACGTACCGCAACCAAACACCGAACAGTTGTCACCAGGCATTCTATTTTCAATACGACGAACTCAGAAAACGATTCCAGTCGGAAGAACTACATTGCGAAGCTTTAAAACAGGTCAGTTCACGTCTAACTCTTCGAACGACGCTATATTGAGTTTGTGTGTATGTGTGTGCACGGTCATTGTCGCGTGACATCGAATATAGAAGACAATAACCGTTTCTCTGAAGTTTACCGCGTTTCACAACCAGTTCGCTTTATTAACTATGCCTACAAGTAAAAGTGAATAAAATAAATCAAATGAATAATCAGACTTTAGAGTGAGTACATGACAATGCAAAATCAACTTTTATAATTTAATCATATGCTGCTACCACGAACGGAAAATGGAGAAAGGAAAGGCTTTTTGCGTGGTCACTCGTGCTGCACTGCACTCGTGAAGCTCTCTGATGACGAGCGTGCGGCACTGGACAAGAAAGAAAGCATAGGGGTAGTGGCTATTGACCTTTCCAAAGCCTTTGATTCAGTTTGCTACAACTTGCTACTCGCTAAGCTTAAAGCATATGGAGTACGCCAGGAGGCTCTGGAGCTTATACAGTCTTATCTGTCTGACAGATTCCAACGTGTTAGATGCAATGGGTCCTACTCGAACTGGCTGCCCGTGCGCTACGGGCTTCCGCAGGGTAGCTTGTTAGGACCTTTACTTTTTAACATTTTTATCAATGATGTTAATTACTGTGTTGCTACCTCCTCACTACGTCTATACGCGGATGACACTACCCAATACTCGTCTAGCGTCTGCCCTATGACTCTGGAGTTTAATCTCAATGCGGATATATCAAGACTCAAGGAATGGTTCACTTACAACTACCTAGGAATCAATAGCACCAAAACGCAGGCAATGGTACCTGGAAACAGTTCCTACAATTTTGAATTCTTTGTGGACCCGCAGCAGGTTATTGACATAAAGCCGATTCTAAAGATCCTGGGCGTTACGCTGGACAATAAACTCTCCTTCAAAGATCACGTAACAATTACGCTGAAAAAGGCATATGCAAAAATCGCCGCTCTCCGCAGAATAAAGCGTCTTAAACCTTCCTCTATGATGATCTCTTTGTATAAAACATATGTGTTACCTCATTTAGAATATTGTTCCCCTCTATTGTTGGGAATCTGGCTCCTCTGAAAAATAAGCTGGAAAAATGTAACTTTTACGCGTTGAGAACTGTGCTTAATCTAGGTAGATCTACTGAGAACAAAGACTGTCTCAGGCTTGCTAGTATGGACACCTTAATCCAAAGACGTCTTACTGCGTCTTTAATCATGTTTTTCAAGGCATACAGGCTACAGGGAGCTTCGTATATCTCTAATTTTTTCACACCTAGGGTCTGTCACCACAATTTGCGCTCCTCTGCTCTTAATGTTTCCCAGCCTGTAAATACCTCTAGCCATAGGTCTTTTTCATATATTATCTCTCATTCCTGGAACCAGCTACCATCTTCAGTTAAATCGGCAACTACTCTAGCAGAATTTAAGACTGGCCTATCTCGCATAACTACGCTTGGCTGTAAGTGTAATAAATGTATTAGTATACAATTGTAGGGGTAGGGTTATGAATTGGTAATTAGACTTCAGGGTTAGGGCTACAAGTTAGGTGATTAGGGCTGGTAGGGTTTCAGGGGAGGTTCAGGATTAGGACTAGGGGTAGGGGGCTAGGCGATATTTTTGCGTTTCTCTTTTTCGTCATATATACATAAACTTGTACATATATTTATATACACATCTGTATTTTAACTGTCGAGCGTTTTGAACATGAGCGATTAGGCTCGGGGGATTGGCTAACCACCCCCTACGTTACCGACATAAAATAAATTGTATTGTATTGTATTGTAGGAATGTGTATGAGAATCAGTCGAATTTAAAATAGGTACTACATCCGCTATACAATGCAGTGCCTTCTTAAGGACTTACGATTTGTGCCGCTAGAAGACATAACAGTATGACGGTGAAGATGAGAAAAGCGTCAGTCAACAGAAATGAAAGTGAAAGTTGAATCTAAAATCAACATTGAAAGTAATGTTTACTTAAATTGACATAAGTTTGTTGTTCAATGCCTTTTAGTGTTATGCAGCCTTCTCCGAAGAACCGATTTCGATCGCACCGGCATTTTACATCTGAGTAAAACCTAATTTTTCAACACAAAAATCAAATAAAAAAAGCCTTTAATAACATCTTCCCTTGTTGATCGTCCACGATGAAGATTGTTCTCACGACCGAGTTAATCAAACTGTTTATGTTGTCATCCGCCATTTTTAGTTGTTTTGCGAGTTACCGCTGTACTTTCAGGCCCAGACTCCCGCTCCCCGTTTCCACTCCCCACTCTCCGTTCCAAGTTTTGCTAACATTCCAAATCATACTTGAGTATTTACTTCTAAGTCACGATTGACTAGAGACGCACTCGCTTCGTTCAACTATTGGTCATAGATTTGGGTAGTGTTCGGCCTTCTTAATCGAACCACTAGCAGAGAACGAGTGCATATATAAATGCATTCTCTGAGGTAAGTGGAATCTGGTGATACGCTGTGGAACAGAATATTTGCTAAGAACATCTACGAAATGTACACATATCCGCTATTTCTTAGACCATTGAATCTAGCCATTTGCCCCCATTATCGAGAGAAACAATAAAGCGAAATATTCGGCTGCAGTGTACCTCTCAATCGAAATATGTAGGACCGGTACGGGACCATATATATATTTAGTTATTTATGATGGAATTTGTCTCTTGTTCGCCTCGCTATTTTCCTGATTGTTGGTCTCCTGTCATGAAATATCATTTTTATCCCCTGGTAAAATGTAGGCAAAGCTTTATTTTCCATGGCTCGTTTGCTCCTTCTCTTGTTAACTTTAGCTCAGTAGAAAATGGAGTATAGCAATCCCTTAAGCGGAAGTAGATATGATTACAAACTCTAAGAATATTAACATTCACTTTCGAGAACTTTTGTTTTCGTTATTGAATCGAGTTATTATTCAGGCTTCTAGTTAAAATTTTAAATTCCTATCTCCAAGTTACCGCTACAGTGAGTCTTTTTCTGAAGAATCTATTCAATCGATTAGTTCATCATGGCGTTCATTGGCTGTACACAAACTGAACGTGACAGTGACCTATTTTAGGCACGACGATACAGCATTTTAGGAAGTTGAAGTTGAACGGTCTAAACAAAAAACTTCCGCTTTACGTGCAGATATGCGCATAAAAACAGTTGATTTTGGATAGCGTCTTGTAGCCATTGTTTATATTTGGCTAACGCGGTAGTGCTTTGTTTCTCTAACACGCTAGATTTTGTTTGTTTTTTTTTTTTTAACACGCAAAGCTCCTTTGTTCCTTAACACGCTAGCTTATCTTTTACATCCCACCTTACTCTGTTACTTGTGTTTATCAGCTTCGTAATTGTGAGAATGGTGTTTGTGGAATATATTACTTACAGAATATAAGCGAAAATGAAGAAGGTCTTCTCTCCTATCTGAAAGTTGTAATAAAAAAGAAAACATTCACGGCAAACCACGGCTCTTTCCTTCAGGATTTTCGCAAGGAATTCAGTGAGCACGACGTGTTTCACAAGGTCCAGAGGAGCTCAGTTTCATCACGTGAAGTATTTTTTTAAAACTTAATTCTTACCGTGTAAAATATAAATCCTTATCGCTTCAAGAAGTTATTAAGCCAAGTACCAAATCTTTGTGAATCCTTTAGTAACAGATTTCCGGCTCCATGTCTCCTACGCGGTCGTTGTTCGTCACTCTATGCAAACCGGCATTTTTAAATTCAATAAGCGCTAGTTAGCCGGCGCAAAACGAAGCTTTCCGAGCGAAGCTACGTATTATTTACTGTACGCCTATCTTGGCAAATTAAGAGCTCTTAGTCTTCAGCACTGAGGTCTATACCTTGCGTAACGCAACTGTAACGCTTCTGTTGATGTTCTCTTCTCGGACGACGAGATGACGAGGAGCAACGCGTCAGGAAACTAAAGATTTCCAGCAGTTGGATAGCGGAAAATTAGGTTTTCTTGTGTCCGTTTTACAAAGACAGTTTGACTCGCCATGTTTTAGTGAGCAGTGGAATCAGATAGCCGCTCGCATTAATACGAAATGTACAAGAAAGAGGACTCTTATTCACATACTTAAAAAAACTGGTTTGTTTTGAAAACACCGGAGATGGCACGATTAGTCCATCATTTAACATAAAAAATTATGGGTCGGTTAATTGAACAGAGTTTAGCCATTTTTCAACAAAACTGCGATCTAAGTTTCTATGATTTTGGCTAATCCTAGCATAATTAAATTATGAACGTTGCTAATTATTAAGGGAAAAAAAAGAATAAACGCAGACTAAAAAATCATTTATCTGCCCAAAT